CAGTGTGTGTTAGTGTGTGTTACTGTGTGTGTCAGTGTGTGTCAGTGTGTGTTAGTGTGTGTTACTGTGTGTTACTGTGTGTCAGTGTGTGTCAGTGTGTGTCAGTGTGTGTTACTGTGTGTGTCAGTGTGTGTCAGTGTGTGTTAGTGTGTGTTACTGTGTGTGTCAGTGTGTGTTACTGTGTGTGTCAGTGTGTGTTAGTGTGTGTGTCAGTGTGTGTTAGTGTGTGTTACTGTGTGTGTCAGTGTGTGTTAGTGTGTCAGTGTGTGTTACTGTGTGTGTCAGTGTGTGTTAGTGTGTGTTACTGTGTGTGTCAGTGTGTGTTAGTGTGTGTTAGTGTGTGTCAGTGTGTGTTACTGTGTGTGTCAGTGTGTGTTAGTGTGTGTGTCAGTGTGTGTTACTGTGTGTGTCAGTGTGTGTCAGTGTGTGTTAGTGTGTGTTACTGTGTGTGTCAGTGTGTCAGTGTGTGTTACTGTGTGTGTCAGTGTGTGTTAGTGTGTGTTACTGTGTGTGTCAGTGTGTGTCAGTGTGTGTTAGTGTGTGTCAGTGTGTGTGTCAGTGTGTGTTACTGTGTGTGTCAGTGTGTTAGTGTGTGTGTCAGTGTGTGTTACTGTGTGTGTCAGTGTGTGTTACTGTGTGTGTCAGTGTGTGTTAGTGTGTGTTAGTGTGTGTTACTGTGTGTCAGTGTGTGTCAGTGTGTGTTAGTGTGTCAGTGTGTGTGTCAGTGTGTGTTACTGTGTGTGTCAGTGTGTGTTAGTGTGTGTGTCAGTGTGTGTCAGTGTGTGTCAGTGTGTGTTACTGTGTGTGTCAGTGTGTGTCAGTGTGTGTCAGTGTGTGTTAGTGTGTGTTACTGTGTGTGTCAGTGTGTGTCAGTGTGTGTTACTGTGTGTGTCAGTGTGTGTCAGTGTGTGTTAGTGTGTGTTACTGTGTGTGTCAGTGTGTGTCAGTGTGTGTTAGTGTGTGTTACTGTGTGTGTCAGTGTGTGTTAGTGTGTTACTGTGTGTGTCAGTGTGTGTCAGTGTGTGTCAGTGTGTGTTACTGTGTGTGTTAGTGTGTGTTACTGTGTGTGTCAGTGTGTGTTACTGTGTGTGTCAGTGTGTGTTAGTGTGTGTTAGTGTGTGTTACTGTGTGTGTCAGTGTGTCAGTGTGTGTTAGTGTGTGTTACTGTGTGTGTCAGTGTGTGTCAGTGTGTGTTAGTGTTGTTACTGTGTGTGTCAGTGTGTGTCAGTGTGTGTTAGTGTGTGTTACTGTGTGTCAGTGTGTCAGTGTGTGTTACTGTGTGTTACTGTGTGTCAGTGTGTGTCAGTGTGTGTCAGTGTGTGTTACTGTGTGTGTCAGTGTGTGTCAGTGTGTGTTAGTGTGTGTTACTGTGTGTGTCAGTGTGTGTTACTGTGTGTGTCAGTGTGTGTTAGTGTGTGTGTCAGTGTGTGTTAGTGTGTGTTACTGTGTGTCAGTGTGTGTTACTGTGTGTGTCAGTGTGTGTTAGTGTGTGTGTCAGTGTGTGTTTACTGTGTGTGTCAGTGTGTTAGTGTGTGTTAGTGTGTGTTACTGTGTGTGTCAGTGTGTTAGTGTGTGTTAGTGTGTGTGTCAGTGTGTTACTGTGTGTGTCAGTGTGTGTTAGTGTGTGTGTCAGTGTGTGTTACTGTGTGTGTCAGTGTGTGTCAGTGTGTGTTAGTGTGTGTTACTGTGTGTGTCAGTGTGTGTCAGTGTGTGTTACTGTGTGTGTCAGTGTGTGTTAGTGTGTGTTAGTGTGTACTGTGTGTGTCAGTGTGTGTCAGTGTGTGTTAGTGTGTGTCAGTGTGTGTGTCAGTGTGTGTTACTGTGTGTCAGTGTGTGTTAGTGTGTGTGTCAGTGTGTGTTACTGTGTGTGTCAGTGTGTGTTACTGTGTGTGTCAGTGTGTGTTAGTGTGTGTTAGTGTGTGTTACTGTGTGTGTCAGTGTGTGTCAGTGTGTGTTAGTGTGTGTCAGTGTGTGTGTCAGTGTGTGTTACTGTGTGTGTCAGTGTGTGAGTGTGTGTGTCAGTGTGTGTCAGTGTGTGTTAGTGTGTGTTAGTGTGTGTTACTGTGTGTGTCAGTGTGTGTCAGTGTGTGTACTGTGTGTGTCAGTGTGTGTCAGTGTGTGTTAGTGTGTGTTACTGTGTGTGTCAGTGTGTGTCAGTGTGTGTTAGTGTGTTACTGTGTGTGTCAGTGTGTGTCAGTGTGTGTTAGTGTGTTACTGTGTGTGTCAGTGTGTGTTACTGTGTGTGTTAGTGTGTGTTACTGTGTGTGTCAGTGTGTGTTACTGTGTGTGTCAGTGTGTTAGTGTGTGTTAGTGTGTGTTACTGTGTGTGTCAGTGTGTGTCAGTGTGTGTTAGTGTGTGTTACTGTGTGTGTTAGTGTGTGTTACTGTGTGTGTCAGTGTGTGTTAGTGTGTGTTACTGTGTGTGTCAGTGTGTGTCAGTGTGTGTTAGTGTGTGTTACTGTGTGTGTCAGTGTGTGTCAGTGTGTGTTAGTGTGTTACTGTGTGTGTCAGTGTGTCAGTGTGTGTTACTGTGTGTCAGTGTGAGTCAGTGTGTGTTAGTGTGTTACTGTGTGTGTCAGTGTGTGTCAGTGTGTGTCAGTGTGTGTTACTTTGTGTGTCAGTGTGTGTCAGTGTGTGTTAGTGTGTGTTAGTGTGTGTCAGTGTGTGTTACTGTGTGTGTCAGTGTGTGTCAGTGTGTGTCAGTGTGTGTTACTGTGTGTGTCAGTGTGTGTCAGTGTGTGTTACTGTGTGTGTCAGTGTGTGTCAGTGTGTTACTGTGTGTGTCAGTGTGTGTCAGTGTGTGTTAGTGTGTGTCAGTGTGTGTCAGTGTGTGTCAGTGTGTGTTAGTGTGTGTCAGTGTGTGTCAGTGTGTGTTAGTGTGTGTTAGTGTGTGTTAGTGTGTGTCAGTGTGTGTCAGTGTGTGTTAGTGTGTGTTACTGTGTGTGTCAGTGTGTTAGTGTGTGTTAGTGTGTGTTAGTGTGTGTCAGTGTGTGTCAGTGTGTGTCAGTGTGTGTTAGTGTGTGTTAGTGTGTGTTAGTGTGTGTTAGTGTGTGTTAGTGTGTGTCAGTGTGTGTTAGTGTGTGTCAGTGTGTGTCAGTGTGTGTCAGTGTGTTACTGTGTGTGTCAGTGTGTGTCAGTGTGTGTTAGTGTGTGTCAGTGTGTGTCAGTGTGTGTCAGTGTGTGTTACTGTGTGTGTCAGTGTGTGTCAGTGTGTCAGTGTGTGTTAGTGTGTCAGTGTGTGTCAGTGTGTGTCAGTGTGTGTTACTGTGTGTGTCAGTGTGTGTCAGTGTGTGTTAGTGTGTGTCAGTGTGTGTCAGTGTGTGTTACTGTGTGTGTCAGTGTGTGTCAGTGTGTGTCAGTGTGTTACTGTGTGTGTCAGTGTGTGTCAGTGTGTGTCAGTGTGTGTTAGTGTGTGTTAGTGTGTGTCAGTGTGTGTTAGTGTGTGTCAGTGTGTGTCAGTGTGTGTCAGTGTGTGTCAGTGTGTGTTAGTGTGTGTTAGTGTGTGTCAGTGTGTGTCAGTGTGTGTCAGTGTGTGTCAGTGTGTGTTAGTGTGTGTCAGTGTGTGTTAGTGTGTGTCAGTGTGTGTCAGTGTGTGTCAGTGTGTGTCAGTGTGTGTTAGTGTGTGTCAGTGTGTGTCAGTGTGTGTCAGTGTGTGTCAGTGTGTGTTAGTGTGTGTCAGTGTGTGTCAGTGTGTGTCAGTGTGTGTCAGTGTGTGTTAGTGTGTGTTAGTGTGTGTCAGTGTGTGTTAGTGTGTGTTAGTGTGTCAGTGTGTGTCAGTGTGTGTTAGTGTGTGTTAGTGTGTGTTAGTGTGTCAGTGTGTGTCAGTGTGTGTGTCAGTGTGTGTCAGTGTGTGTTAGTGTGTGTCAGTGTGTTAGTGTGTCAGTGTGTTACTGTGTGTCAGTGTGTGTCAGTGTGTGTTAGTGTGTGTCAGTGTGTGTCAGTGTGTGTCAGTGTGTGTTACTGTGTGTGTCAGTGTGTGTCAGTGTGTGTTAGTGTGTGTCAGTGTGTGTCAGTGTGTGTTAGTGTGTGTTAGTGTGTGTCAGTGTGTGTCAGTGTGTGTTAGTGTGTGTTAGTGTGTGTTAGTGTGTGTTAGTGGGTCAGGTTGCTGTTAATCTCCGCCTCGTGTTTTAACCAGTAGTTAATGAGTTGCAGAGGCTGTCAGGGTGCAGATCAGCTCACACACACACCCCACACACATAGACACACACACACACACCACACACACACACACACGGCCCTCCCCCCATGCAGGGTGTTGGTTTGCTCCTAATGAGATGAGGTCCCAGCAGACACTCTGACTGGTTGGCTCCCAGTCTCCCCAGTAACTGAGGGCAACCACCAGCAGAGGAACCTGATATGTCAGTGAGTTCGACTCCCAGAGCCTCTGCTGCCTTTGCCAGCAGGTCTGGTGGGCGGGGCCTCAATGTGGGCGGGGCCTATAAAACAGTATTTCCAATGTTTTATTCAGCCTGGGTGGTTCTGGTGAAACCGGACCGCCTGCAGTCAACTGATCCTCCATGACCGGACAGTGCTGGTTCTGAACAGAACCTGTGACCCGGTTCCTCTGTCTGCGTTCTGGCCCTCCCTCCGGCTCCTGGCGTGTCAGGTGTTGGGACTGGGGTCGGATGTTGAGGAATGGCGCGGTTCCCTCCCTGCTACTTCCTGACCCAGACAGCAGCTGTTTCCTGCTGACGGGTCAGAACCGGTATGCATGCTTCTACTGTGTCACTGCTTGGACAGAATGAGGGTAAATGAGGAATGTGGTCCGGAATGAAATGGTCCAGAACCGGTCTGGTTCTAACGGTTTGTCGAAGCCCCATTGCTAGGTTGACCTTTGACCTCCTGAGCCATAACATTTCAATTACCCTGAAATAAAAATCAAGCCTGGTTCTTGGAGGAGGATGATGGTGATGATGAAGATGGTGATGATGAAGATGGTGATGATGAAGATGATGATGATGATGATGATGATGATGATGATGATGATGGTTCTCCTGCAGGAGACGCTGCAGCAGCTGGTAGTGATGCCGCCTCCCAACATCCTGCTCATCGCTAACGACCCCATGTCAGGTAACACACCTGGAGATCTGCTCCCAGTCTTCCCAGTGCCGTCTGAAGAACCAGGCAGTAGTGATGGGCAGATGAGGGTGTATTTCCCAAACTGTGTCGACACTGTGTTGAAACTGTGTTGCTGTATCACTCAATGGCGACATCTGCTGGATTTAAAAAGTAATTGCAGGCAACTTCAATAAAGCCTGGAAACAGACTAAACAAGGTTCATTTACACATTTTCATTTAGAAACATCAGCTGCATTAACATCTTTGGGCCAAGGCGATTGGTCAATTTTAACTGTTTACAAATCAGCCGAGATGAATGCTGCAGTTTCTTTCTTCTGACGTATTTCTATCTTGAAAAATTGAAAGTGCAATTAGATCATACATAAATTCATTTTTAGGACGAAATTTAGTACAATTTTATACAACATGATGTAGTATAATCACGTTGTTGTATACATTTCATCTACAATAGAAATAAAAGTGAATCCATGTAAACTAATGAAAGTATTCTTCAGAAAGAAATTGGAGTAACCCGACAGAAGAATGATCAATAGAATGATCAATAGTGGAAACGAGAACGGAATAATAATTGACCTTATTCTCTGTCAGAAGATCAAAATGATCCATACGGGAGAAAACTTCCTCTTCCTTGTTGATCCATAGTTTTCGATGACAAGCCAAACAACACAAACTATCTCCATCCAACAAAACCCACAAATGCGTCGATACATTTTCTGTTTATTAATACAACTTGGCGCGTTCACAACCAAACGACACAGGAACTGGATCGGTCACGTGGTTTTCCTTAAAGAGATACGCGCACCGACACGGGGCTTCGCCTCGTTTGCTCGCTGCATGCGCCGAGGTTTCAGTGTCGTCAGACCGATCACAACCAGACAGTGCTCCTCCTACACCTGCTGCTCCTCCTACACCTGCTGCTCCTCCTACACCTGCTGCTCCTGCTGCTCCCACTATCAGTCTGCTTTGTCTCCTCAGTGGGGAGCATGGAGGAGCTGAAGCGCCTGCTGCTGCTGCTGTTGGGCTGCGCCGTGCAGGTGAGTCTGGCCATATGGGCGGGGCTCAGTGAGGGCGGGGCTCCGTGAGGGCGGGGCTAAGTGAGGGCGGGGCTCCGTGAGGGCGGGGCTCCATGAGGGCGGGGCTCCAGGGGAGGTATGGTGTGAGCGCTCTGGCTGTAACCTGAGCATCAGGTGAGGGTTTCCTGTTTCTTCCTTTGTTTCCGGCGCTGGTCCGACTGGTTCCAGTAAGGGGGTGGTTACCATGTTTGGTCCGGCAGGAATTTGTTAAACAAACCTGTGTAACGTTTACTGCCTGGAACAGGAAGAGCCCAGCTGGCCAGAACAGCTAAGAACTGAAGCGGGCCTGTTTGAACCTCCATCAGAACCATCCTGTCCAATCACAGCCCGGAGCAGCGTCACTGACTCCCAGTTCTGATTGGACCTGCAGGTTCTGATGGATCCGTCTGAACCACTGCAGACCCAGTGAATTTCCGTGTGGGACCAGCAGGCGGTTCTGACGTAAAGCTTTCATGCTGTCAGGTTCAATCGCCCCCCCAGCTCCCTGAATCACCATAGCAACCTGCCATGAGGGTCCGCACGGCACCAGAACCCGCTGATGTTTCCTGTCTGCCCTCAGAGCGAGCGCAAGGAGGAGATGATCGACAAGATCAAGCTGCTGGACATCCAGACGCAGGCCGCCATCGTCTCTCACATCCAGGAGGTCAGAACCGGGCCTAGGTTCTGGGGGTTCTGCTGCCCGGGTCAGAACCTCAGCGAGGAGGGAGGGGCTATGAGGGGAGGAGCTTGTAGGGCTTAGCTCCACCAGGGAGTGAATCTGGTTCTGCTTCAGGTCACTCACAACCCGCTGAACGTCCTGGATCTGTCCTGGTTGGACGATGGAGCCGAGCTCGTCCCCGAGGAGCTGGAGCCGCTGTCCCGCCACATGGCCGCGTCCCTACGGCAACTCATCGACCAGCGAGACAAAGCCACGGAGGTACGGAGGCGTCCGGTCCGTCCGGACGGGTTCTATCCGAGCCGCGGGTCCAACAGAACCTCTGCCCCGTCCCCCAGGCGATCCTGGACCTCACCCTGGAGAGGGACTACCTGTCCGACCGACGGCCCCCGGAGGGAGGCGGGACGCCGGGCCGGCCGGCCGGAACCGAGCCGACCCAGGAGGAGAAGCAGCACCTGGCCGTGGAGCTGGCCGACGCCAAGGCCAAGCTGCGCCGCTACCGGCAGGAGCTGTGAGTCGCTGCCGCCGCCATCACTGCTGTTAGTGCCAGTCAGCCCGACGAGCCTCAGCGCCGGTCAGGCTCTGCTTTAATCAGATTTATAAATATGGACGCCCTGCATGTGGTTGCTTGCATATGCAGATTTCACGCTGGAGGGCAAAAAGACTTTTCTTGTACATGCTATCCGTCGCCGCGCTGCCGCGGTAAAATAATTCCTTTGACTCAGAGAAACCTGGAAATGTAGGTATTTATAATTAATGCTGTGATCCACAGCAGAGGGAACAACCTCAAACCACTGACAACAACCTCACTTTCTGTTCCAGGAACAAAACATCCAGTCTGTTGCAGTGGTTTCAGGCTTAAGGTTTATTTTGCCATTATTAATAAGTGGCCGCTGCTATTAGCTAAACTAACAGCAGTTTGAGGGTCAAGTTTTCTTTCTGCAGCCCTCAAAACGCACATTTCATTAATAAACTAAACAAATCTATTGCCATCTCACCTTTACTTATAAATGAAGTTACTCATTCTGCACAAAAATATCAGTTCATTCAAAGCCAAGTTTATCCTCCACACAAGATGAGAAAAGAACAAAGGAAGCAGGAAAGGCCTTTTGATCACCTCTCTGTCTCCTAGTTTGAAACAAACCCTTCAGCTCCGGTGTTGGTCTTCCTTTAGCTATTGTTTCCAGCTTCAATCGAAAATCCACTTAAAATATGGAGCTAAAACTGTTCACTGCTGAATTTTGAGACTGCTTTAGCTCCATATTTAGAAATCTGTTTAAGGGCAGAAAGGATTTAATATAGAAAACATTACATATATTGCTGCACTTTACTTATTTACTGTATGTTTAGCTCGCTGTCTCTCAATCTGCAGTGTGGAGTCTCAGTGTCTCTGATCATGATCGCCCCCTGCCATGAGGCCAGAGAACTGCCTGCCTCACCTCCAGTTTGTTCTCTGGTTTCTGAGCGCTGCTCAGCTCAAAGCACATTACAAAATTGGTTGAGCTAAATTAAAAATAAATACTTCATAGTACAAACCACAGGGTGAAAATAGCAATATAAATTATCTTATAAATAATATTTCTCACCCACTACTGTTAGTGCTAATGTTAGTGTTGTTGTTAGTGCTAATGTTAGCGTTGTTGTTAGTGCTAATGTTAGTGCTGTTGTTAGTGCTAATGTTAGTGTTGTTGTTAGTGCTAATGTTAGTGCTGTTGTTAGTGCTGTTGTTAGTGCTGTTGTTAGTGCTAATGTTAGTGTTGTTGTTTGCTAATGTTAGTGTTGCTGTTAGTGCTAATGTTAGTGTTGTTGTTAGTGCTAATGTTAGTGTTGTTGTTAGTGCTAATGTTAGTGTTGTTGTTAGTGCTAATGTTAGTGTTGTTGTTAGTGCTAATGTTAGTGTTGCTGTTAGTGCTAATGTTAGTGTTGTTGTTAGTGCTAATGTTAGCGTTGTTGTTAGTGCTAATGTTAGTGCTGTTGTTAGTGCTAATGTTAGTGTTGTTGTTAGTGCTAATGTTAGTGCTGTTGTTAGTGCTGTTGTTAGTGCTGTTGTTAGTGCTAATGTTAGTGTTGTTGTTAGTGCTAATGTTAGTGTTGCTGTTAGTGCTAATGTTAGTGTTGTTGTTAGTGCTAATGTTAGTGTTGTTGTTAGTGCTAATGTTAGTGTTGTTGTTAGTGCTAATGTTAGTGTTGTTGTTAGTGCTAATGTTAGTGTTGTTGTGTTAGTGCTAATGTTAGTGTTGTTGTTAGTGCTAATGTTAGTGTTGTTGTTAGTGCTAATGTTAGTGTTGCTGTTAGTGCTAATGTTAGTGTTGTTGTTAGTGCTAATGTTAGTGTTGTTGTTAGTGCTAATGTAGTGCTGTTGTTAGTGCTACTGTTAGTGCTGCTGTTAGTGCTAATGTTAGTGCTGCTGTTAGTGCTAATGTTAGTGTTGTTGTTAGTGCTAATGTTAGTGCTGTTGTTAGTGCTGTTGTTAGTGCTGTTGTTAGTGCTAATGTTAGTGTTGCTGTTAGTGCTAATGTTAGTGTTGCTGTTAGTGCTAATGTTAGTGTTGCTGTTAGTGCTAATGTTAGTGTTGTTGTTAGTGCTAATGTTAGTGTTGTTGTTAGTGCTAATGTTAGTGTTGCTGTTAGTGCTGTTGTTAGTGTTTTTGTTAGTGCTAATGTTAGTGTTGCTGTTAGTGCTAATGTTAGTGTTGTTGTTAGTGCTAATGTTAGTGCTGTTGTTAGTGCTAATGTTAGTGTTGTTGTTAGTGCTAATGTTAGTGTTGCTGTTAGTGCTAATGTTAGTGCTGTTGTTAGTGCTAATGTTAGTGTTGTTGTTAGTGCTAATGTTAGTGTTGCTGTTAGTGCTAATGTTAGTGTTGCTGTTAGTGCTAATGTTAGTGCTGTTGTTAGTGCTGTTGTTAGTGCTAATGTTAGTGTTGCTGTTAGTGCTAATGTTAGTGTTGCTGTTAGTGCTAATGTTAGTGCTGCTGTTGCGTGTTGCTGTGCTAATGTTAGTGCTGCTGTTAGTGCTAATGTTAGTGCTGTTGTTAGTGCTGTTGTTAGTGCTAATGTTAGTGTTGCTGTTAGTGCTAATGTTAGTGTTGTTGTTAGTGCTAATGTTAGTGCTAATGTTAGTGTTGCTGTTAGTGCTAATGTTAGTGTTGTTGTTAGTGCTAATGTTAGTGCTGTTGTTAGTGCTAATGTTAGTGTTGCTGTTAGTGCTAATGTTAGTGTTGTTGTTAGTGCTAATGTTAGTGCTGTTGTTAGTGCTAATGTTAGTGTTGTTGTTAGTGCTAATGTTAGTGTTGCTGTTAGTGCTAATGTTAGTGCTGTTGTTAGTGCTAATGTTAGTGTTGTTGTTAGTGCTAATGTTAGTGTTGCTGTTAGTGCTAATGTTAGTGCTGTTGTTAGTGCTGCTGTTAGTGCTAATGTTAGTGTTGCTGTCAGTGCTAATGTTAGTGTTGCTGTCAGTGCTAATGTTAGTGCTGCTACCACCACCTCAGTGGTTCTCCTTCCTGGTGATGAACAGCCGCTGGTTAAGCTCCGCCTCCTGCTGGTCCACCTCGTCCCGGGTCGACGCCTCGGGAGCTCGAGGTGCCCTCTGACCTTCTGCTGCCAAAAGCTGCTCAGTGTGTCGCTGTGGCTCGGTGTGTCCATGGTAACAGCAATAGAACCTTTCCATCAGAACCGACTGTCAGAGTGCAGGTAGCTGCGCTAAGCTAACGCTAAACTGCTAAACTCATAGAAAATTAGCAGAAGCTAAAGCTATCTATGAAGACGTATTAGCAAAAACGTGAGTTTCTGGTTTCCGGTTTACTCTGAAGTTTTATCAACAGGTCGACCAAAGTGGGAAACATCTGATGAGACATAATGTCGTAAAAATGGGCAACATTTTATAGCAATATCTGGTTTAAAAGGCTGATGGGAAATATGGAAGATGTTTAGAGTAACAAGCTGCTGAACCAGTTCTGTGACAGTTTGGATCTGATGGTTCTGGTTCTGTTTGTAGGGAGGAAAAAACAGAACAGCTGATGGATTCAAAACATGAGGCGGAGCGTCTGGATCAGGAGCTGCAGAAACTCAAGCAAGAGGTCTGATTTCGCTCTGGTCAGAGACAGAACCTTCGTCCGGCCCGGTTACACTTATTGTGTGTTTGTGCATCAGAACCAGTCGCTGTCCTGCGAGGCCCGTTCGGTCCGAGCGTACCGGGACGAGGTAGATGCCATGAGGGAGCGAGCGGCGCGGGTGGACCGTCTGGAGGCGGAGCTTAGCCGCTGCAAGGAGCGGCTCAACGACGTTCACTTCTACAAGACCCGGATGGAGGTGGGCGTGAATACTTTGAGCACAGGTTTTGTGTGGCTCCGGTCGGATCCGGCCTCCTGATTGCGCTTCGCTCCTGCAGGAGCTGCGAGACGACAACACGACGCTGCTGGAGACCAAGGTTTTGTTGGAGGAGCAGCTGGCGGCCGCCAGGGGGCGCTGCGACAAGCTGCACACGCTGGAGAAGGATAACCTGCTGCTGCGCTCCAAGATCCACGACCTGGAGATGGTACGCTACCAGAACCTGAACCTGACAGTCCTCTGTGGGTCCAGGTTCCCTCCAGAACCAGAAGCGAAACCTGACGGTCCTGGTTGTCCTGCAGGAGCGCGAGGCAGAGCGGCGCCGGCTGGAGGAACTGCTGGAGGAGAACCTGCTGCTAGAACTGGGCCAAAAGCAGAGCATGAACGAGTCGGCCCATCTGGGCTGGGAGCTGGAACAGCTCGCCAAGAACCACGACGGCCCCACCTCGGAGAGTACGGTTCTGATCGGCCCGCCTGGCCGCTACCGGGTCAGCTCCCTGGAGCGGCTGACCTCTCTGACCTTTCTGCTCCACAGGTCGCAAGTCTCTGGTCCACGAGCTCAACGAGGGCGTCTCCAGCCGGGTTCTGAAGCTGGAGAAGGAGAACCGGGAGCTGCAGGCCTCCATAGAGACACTGAAGGAGGAGAACCAGCTCCTGCAGGAGCAGCAGCTGCATACACAGGAGCTGGACCGGGAGAACCACAGCCTGAGCAACAAGGTGAGCAGGAGCTTGACTGGCAGATGGAGGAGAACCACAGGAGCTCTCCTGCTGAGGTCAGGATCCAGAGGACTGAGATCCTCTGGGGGATCCTCTGGTTTGGGATCAAGAGCCAGACTCCTGACCACTTTCCTCAGGAGAAACGGCAGTGGGCTCGTCCAGGAAAGAGGCCTCATCTTTCATACTGAAAGTCTGCACTGCGGAGAAAATCTGAAGCAGTTCAAGTGGATAAAGTCACCGTAGATCAGACGCATCACCATAGAAATGTTTGCGTATATTTTGCAAACTGTGTGTAAATCTTCGCAGTGTTTCTTTGCATTCGCCACCGTGGACAGATGTCCAGCCGAGCGGTTCCCGCTGGCTAACCCTGATGTGTTTTTCCCAGCTGGAGCATCTCCAGGTTCTGCTGGACCAGGAGAAACTGACCAATCAGGACATGGAGACTCTGGGGGAGGAGCTCCTGAAGGAGAAGCAGAGTCTGGAGCGAGAGATGCACGCTCTGCGGGCCGACAAGGACCGCCAGGTACGTCTGCCTCTTCACCTCGTCCTATCATTTACCCCCACAGCCTCCTCACCATCTCGTCCAATCAGATCTCAGAGCTGCAGAGCGAGCAGCAGCACCTGTCGGAGGCGGTGAAGGCCCTCCAGGAGCGCGCTCAGTCCAGCAGCGAGGCCCGAGTCCGGGAGGCAGAGGCCAAGAACCGCCTGCTGCACCAGAGCGTCACGGACGCCGGCTCGCGGCTGGCCAGCCTGGAGGCGCAGTTGAAGGTGGTGAGCGAGGAGGCGGAGTGTCTGAGGGAGCGGGCGGGGCGCTGCGAGGAGGCGCAGAGGGAGGCGGCCCGTCTGGAGCGAAGCAGGGAGGCTCTGACCCAAGAGGTAGGCACCAGGATCTGTGCTGGTTCCTGGTCCAGGTGCAATCAGCTCATCCCTGCTCTGCCTCCAGGTGGCGACGCTGCGCTTATGCAGTCAGCACACGGAGGCCCTGGAGAGGCAGGTAACCTCCCTGCAGCAGGAGGCGCTCCGCCTTAGGCGGGATGCCGAGGAGGCCCAGAAAGAGCTGCAGCGGCTGGCCCAGCAGGAGGCACAGAACAGCCTGCTGTCCATGGAGAATCTGGAGCTCCGCCGCTCCGTGGAGAACCTGCGCTCCTCCTCCGCCCGCCTGCCCACACTGGAGGAAGAGCTGCAGGAGGCGCGGAGGGAGACCCAGCAGGCCCAGAGGAGTCTGGAGGAGGTCTGGGAGGAAGCACAGGGAGAGAGGAAAAGGGCAGAAAGGCTGGAGCTGAACCTGTTGGCTCTGAACCAGGAGAAACAACATCTACAGGAGCAGCTGGAGAGGAGCAGGGAGGAGAAGCTGGAGGCGGACGGGAGGGCCAGGGAGAACCAGAGAAGGGAGGAGGAGCTGAAGGAGGAGCGCAGAAGAAGAGAGGAGGCAGAAGAGGAGAGGAGGAAGCTTCAGTTAGATCTGGAACAAGCAGAGAGGAGTCGCAAGCAGCTGGAGAAGGAGAACCTGAGGATCCGAACGCTGCAGGAGGCCAAGGCGCTAGAGCTGGAGGAGACAGCCAGCCTGGCTGCCTCCTCTCTGAAGGAGGCCACAGCCCTGAAGAGGGAGCTGGAGAGGCTGGAGGAGGCGTCAGCTAAAGCCAAGGAGCTAGAGCGGGAGAACAAGGAGCTGCAGAAGGAGACTACCATCGACAAGAAGACCCTGGACACCCTGAGGGAGGTCAGGAGGAGACGGAGGATTCCTCTGGAAGCAGCGACCAGGAGGAGGCGCTCTGAACTCTGACCTTCTCTCCGCAGGAGCTGGTATCTGCAAAGCTGAAGGCCCAGCAGCAGAACCTGGAGCAGGAGAGACTTGATGAGGAGCTGGAGAGGATTGGACTGAGCCGGGAGAAGCTGCTGCAGCAGGAGCAGACACTGGAGGACAGGTAGGACAGGAGGGGGACGGGGGGACAGGGATAGGGGGACGGGAAGGAGGACAGGTAGGACAGGAGGGGAACGGGGGGGACAGGGATAGGGGGACGGGAAGGAGGACAGGTAGGACAGGAGGGGAACGGGGGGGACAGGGATAGGGGGACGGGGAGGACAGGGATAGGGGGACGGGGAGGAGGACAGGTAGGACAGGAGGGGAACGGGGGGACAGGGATAGGGGGACGGGAAGGAGGACAGGTAGGACAGGAGGGGAACGGGGGGGACAGGGATAGGGGGACGGGAGGAGGACAGGTAGGACAGGAGGGGGGCGGGGAGGACAGGGATAGGGGGACAGCAAGTTGCTGTCGATGGATCTGGACACATCAAACCAGCTGCAGCAGTAACATCTGTGTCTGAAGGCCGACTGTAATTCTGAACCGGTTCTGACCAGCAGGTGGCCCGACCCGAACGTCCATCGGACCCTGAAGGAGGAGATCAGCGGCCTGGAGAGGAAGCTGGAGGAGAGCAACGCCCTGAACGAGTCCCTGCGCCGCCAACTGACCACCGTAGGTCCACACAAAGTTCTGACCCGGATCAGATGGTTCTGACCCGGATCAGATGGTTCTGACCCAGTCCTGCCGGTTCCTGTGTTCAGCAGCAGAAGGACAGCTCCCAGCATGCCTCGGTGCTCGGCGCCGCTCCACAGCTGCTGCGCTTCCAGGATCATCTGATCGCCGTGGAGAAGAGCGTAAGAATCCCTGATTATCCATCTGCCGGTTCTGGTTCTGGTTCTGGTTCTGGTGCTGGTTCTGGTGCTGGTTCTGATAGGTGGTTTTCTGCAGAACGCCTCCCTGCAGACGGAGAGCAGCTTGCTGAAGGAGCAGCTGAAGCAGCTGGAGAACCAGAACAGTTCCCTCAACAGCCAGATGGCGGCGCTGCAGCGCCACGCCTCCACCCTGCAGGAGCACAACGCCGGCCTGCACACCCAGACCGCCAAGCTGCAGGTGGCGCTGCGCCGCCGCACGTCCCCCGAGGGCGCTGCGAGTCCCTCGTCTCACCCTCTGTCCTCCTGTGTCTCAGGTGGACATCTCAGCCGTGTCCTCGCAGAGCGCTTCCCTCATGGCCCAGAATGCCGTGCTGCAGGGCCAGGTGGGGGCCCTGGAGGCCGAGGCGGAGTCGTGGCAGCGACAGCGCGACGAGGCGTGGCGCGCCCGCGAGAGCGCGCTCGCCGACCATGAACGCCTGCTGAGCGTCCACGAGAGGCAGGCGCACGAGTACGAGCAGCTGATCAGCCAGCACGCAGCGCTGAAGGGCCAGCAGAGGGCGCTGGAGGGCGAGCACCGGGCGCTGCACAGCAAGTGAGTCCTGTTAGCGTCACAGGAGGAAGACTTGGGCTGCTTCTGGATGCTTTTCCTGATTATTTCTGATGACTAGAAAAGGAAACGATCCGTCAGCTTCAAGTCGTCTTTCCCGTCTCGGCAGCCGGTCCAATCCGGGACAGGAAGCCTCTCCGTCAGCAGATGATAAAATATTTCAATCTTAGACTTTACTTCCTCCCACCAGGGGCGGCAGCCCAGCACCTTGTCGCCCCCTGGTGGCCGGAGTCAGTCTGTAGCTCCATGCCGAGCTGCAGGATGGGGGATGCTTCTTGTGAACAGAACCTGACCCGGTTCACTGATCCAGGTGTTTCTGCAGATACCAGGCTCTCCTGCAGCTGAAGGACCGGTGGGAGGAGCAGCAGGAGGCGCAGCAGCTGAAGCAGGAAGTCCAGAAGAACAGACTGCTCCAGCAGGAGAACCTGCAGCTGAAGTCTGAAGTGGACCGGTAAGAGAACCAGAACAGAACCTGCTGGTTCTGTGCTGGGTCATCCAGAAGCCGGGCCTCACTGCCTGGTTCTGGACCGGTCCAGAACACAGAGGCAGTCATTTTTCCAATTAGCTTCAATAGTTTCTCGATGAGGCAAGTCGTCCTGCACCATCAGGGGGCGACACAGGAAACACCAACATGGCCGCTGAAGGAACTGAACTACCACAGGTTTTAGTGAGCGGGGTCAGAACCGGGTCAGAACCGGGTCAGAACTGAGAGGAGGAAGGAAAACGGTTTGTGGTTTTATCTGCTGACCGAGACCAGAGCCAGCCGGGTTCTGATCCGGGTCGCTTCTCTCCTCATCTGCCCAGATTTACCCAGAACCAGAACCAGCATGCCGAGCAGAACCAGAACCTCCAGAAGCGACTTAACGAGCTGAAGAACTCTTTAAGCTCAGCTCAGCAGGAAGTGAGCCAATGGACGTCCCGGTACGACTCGCTGGTGGACCAGAACCAGAACCTGGACCTCTCCATGACCAAACTGGAGAACCACTGTGAGGTGAGGTAGCAGTTATAAGCTGGGTCAGGTCAGAACCCGGGCCAGAACCCAGCCAGAGTTAATCTGCAGAGGAACTACACACAGTAACGGTGGGCCCGGTTCTGGTTCTGGCTGTGCAGCTGCTGAGCCGCCTGAAGGGGAACCTGGAGGAGGAGAACCACCACCTGCTGAGCCAGATCCACCTGCTGGGTCAGCAGAACCAGACGCTGCTGGAGCGCAGCCTGGAGAGCAAGGAGCAGTTCCACCAGGAGCACAAGCTCTACATGTGAGTCGGACCGGAACTGGGACCTCTGTCTGACCTCTGTCTGACCTCTGTCTGACCTCTGTCTGACCTCTGTCTGACCTCAGAGACAAGCTGAACGCGCTGCGGCGACAGAAGGAGAAGCTGGAGGAGAAGATCATGGACCAGTACAAGTTCTACGACCCGACACCCAAAAAGTAGCAGCGCTGCTGGTTCTGGAGGGTTCTGGTCCAGCCCGGTTCTGACGTCAGGTCTGTGTTTCAGGAGGAGCCAGTGGTCCGGAGCCAGAGCTCTGGTTAAGCTCATCAAGCCCAGGAAGGAGAACGGCCAGGACCAGAACCGGGAGCGGACCCGGAGCGCTCCGGACATCCCTCTGCCGGCCACGCCGCCCCCCATCCCCCCGGAGGCCCCGCCCCCCGCCCCAGGAAGTGACTCGCTCAGTAACCTTAGCAACCGCAGCGGCAGCCCAGGCCGGACCGCCCCCCCCAGCCGAGGTGAGCCCGCTCCACCGGAACCGGAACCGGCAGTCTGCTGGTCCAAACAGCAGCTGCTGCAGGTTATTGTTGCCTTGGAAATGGTGAGGGTTCCTGTTGGGTTCAGAACCACCAAAACCCAACAGAACCACCAAAACCCAACAGAACCACCAAAACCCAACAGAACCACCAAAACCCAACAGAACCACCACCAGGGTTTGGTATGAAAAGATGTTCATCACTAGTTCAGGCTGAACAAACCCCGTGTGGCTAACGCAACACAGAAACACAAACTACATGTTGAGTCATTCCTGAGCTTCATGACGACACGATCAGGTCGGGCTGAGGAACCTGGTTCTGACCCGGTCAGACCAGGAGTTTCATCAGCCATGAGACCAGCTGGTGCTGCAGCACTCAGACCAGGACCAGCTGGTGCTGCAGCACTCAGACCGTCATTGCAGCCTCAACACCCGTCAGATAAACTGTTACCTCAATTCTTTGCACTTCTTTAATCCAAATGAAGTCAGGGTCAGGGGTCAGGCCCCCACGGACCATAAATGATCATATTTCATTAATAAATGTAACATTTATTTATTGAGATGATCAATGGTGGTAATTTGATCTAATGGTTCCAGCATCAATTCAAATATTTTAAATCAACATTTACATGTCAGCTTTTAAGGAGCTGGCAAGTTTACTTTGTAAAAGTTCAAAGAACAATCTTCAAAGTTAGATTATTGTACCATAGCAACAATCTGATGCTGTAAATTTAATCTTTGAGTTTGATCTCTTTGTTCACAAAAACAAAATAGTTTTTATGTTAATCTACTATAATCTCTCAGATTAAATCCAACAGAAGCTGTTAGAGGTTCTGATGGTTTAGCAGCAAGAGGGGCCCACAGGTCAGGTTCTGCCCCGGGCCTCATGCAGCCTTGGACCGGCCCTGCAGGATGAGTTCAAATCTGCTTCACTGCAGAGATGAGCAAGAAACGGAAATTTCATTTAAACCTGCTAATGTGGCTTTAGCAGCTCTAATATTTCTGTCTGTTGACTTTTTAATAAGAGTCACAGAAACTGATTGAATTGCTGGAGTTTCTCTGATCTCTGCGCGGACTCCGTCTAAGTGGACAAAACGTTTGATCTGGTTTGATGCTTCATGTAACTGGAAAAACAAGATTAAAAATAATAAGGAAATATAAAGCCAGCGTGGTGCATGACTGCGAGGAGGAGAGCGTGAAAGCTCCTCACCGGCTGAATCTGCATGCTGAGGTTTAGCCTGGTTCGCTAACCGCTAACGCTCCGACCAGCCGGGAGCACAGACATGAACTTCACTGGTAAGACAGAGTTTTTCCCTCTGCTCTGTTTTTGGAGCCTTTCTTTGCACATCCTCCAAATCTACAAATGATGGATCTGGTGAACCTGTCTCAATGCAACTGACCAAGGGTTTCAGGGATTCAATTATTTGAATTCCTTTCTTTGATTGGAACCCGGTTCCTCCATTATTATTATTATTATTATTATTATTTATTATTATTATTATTATTATTATCGTCACAGTTGTGATTGCAGACACTCTCAGTGAGTGCTGGGTGGAGACATCCTCAAAGGAAGCGGATCCAAGTGGAAAACCATTTGGACCGACCCATGGATATAATGTGCATCAGGCCTCAGGCTCCCTCTGTTTGCATAAACTGACGGAGGATTAGAAGGAGTGGGGCTCGCTGATGATGCAGCTGATGTTTATGCAGGATAATAGGATTTCTGCTGTTTGGAGCTTGCGGATACCTGGCAGATCGACAAATTTGTGATGGACTTGGCTAACTAGCGAAAACCGCGACTGTTTGTGAGGATGGAAACGCAAGTTGGATGTGATGCTTGCTGAGACTCACAGCCCAGATGAGGAATTGAAAACTTACTGACAGGATGGAATCGATTTTGCAGAAGTTGGTAGTTTCGGTTCAGTGGAACAACTAAATTAATTTGGATAACTGGGAACTGAGATGAATTGGAGAGACTTCAGGGAAAATTGAAATGTATAATCTACTAACCTCAGACATTCTGGATCTGAATTGGCTTCACCCGTGTTGCCTTGGAAGACCTGCATATTTCTAATCTCCTTGCCGGAAGCGCCGGCTCGCCTCCCGGGCGCTTCCGGGGCGAGCCGGCGCTTCCGGCTGCATGGGACTTCTGCTGGGAGGCTGAGCAACCTGGTTTCATGGCCCCTCATGTCACCGCCTTCACTCATGTCTTGTTTTGTCCTTGGTTTTGTCTGAATGTTGCCATGGGCCCAAATTTGTCCTTTCCTCTTTTTTGTTTTATTTTGTTAGGAACTGTGGCGTACTGACTTTGAACCCAGAAAAGGATTTAGATTAGTCGCTCTTTAGCTTATATTTCAGAAAGTGCTCACTATGTGGACCAACATTAGATTAATATTAATGTTCTACACCCAATAGAATGTCTCTTTATATCTTTGTTCATTTTCATTTTGGCGGTAGAAAAGTGGTATCAAATTGTGCAGCTCGATCTCGAGAAAGAAGTTATTACTTTTAGTGGGATTCGGAGTTACCATGGCAACATAAATCGCAAAAAACAACGCCCCAACATCCCATTCAAGACAATCGGACTTTTAGGAAAAGAATCCTAAAAATATCCTATTTTTGTGGATTTTCTATGTCGTCATGAATTCACGTAGAAATGCCATTCAAATTTAAAATTGTTTCAAGAGCAAAACATTCTGAAGCTTTTATTGTGGCGGTGCGCCAGCATAGAGTTAGACTGAATAGATCCACCTGTTGTCTCAGATTCCCGGGTTTCCCCCAGAAAACCGGCAGGTTTGATACATCGACAGGAAACGTGAAATATTCTGTTACTGGGAGACATTGTGACTTCAACCCACAACTATAGAATCTAAACAACAATACAAGTGAAATACATATCAATTATTGGCACTTGTGTCAAATCCAAATGAAGGGTTAGCGTTAGGGTCAGTGAGTGGAGGCCATGCTGGTCACATTTGGGCCAAGGCACAAACAAACTCCGAGAATATCAATGCTGTTCAATTTCATGCTTTCAGCACAGATTGCTGTATTTTCTAGACTATAAGTCACAGTTTTTTTCATAGTTTGGCCGGGGGGCGACTTATGTGTGAAGTTATTAACACATCATTATATCAGATCACATGTTATTTTCACATTAAACCACAAGAGGGCGCTCTAGGCCTGTTATTCTACCTGTGGAGTTAGCGGAGTTGTTTACAAGCGACACTGAGGATGAAGATTTAGTGATTTGGAGAGACAATCTTGTTATTTAAGCTACAGTTATCTGAATAACTCTTAATATGTTATGTTAACATGGCAGGCGTGTTCTCAGCAGTTCGTTGTTCATGTGTCATGTAGCGTTAGCATACCGTATAAATATTCAGCCTGTTGTTGCCTCTGTTCTGTTTCTGTCTTTCAAGATGACATGTCTGCTCTTGATGTTGGATTTGATCAAATCTATATGTATTTATCTTTTTATTATGCATTTTATGACTTATAGTCTGGAAAATACAGTAATTGAAAGATTTTTAATATTTAAATGTGAGATTTTAAGGAGCTGGCAAGTTTACTTTGTAAAAGTTTAGTCATCATAGCAACAATCAGATGTTTCAGTTTCATGTCATGATGCATCTTGATGAACTTCAGATGCATTTACCTGCTCAGCCAGGTAAACCCAGGAACTTCCTTCAGTATCAAACCGATACAGATATTGATATCAGATCAGTGCATCCCTAGTTCTGCTGGGAAACAATCAATATCTGATCAATGACTTTTCTTTTACTCATCTTCCTCCTATTAGCTCCTCCCCCCAGACGTTTCCATTTCCTGCGCAGCAGAAGTCAGGACAAGCTCCTCCCCTCCTCTTCCTCCTCTTCCTCGTCTCGCCCCGTCCTCTCTCTCTCCAGACGCCTGCGGTTTTGGTCGTCTTCTGACATCGCAGATGACATCATCAGTAGTCCTCCAATCCCAGCCACAGGAGTTTTCTAGACCCCTCCCCCTTCTTCATCATCATCATCATCTCCCCTCTTTCTCTCTCTCTCTCTGCATGCTGATGGACGAGTTAATAGTGAGTAGTTCTGTGTTTACCTGTTGCCCCGCCTCTTCCTGCCCAAGCCCCGCCTCTTCCTGCCACGCTCACCGCTGTTTGGCTGCTGCTCCGCCTGCTGCTCCGCCTGCAGGGGATCTGGTCCGGTTCCTGAAATTGGACCCGAGCAGAACCTCAGCAGGACATGTTGCCTGAACTGTTTCCACGGTCCTGGTCGGGTCCGCTATCCACCGTGGACCTGACCCAGAAGGACGACGTCCGCTCCGCCCTGATTGGTGCGGCCTGGGTTTAACGCTCTGTGATTGGTCCACAGGCCCGGCCGAGCACGGCGTCCATCGCAGCGGGAGCGACGGCGCCAACGGAGACGAAGCCGACGGTGAGCAGCCGCCTCGTCGCCATGACAGCACCAGCCGGGCCGAAACCTGAAACTATTGATCTGCAGCCTGAAGTTACCCAATTCCAATTTTTCTGATATTTTTGCTGAGGATGAAGAGTTATTAAGTTCACACAATAATAACGACCTGAATGAGACCTGGAAGTGTCCCAATTGCCCAGCAGAGGGCGCAATAATGCCTGCGTTCTCAGTCTTCTCCCAACCTCTATGAAAAGAAGAAGTGCTCAGTGTTTGGGGGAAGCAAACATGTATGCTAACAGTGGAGCATAGCTTACACATCTGCAGCATATTAACAACTTAATCCTCATAGGCCGCCATGTTTGTTGTTAGTCTTCCCGCTTGTGTATCAGGATGCAGAATAATGACGTTTGGCAAGTATCAGTGACATTCAGGTGGGATAAATGCAACCTGGATATTAGGTCGCGTTTGAGTCAGATACGTATGGGATACCCAAGTGGCCAGGGTTGCATTCAAAAAGAATCCGACCTTTGTTCTTCAGACTGTCATGAAAACATCGGATACAGGCTGCATTAGACACATCAGGCTGCAGACATGCAGGTCAGGTTGCAGCGCTGCATGTGATGTGACCCGGGAGTGAGCTGCAATGTTTCCATTATGTTTTACCCAACAGCGCCCCCTTCACCTCAGGAGGAGCAATCACAGGCTGTAGACTGGAATCGGTTCTGGACCGGTTGGTCCGGTTCAGCACTAAAAGCTCCTCTCGGCGGCACGGGCAGAACATCTCTAACTCTGCTGCGGGTTCTCTCCTCAGGTCCGATCCACAAGAACTGCCCGAGTTCCACTCCGAACCGGGCCTCCGGAACCGGCACGGCGGCGACCCGCAGAACCAGAACACGCTGCGTTCCTGACCCAGACATCGTCTTTGGAGGTCGACCCGGTTCTGGAGACTTCAGCCACAACACTTCTGGTTCCAGTTCCCCCATCACCTGTAGAGGTACGCCAACCCAAAACCAGTACCACCGACCCAGATGTGGTCCAGAACCCTAACCGGGTCGGTAACAGAACCGAATCTCTCTCCTGGTCTCAGATGCCTTCGATCGCCCTCGGCACTTGACCAGCCTGTCCAGTGATGATGTCATGCTCCTCAGCCAATCACAGCAGAGCCTGTCGCGGAGCTCTACCATCCCTTATGACCACGCCCCCCAGAGGGCCCAACCGCAGCGAGGAGGCGGGGCCAGGACTAAGCCCCGCCCAGGTTCTCCAGGAAGTGAGATGGTGACACTGGAGGAGTTCCTGGAGGAGAGCAACCTGCTGTCTCCGCCCCTGGTGAGAAGCCCCGCCCCCAATGCAGCCATCATCAGTTTCCTTCCTGATCGGCTTTTTGTTCCCCAGCTGTCCACCGGAGGCGCTGACGAGTTGATGGCGGACTATTTCAGCCGAAGCCCCGCCCCCTCCGCTGTGTCTGCCAGGGATCGGGCCACGCCCACCAGCTACGTCTCTCCCACCGTCCACGCGGCCAATCAGAGGCCGGGTCAGAGCGTGAAGCCTTCCCCTCGACAGCCGGTCGGCCAATCGCTGAGCAGGACCTTCAGCCTGGCGTCCGCCGACCTGCTGCGGTCCCAGGGACCCGATGGTTACCGTGGAAACGAGGCAGAGGGGGGGGCGGCGCGGCGCGGAGGCGGGGTCCGTGGCGAGCGCCCCCTGTCTGCCCGGTTCGCCGCCACGGACCTCCAGAGTCCTGCCGTCCGCCATTCGCCGTCCCTCGACCTGCAGACGGAGCGGGGGCGGAGCCGCCGCGGAGAGGTCGCCATGGTGACCCCCGTCAGGGCCGCTGCTCCCGAGGGAGGCGGCGCGCCGCCGGAGCCACGGCCCTCTGACTCCGCCCACCCAAACAAAGACGGCGGCTCCTCGGAGCGAGCCGAAAGCACGCCGGCGTCTCCGGACCCCAACAACGACCCGCAGACCGTCTGGTACGAGTACGGCTGCGTCTGAACCGGACCGGGTCAGAACACATCCCGGAACAGGACTGGACTCGCTCACACCCTGGTTCTGATGGGCTCTGCTGGTTCCGGCAGGTTGACTGCTGGGAAGCGGCCCAGAACATTCCGGCCCGGGTAAACAGAACCGCCCAGTAATTACAGCCTTCCTCCATGTTTAGCCGCCGTCCCAGAATGCATCATTCTGACACATTCCGGGAAGCAGAACCGTTGGGTCCGACCCAAAACCACTGAGCGTGGGCTGAGGCCCGGCCCAGACGGCTGAGGTTCCGCTGGGCCTCCAGAACCGGCTGCAGAAACCGGACCTCTGTTAACACAACCTGAGCTCTGGTCCGTTCAGGAACTGGACCTCTGGTTCTGGTTCCATTAGAACCCAGAGAAACAGAACTGTTTCCACATAGACACCAGCAAGAAACCCGCTCCATATCTGAACCTCCAGAACCATCAGTCGGCCTAACCGGGTTTCCCCAGAATGTTCCACTCAGTCTGGTTCTGACCCGGTCCAGCGTCTAGACCAGGAATACAGAGAAATGCGTCGTAAAGATCCGGTACAGAACCCAACAGAACTTGTTGAGCACAGGATCCAGGAAGTCTGGTTCCGGTCCATATTTTCTCTCCAGATCTCCTGAGCAGAACTTGGTTCTGCTCAGGAGATCTGGTTTCTGGAGGAGAGTCCAGAACCGTAAATGTTCTGGTTCTGATCAGCTGGTTTTCCTTTAACAGATGACGATGATGATGATGATGATGATGATGATGATGATGATGATGATGATGAAGAAACACTGAACCGGACCGGTTCTGGAATGTTTTCTGTAAATTATTCTGTAACTTTTGTAAATTTTTAGTAGTCGTAAATATTGGAGCCAGAACCCGGCCGGGTCCAGAGGTTCTGCTGTGGTTCTGGTAGAACCGGTTTGGTTCTGGCTGCACTTTGTTCTGTTGCTGTGATGTGATGACTGCTGAAAATGGACCTCTGGTTCTGGTTCTGCTGGACTCAGTAGAATAAAGATTTCTAAACTGAACCGGCGTCTGCTGCTCATGTTCGAACTGGGTTTGGATTCTCTGGGCGGTTCTGGCGGGTCACAGCAGAACCTTGTCCTCTGGCTCACCAGAGTCCCAACAGAACCTCCTGATCCAAACCGGGTCATCAAACCAAATGTTTAGAACCTACAGAAATATTTCAGCACAAAAATCAATAATGTATGTTACCTGTTCATTATCCCACTGGTAATTAACCAGTAACTACTAATAGTTAACTGGTAATTAACCAGTAACTACTAGTAGTTAACTGGTAATTAACCAGTAACTACTAATAGTTAACTGGTAATTAACCAGTAACTACTAATAGTTAACTGGTAATTAACCAGTAACTACTAGTAATTAACTGGTAATTAACCAGTAACTACTAGTAGTTAACTGGTAATTAACCAGTAAGTACTAGTAGTTAACTAGTAATTAACCAGTAACTACTAGTAATTAACTGGTAATTAACCAGTAACTACTAGTAGTTAACTGGTAATTAACCAGTAACTACTAATAGTTAACTGGTAATTAACCAGTAACTACTAGTAATTAACTGGTAATTAACCAGTAACTACTAGTAGTTAACTGGTAATTAACCAGTAAGTACTAGTAGTTAACTAGTAGTTAACCAGTAACTACTAGTAATTAACTGGTGATTAACCAGTAACTACTAGTAGTTAACTGGTAATTAACCAGTAACTACTAGTAGTTAACTAATAATTAACCAGTAACTACTAGTAGTTAACTGGTAATTAACCAGTAACTACTAGTAGTTAACTAGTAATTAACCAGTAACTACTAGTAATTAACTGGTAATTAACCAGTAACTACTAGTAATTCACTGGTAATTAACCAGTAACTACTAGTAATTCACTGGTAATTAACCAGTAACTACTAGTAATTCACTGGTAATTAACCAGTAACTACTGGTTAAGGATGTAGACTGGAATCGAGTTACCAGTAGTTACTGGTAATTAACCAGTAACTACTAGTAATTAACTGGTAATTAACCAGTAACTACTAGTAGTTAACTGGTAATTAACCAGTAACTACTAGTAGTTAACTAGTAATTAACCAGTAACTACTAGTAATTCACTGGTAATTAACCAGTAACTACTAGTAATTCACTGGTAATTAACCAGTAACTACTAGTAATTCACTGGTAATTAACCAGTAACTAGTAGTTAACTGGTAATTAACCAGTAACTACTAGTAATTCACTGGTAATTAACCAGTAACTACTAGTAATTCACTGGTAATTAACCAGTAACTAGTAGTTAACTGGTAATTAACCAGTAACTACTGGTTAAGGATGTAGACTGGAATCGAGTTACCAGTAGTTACTGGTAATTAACCAGTAACTACTAGTAGTTAACTGGTAATTAAATAGTAATTAACCCATGTTTAGGTATATTAATGGCGGGTCACTGATTCTCTACAAACTGAAAGAATCAGATAAACAGATTAGACTCCAATATGCGGAACCCTCACGGGGTCATGAGGGGCGCCATCTCCAGAGGTCAACAGGTGAGAGGCGGGGCCACCTGGAGGTCAGAAAGACAAACTACCAACCAGAAGGTTCTGATCGTGTTTCTGGAGTGAGATGGGAGTCGAACCCACAACCTTCAGGCTGCTGCTTAAAAACTTCCTGTTCCTCAAAACACATGGACTAATTATTATTGATCATATTACGACTAGTGATAATTGGTATCAATAATTTGCTGCTGCAGCGCTGACCAAACTGAATTCATGTTTTTGATGAATCTTAAATATTCGGTGAGTTAAACTATTTTCCTGAAATGATCAAACTTCAAAGTTTAACTTCCCAGAATGCACCAGGACAACCTGGTTCCTGGGCTGGGTCAGAGCCCAACAGAACCTGAACCTGTACAACAGAACTCACTCCTTCCAGAGTTCTGCTGGCGCCAGAAAGAATGTTCTGGACCTTGGTTCTGGTCAGAATTTCTCTACATTGGACGTTCGGGTCCCAGGTTCCGGTTCTGGTTCCAGGTCTGGTTCCGGTTCTGGCCCCAGGTCTGACTTCAGATGCGCATGCGCCCTCTGCTGCGGAGCCGCGTGTGCGGAGCGCAGTCAGTTTGCTGCAGACCGCCGGAGCGGAAGCAGCATCTCCGGCTCCCCGACCAGCAGCGGAGCTTCTCGGACCGAGGACGGGTCTCTGGGACCGAGGACGGGTTTCCCGCCGGACCTGCAGCTGATGGTAGGAACGTGGGGGGATATGGTCACATTGGGGATGACAAGGACAAGGGGGAGGGGGTCCGGCACGGTTCGTTGGGTTACTGATCTCCCGGTTCCGCCAAGAGCAAAGTTCAGTTAGAAATCCAGAACCAGATGTAAAAACTCAGTGAAACTAAAGTTTCTCATTTTTTCCCTCCAGAGATGAAAAACATTTCAGCTCTGAAGGTCCAGTTGGTTCTGATGGGTCTAGTTGAGTCTGGGAGTTACCAATCCAAGACCTTCTCCTTCAGTCAGGTGAAGGGCTGGACTTTGACTAGGACGTTCTGCTGCTTTGGGACCTGGTTCTGTTGATGACCCGGTTCTGATTGAGCTTTAGCTGCTCAACAGATGGACTCACAGGAGGTTCTCACACACACACACCGTCTCACACACACACACACACACCGTCTCACACACACACACACACACCGTCTCACACACACACACACACCGTCTCACACACACACACACACACACCGTCTCACACACACACCGTCTCACACACACCGTCTCACACACACACACACCGTCTCACACACACACCGTCTCACACACACACACACACACACACCGTCTCACACACACACATCGTCTTCACCTGCAGCTCCGCCTCCACACTCAGGTTGGTTCTCCAGGTGATCAAGGAGCTGCTAAAGGTTCTGGTTCTGTGATTGAACAGCTGGAAGAAGCTGATCAAACATCTCTTCCTGGAAATCATTGATAATCTGTGATTAATATCAATAATCATTACATCATTCCTGAAAGGTGTGATGAGGGGCTGTTGCCATGGTAACTGGGACACTGGCAGCCTTTGGGTATTGAAACTTATTTACATATTTATGGGCGGGGCCATCAGCTGTGACCCGCAGGCCAGGTGGGCCAGGTGGGCCTGGATAGGAAATGTATCTGTGTGGAAAGTGACCTGATTCAGTCTGAACCCAGAATTCTGAGCAGCACCAAGTCTGGAGGTTCTGATCAATCTGTCAAGTTTATTAGTAACACAATTCAGCAGCAAGACGTTTAAAGAGCTTTGCATCAGAAACACAAACTAATAGACAGACAACAATTTTGTCAAGTGACATCGTTACACATCACTGTTGATTAATGTTAATGCTGTGACTAGCGTTAGCTTGCTGTGACCAGTGTTAGCTTGCTGTGACCAGTGTTAGCTAGCTGTGACCAGTGTTAGCTAGCTGTGACCAGTGTTAGCTTGCTGTGACCAGTGTTAGATCACTGTGACCAGTGTTAGCTAGCTGTGACCAGTGTTAGCTTGCTGTGACCAGTGTTAGCTTACTGTGACCAGTGTTAGCTAGCTGTGACCAGTGTTAGCTTGCTGTGACCAGTGTTAGCCAGCTTTGACCAGTGTTAGCATATTATGACCAGTGTTAGCTAGCTGTGACTAGCGTTAGCTTGCTGTGACCAGTGTTAGCTAGATGTGACCAGTGTTAGCTCGCTGTGACCAGTGTTAGCTCGCTGTGACCAGTGTTAGCTAGCTGTGACCAGTGTTAGCTTGCTGTGACCAATGTTAGCTAGCTGTGACTAGTGTTAGCTAGCTGTGACCAGTGTTAGCTTGCTGTGACCAGTGTTAGCATATTGTGACAAGTGTTAGCTAGCTGTGACAAGTGTTAGCATATTGTGACCAGTGTTAGCTTGCTGTAACCAGTGTTAGCTTGCTGTGACCAGTGTTAGCTTGCTGTGACCAGTGTTAGCTAGCTGTGACCAGTGTTACCTAGGTGTGACCAGTGTTAGCATATTATGACCAATGTTAGCTAGCTGTGACCAGTGTTAGCTTGCTGTGACCAGTGTTACCTAGGTGTGACCAGTGTTAGCTTGCTGTGACCAGTGTTAGCTTGCTGTGACCAATGTTAGCTAGCTGTGACTAGTGTTAGCTAGCTGTGACCAGTGTTAGCTTGCTGTGACCAGTGTTAGCTAGCTGTGACCAGTGTTAGCTTGCTGTGACCAGTGTTAGCTTGCTGTGACCAGTGTTAGCTAGCTGTGACCAGTGTTAGCTTGCTGTGACCAGTGTTAGCATATTGTGACCAGTGTTAGCTAGCTGTGACCAGTGTTAGCATATTATGACCAATGTTAGCTAGCTGTGACCAGTGTTAGCTTGCTGTGACCAGTGTTAGCTTGCTGTGACCAGTGTTAGCTAGCTGTGACCAGTGTTAGCTAGCTGTGACCAGTGTTAGCTTGCTGTGACCAATGTTAGCTAGCTGTGACTAGTGTTAGCTAGCTGTGACCAGTGTTAGCTTGCTGTGACCAGTGTTAGCATATTGTGACAAGTGTTAGCTAGCTGTGACAAGTGTTAGCATATTGTGACCAGTGTTAGCTTGCTGTGACCAGTGTTAGCTAGCTGTGACCAGTGTTACCTAGGTGTGACCAGTGTTAGCATATTATGACCAATGTTAGCTAGCTGTGACCAGTGTTAGCTTGCTGTGACCAGTGTTACCTAGGTGTGACCAGTGTTAGCTTGCTGTGACCAGTGTTAGCTTGCTGTGACCAGTGTTAGCTAGCTGTGACCAGTGTTAGCTTGCTGTGACCAGTGTTAGCTTGCTGTGACCAGTGTTAGCTAGCTGTGACCAGTGTTAGCTTGCTGTGACCAGTGTTAGCATATTGTGACCAGTGTTAGCTAGCTGTGACCAGTGTTAGCATATTATGACCAATGTTAGCTAGCTGTGACCAGTGTTAGCTTGCTGTGACCAGTGTTAGATAGCTGTGACCAGTGTTAGCTTGCTGTGACCAGTGTTAGCTAGCTGTGACCAGTGTTAGCTTGCTGTGACCAGTGTTAGCATATTGTGACAAGTGTTAGCTTGCTGTGACCAGTGTTAGCTTGCTGTGACCAGTGTTAGCTTGCTGTGACCAGTGTTAGCTAGCTGTGACCAGTGTTAGCTAGCTGTGACCAGTGTTAGCTAGCTGTGACCAGTGTTACCTAGGTGTGACCAGTGTTAGCATATTATGACCAATGTTAGCTAGCTGTGACCAGTGTTAGCTTGCTGTGACCAGTGTTAGCATATTGTGACAAGTGTTAGCTTGCTGTGACCAGTGTTAGCTTGCTGTGACCAGTGTTAGCTTGCTGTGACCAGTGTTAGCTAGCTGTGACCAGTGTTAGCTAGCTGTGACCAGTGTTAGCTAGCTGTGACCAGTGTTACCTAGGTGTGACCAGTGTTAGCATATTATGACCAGTGTTAGCTAGCTGTGACCAGTGTTAGCTTGCTGTGACCAGTGTTAGCATATTGTGACAAGTGTTAGCTTGCTGTGACCAGTGTTAGCTTGCTGTGACCAGTGTTAGCTTGCTGTGACCAGTGTTAGCTAGCTGTGACCAGTGTTAGCTAGCTGTGACCAGTGTTAGCTTGCTGTGACCAGTGTTACCTAGGTGTGACCAGTGTTAGCTTGCTGTGACCAGTGTTACCTAGGTGTGACCAGTGTTAGCATATTATGACCAGTGTTAGCTAGCTGTGACCAGTGTTAGCTTGCTGTGACCAGTGTTAGCATATTGTGACAAGTGTTAGCTTGCTGTAACCAGTGTTAGCTTGCTGTGACCAGTGTTAGCTTGCTGTGACCAGTGTTAGCTAGCTGTGACCAGTGTTAGCTTGCTGTGACCAGTGTTAGCTAGCTGTGACCAGTGTTACCTAGGTGTGACCAGTGTTAGCTTGCTGTGACCAGTGTTACCTAGGTGTGACCAGTGTTAGCATATTATGACCAGTGTTAGCTAGCTGTGACCAGTGTTAGCTTGCTGTGACCAGTGTTAGCATATTGTGACAAGTGTTAGCTTGCTGTGACCAGTGTTAGCTAGCTGTGACCAGTGTTAGCTTGCTGTGACCAGTGTTACCTAGGTGTGACCAGTGTTAGCTTGCTGTGACCAGTGTTAGCTTGCTGTGACCAGTGTTAGCTAGCTGTGACCAGTGTTAGCTTGCTGTGACCAGTGTTAGCTTGCTGTGACCAGTGTTAGCTTGCTGTGACCAGTGTTAGCTAGCTGTGACCAGTGTTAGCTTGCTGTGACCAGTGTTAGCTTGCTGTGACCAGTGTTAGCTAGCTGTGACCAGTGTTAGCTAGCTGTTGCTAGGAAGGATCTGGTGGATCACCAGCTAAGAAACAGTGGATCTGCTCTGAACCAGACTCTCATGTTCTCTGCAGAGACCAGGACCAGCTGCACTTCTCTGTCCTGCAGCAAAGCGGTTCTGTTCCAGCTGGGACGTGTGGGTAAGTCAGCCATGTCTGAAGACAGCGTGATCAACTGCACCATCAGCCATGAAGTCCACCAGTATGTCTTCTCCTGCGTCTACATCCTGGTGCTCCTGGTGAGAGGCTCTGCACCGGCCGAGCAACGCTTCATTCATGCTGAACGCTTCAGGCTGAGAGGGTGGCGGAAATGCAGCTTCCTGCCTGAAGCAGTTGCTGCCGCAGTGACCAATCAGGAGAGGGTTGCTGCATCAATGCAGTCGGTTTGACGAGCTCCTTGATTTTGATCTGAAAGGTTAAGATGTTCTGTTAGGTGTGCTGTTGAAGCTGCTTCTGCCTGGTTCTGGTCCAGTCCATTTAAGGACTTCTAGAAAACTATAAAGATTATTGTGGGATGTAAAACTGTTAGACTTTTAACTTTATGTCTGAACAAAGTCTGAAAATGGACCCTGAAGTTCTGGACAAGAACTGAACCCTTCAACAGACCAGAAGCCTCTCAAGGCTCAAACCTTCAGCACCACAGGAACATTCTTCAGCTAAAGCTAGCCTGCTAATGCTCACTTACTCCTAATGCTAGCATGCTAACACCACAGTATCCTGACTTGTTGCCCAATCACAGCACAGCGACCTCTCAGCGTTAGCGTAACTTCAAACCATTTGCTGAGTTTTTTGTTTGATGGGTTTTTTTTGGAAGAAAACTCAGAAACCTAGCCTAGCCTCATGTTTAGTTGGTGATTGCAATTGTATTTGGGGCTCAGCCAATCAGCACCAAGGAAAATCAGCTTTTGGGGCTGATTGGCTCAGCCCCAAAAGCAGCAATTGGGAAGATTGTGGATGTGCTGTAGTGTTAAATCTGCCTCCGCTGCACATTAATGCATATCAAGGTATATTCAGGGTCTGAACTAAACAACAAAACAAGCAGAGTTCTGAAGTATTTGTGCTTTTTACTTAGGGTTAGGGTTATTAATTGATTTCCCCAAACATCAGTAGACATGCACAGAAAGTACAGACCCAGTGAGTGACAGGAAGTTGGTACCAAACATGGATATAAAGTCAAAGATTGGTGGCTGATTTCAGGTGGGTGTTCCCTCCAACCTGTACTCCCTGTACCACGCTGCGGTCCAGCTGAGGCAGAGGAACGAGTTGGGCGTCTACCTGCTCAACCTGACCGTGTCCGACCTGCTCTACCTGGCGTCTCTGCCCCTCTGGCTGCAGTACATCTTTCGGGTAACGGGTTCTGCTGAAGAGAAGAGCTCTGAAGGTTTGAGCAGTTTTATGACAGCCTGGTTGTTTCTGTTGCTTCTTTCAGAATGACGACTGGCAGCACAGAGAGTGGTTGTGTCAGCTTTGTGGTTTCCTGCTCTATGAAAACATCTACATCAGCATCGGCTTCCTGTGTTGCATCAGCATGGACCGCTACCTGGCCGTGGTCCATCCTCTCAGGTAGAGCCGCTGGAACCGAGTCCCGCCGGCAGCTTCAGGCCCACGGAAAACGTTTCTGCCTTCCCGTCTCCAGGTTTACCTCTCTCCGCTCTATGACTGCAGCATGGATCGCCAGCGCCACCCTCTGGCTTAAAGAGGTAGCGGTGGGTGTGGTTTTCTTTCGCCATAAAGAGGTGAGCAGAGACCAGACCAACCAGTCGGTGTGCTTCGAACATTACCCCATGATGCCGTGGGAATACCCCGTCAACTACTACCGCTTCAGCGCCGGCTTCCTGTTCCCGCTGGTCATCCTGTCCGTAAGAAACCCGTCTGCTCTGACCAAACTGATCCGGATCAATGTCTTGAGGAAGGCTCCAGGTACCATCTTGATCCCAGACCAGGAGCCTCAGAACGCCGTAAGGTCATGACAGTTGACCTCCAGCCAGGTTCATGGGGTTAGGGTTAGCTGTTAGCCATTAGCTGCACGTTCACAGCATGTCTTGATGCTCAACTCCCACTTTTTCATGAAATGTGAATTTTTCTACACTATGAATTATTTAGATTATAAATCTATAATCTGTAAATTAATGCGAGCAGTCAGACCTCAAAGCGACCCGCAGAAGAGCAGCTTGGCCACAGCTTTACCCCAGTGCAGTCTGGGTAAAGATGGCCGCCACAGCTTTACCCCAGTGCAGTCTGGGTAAAGATGGCCGCCACAGCTTTACCCCAGTGCAGTCTGGGTAAAGATGGCCGCCACAGCTTTACCCCAGTGCAGTCTGGGTAAAGATGGCCGCCACAGCTTTACCCCAGTGCAGTCTGGGTAAAGATGGCCGCCACAGCTTTACCCCAGTGCAGTCTGGGTAAAGACTGACAACTATCATTTAGTATACGGAAGTGGAACAGAGTAGATTTGTATTTGGGAGAAAAAATCAGAACTGGGTCGATCAGCTGAAATTCTGGATTTGCCTGCCGTCTTCCTTGTTCCATCACTAGAGGGCGCCATTCGCACCGCCACGCATAGACACAGAGAACAGACAACTCATGGATCGCTCGCCTATTGTCGCTGACGGGCCGCCATCTTGGACAGGTCAACCGCTCCCTTGAGCGTCATATGTTTGACAGGCGCATTAAATTTATAATAAGTCGCTAATCGGATTTTCACGCTTTTTTTTTGCTGTAGATCTAATCTAAACAGCTATCATAGCTGCATGTACAAGGACATTTATTTGAAGTATTTTTGAATTGGATCTATTGATGGTTCAGCAGATTTGAACATTGCAAGAATAGAACAGAATAGAATAAATATTCTGTTTCAATGTATGATGAGCATTTACAAAGCACACAGCCATTCATAATTTTTTGTAAACATACAAAATTATTTAGTATATTACATGCAAAATAAACAAATGAATTACAGAAAAACAAAGATGATTAAATAATTAATACTGAAATATACATGTTAGGTGATGCATATACATATCAGCAACGTGCAGTCAGGGGAGGCAAAATGGAAAAATATGATAAAATCATTTATATTGCTATTTTCACCGTGTGGATTGTACAGTATTTATTTTTCATTGAACTTTATCAATTTGGATTCTTTTTTCTTCAAAATCTCTGATTGTTTGCGTTTTCCCATTCAGACGCTCAGAAGACAAATCATGGTTCCCTGTGAACTGGTGAATGTTCTCAAGTATGATATTATAATTTGAACAGCAACCCTGACTTCATTTCTAAGTCAGGATTGAGGAATAATTCAAACTTTTGAAGATTTACTCCTGGCTTTATGACTAATCTGATCTGGTGGCCATAAATACATAATATTCTAATATCTGACTGACATTATGCATGAGCATCAACAGCCCGTCGATTTGAACACAAATATCCCACAGAGCTCAAGTTTCTCCTGCTGTTAGCTTAGCGAAGTAGAAGCGACCTCTCCAAGATGGCCGCCGCTCGAGCAGCCAGTGCAGGACTGGTCCTTATAACGTCTGTGGCTCCTGATGCAGGTGAGCTACCTGAGCGTTCTTCGCGCTGTGGGCCGCAGCGCAGGAACCCAACCGGACCAGAAGACCCGGATCCGGCAGCTGGTCAGCAGCACCGTCCTCATCTTCCTGGTCTGCTTCTCTCCGTATCACGTCTTCCTGCTGCTGCGGACGCTGTTCGAGCGCGACTGCATCTTCATCGCAGGTGAGTTTCCTGTCGGGAACAGGTGACCCGGGCACGGTTTTTCATCTCCGTCTCTGATTCTTGCAGGAATCTTTAACTATTACCACGTGTCGCTGCTGCTCACCAGCCTGAACTGCGTCGCTGACCCGGCGCTCTACTGCTTCGTGAGCGAGAGCGCCCGCCGCGGCCTGCACCGCGCCGTCGTCAGACCCGTCGTCAGACTCGTCTGCTGCTGCCGCCGCAGAGGGAACGCCAGCCCTGTCGGCCCAGCCGGCGACTCCCACGAGGTGGCGACGGACGGGAACGGCGGCCGGAGTGTGACGCTGCTGACCCACAGCTACACCAAGACAGGCAGCGGAAATGCGACCTCTGACCCCTCGACTGTCCCAGACGAGTCCGGTGGGGACATGGGAGGAAGGACTGGGGACAGGAAGTGCAGCTGAAACACGGCAGCCGCAGGCGGTCGGACCGCCAGCCCGGGTTAACGCCGTTACCGAGCTTTCGTCCGATCAGCTGAACGTTAAATTTTGACCTTTGACCTGTAGTTTCTGCAGGGGGACTGGCTGCCCTTTGTTAATTGGTCAAAAACCGACTGGAGACAATCTGAGTGAAAGAAATGTGCGCAGACTGAGCCAGAAACTTTCTGTAGTGGAGAATAGCAGGAACCCAACGTCCGGAACCGACCGGATGGAACCAGTTGGAACCGGATAGAACGGATGGAACCGGATGGTACCGGATAGAACTGGATAGAACTGGATGGAACCGGATGGTACCGGATGGTACCGGATAGAACTGGATAGAACTGGATGGTACCGGTCAGCTGGGCTGCAGTTCTCACTGAATCTTCTTTTCTTTCAGTGACTCCATCATGTCAAACAGTTTTTATGGCTGTTTGCTCTAATATTTTATTTCTTTATCATGATGATTGAATGAAAACATTTCAAACGTCACATCACACTAATAAAAACAATATTTTTAAAAACAAACGAAGGAATCTGCCAGGAGTTCTGGACCCGGTTCTGGTGAACCGAGTCAGTCATGATTTACATCTTTATTACAGAGAAATCATAAAGTGTTGATGATAAACGTTCCTGAACCGGCTGCCACTCCGTGCCAAGGACCTAATCATGGCCTCCGGGTCGGTTCTGATCCAGGGAGCCTAGTGTGACCTTCAGGAGCCGGCTGATTATCTGGGAGTGTGTGGGGTGAAAGGTCAAGCCGTCCACCTCCATAGCCAGGTTCCCCGTTTTCCCGCTTCGTATTCCGAAACGCACCAGCGTTCCCAGGAACAGCTCCTCCTGGTGGACGCAGAGCAACAGTTAGGATGTCACTTTATGGTTCTCGTACCATCAGAACCTCACGGTACCTTCTGGACCGACGGCAGGTTCCTTCTCCAGTCCTGCAGCTGCAGGTCAGAGGTCACTGGCTGCAGTCCCAGTCCTCTCTTCAGGTAGCGCTGGTGAGCAGGACAGGTGTGGAGAAGGTAGAGCCCACAGGCCACGGCGTAGCCGGCCCAGTTAGAGACGCCTGCAGCGGGTCAGAACCAGAACCGTCAGAATGTGGCACAATGGATGGATGAAATGAGGGTTGGATGCTACCTGCAGTCACGGCGCAGTCTGCTGCCACATCGCAGGCCACCAGGTCTCCTTTGGGCATCAGCTGCTTCACCTTCTCCTTCACCTTGCCCATCCCCAACTCGTTGCCTCCGTCACCAATCCCTATGGGAACACGGGTCACCCGACCGGTCACTCTGAGAAAGCGGGCCGGGTCCAGGGTGTCGGGCTTCCTGCGCCGGCCGGGACAGAACCGGACTCACCTGTGGTCATAACTCCAGGAATGTTCTGAGCGGCGAGGAACAGGTCGTCTATGGGATCCACCAGGTGTTTGATATTCTGTCCTCTCATGTTGTAATAGTTGCCGTCCTGAGCCCGGCCGCTGCGCTCTATCGCCACCAGGTGGTCGAACCTGGTCAGAGGCGGCATGTTGTGAAACATGCTGTGGCCTTGACACACGGTGGGCGCCTTAGCATTAGCTTCTGCTAAACACTAGCCTGGTATAGAGCCTTAGCATTAGCTTCTGCTAAACACTAGCCTGGTATAGAGCCTTAGCATTAGCTTCTGCTAAACACTAGCCCGGTATAGAGCCTTAGCATTAGCTTCTGCTAAACACTAGCCCGGTATAGAGCCTTAGCATTAGCTTCTGCTAAACACTAGCCTGGTATAGAGCCTTAGCATTAGCTTCTGCTAAACACTAGCCTGGTATAGAGCCTTAGCATTAGCTTCTGCTAAACACTAGCCTGGTATAGAGCCTTAAATTGTGTTTAGCTTCTGCTAAACACTAGCCTGGTATAGAGCCTTAGCATTAGCTTCTGCTAAACACTAGCCTGGTATAGAGCCTTAGCATTAGCTTCTGCTAAACACTAGCCTGGTATAGAGCCTTAGCATTAGCTTCTGCTAAACACTAGCCTGGTATAGAGCCTTAGCATTAGCTTCTGCTAAACACTAGCCTGGTATAGAGCCTTAGCATTAGCTTCTGCTAAACACTAGCCTGGTATAGAGCCTTAGCATTAGCTTCTGCTAAACACTAGCCTGGTATAGAGCCTTAGTAAGTCCTGTGACCTGGGCTGTGTGGGGTCTCCGTGGTGACACAGGAAGTGCATTGCAGAGTCAGGCCCGCGACCCTCGAAGGTGACCAATGGGATGGCATTTTTGAGGACTCCTAATGGAGGAAACGTCCAATCAGGGTCTGTCTCTTTAATTCCCACCGACTGATGAGCGCTACGCCCAAACCCTCAACTGTCCTCACCGCTTCGTCCATCAGATCTCGGTTCATGTCCGCCGCCCTGCGGTCCGTCAGAAGCGTCACCCGTTTCCCTAGAGACAGCAACATGGTTGCCATGGCGATAGCTCCAGGCGGACCGTCCGTCTCATCTGGAGGACTGACCAGGAACCCAGAGGGCAAAGGTCATTTTATTCACAGCACATTTTCAGCAACCAGGCGATACAAAGTGCTCTACAGGAATTTAAAGGAAATACAAAAAAACAAAGAGCAGAAAAAGAAAAAGATAATAATGTTGATCAAAGTTCATAAACCAGGACGGTAGAAAATGTCCTCTGGTCCAATTCCTGTTCTGGGTCTCAGAGATCCGAGTCTCTGCAAAATAATCTAAGACTTGATCTGAGAAGTCAGGACACATCGGACCGGTTCTGTTCTGGGTTCTGTTCTGGGTTCTGTTCTGGGTTCTGGGTTCTGTTCTGGGTTCTGGTCTGGGTTCTGTTCTGGGTTCTGTTCTGGGTTCTGCTCTGGGTTCTGGGTTCTGTTCTGGGTTCTGTTCTGGGTTCTGCTCTGGGTTCTGTTCTGGGTTCTGTTCTGGGTTCTGTTCTGGGTTCTGTTCTGGGTTCTGTTCTGGGTTCTGCTCTGGGTTCTGGGTTCTGTTCTGGGTTCTGTTCTGGGTTCTGGTCTGGGTTCTGTTCTGGGTTCTGGGTTCTGTTCTGGGTTCTGGGTTCTGTTCTGGGTTCTGTTCTGGGTTCTGGGTTCTGCTCTGGGTTCTGGGTTCTGTTCTGGGTTCTGTTCTGGGTTCTGTTCTGGGTTCTGTTCTGGGTTCTGGGTTCTGTTCTGGGTTCTGTTCTGGGTTCTGTTCTGGGTTCTGTTCTGGGTTCTGTTCTGGGTTCTGTTCTGGGTTCTGGGTTCTGTTCTGGGTTCTGCTCTGGGTTTGGGTTCTGTTCTGGGTTCTGTTCTGGGTTCTGCTCTGGGTTCTGGGTTCTGTTCTGGGTTCTGGGTTCTGTTCTGGGTTCTGTTCTGGGTTCTGCTCTGGGTTCTGTTCTGGGTTCTGGGTTCTGTTCTGGGTTCTGCTCTGGGTTCTGGGTTCTGTTCTGGGTTCTGTTCTGGGTTCTGCTCTGGGTTCTGTTCTGGGTTCTGTTCTGGGTTCTGTTCTGGGTTCTGGTCTGGGTTCTGTTCTGGGTTCTGGGTTCTGTTCTGGGTTCTGTTTCTGGGTTCTGGGTTCTGTTCTGGGTTCTGTTCTGGGTTCTGGTCTGGGTTCTGTTCTGGGTTCTGTTCTGGGTTCTGTTCTGGGTTCTGGGTTCTGTTCTGGGTTCTGTTCTGGGTTCTGTTCTGGGTTCTGTTCTGGGTTCTGGGTTCTGTTCTGGTTCTGGTCTGGGTTCTGTTCTGGGTTCTGTTCTGGGTTCTGCTCTGGGTTCTGGGTTCTGTTCTGGGTTCTGTTCTGGGTTCTGCTCTGGGTTCTGTTCTGGGTTCTGTTCTGGGTTCTGTTCTGGGTTCTGTTCTGGGTTCTGTTCTGGGTTCTGCTCTGGGTTCTGGGTTCTGTTCTGGGTTCTGTTCTGGGTTCTGGTCTGGGTTCTGTTCTGGTTCTGGGTTCTGTTCTGGGTTCTGGGTTCTGTTCTGGGTTCTGTTCTGGGTTCTGGGTTCTGCTCTGGGTTCTGGTTCTGTTCTGGGTTCTGTTCTGGGTTCTGTTCTGGGTTCTGTTCTGGGTTCTGGGTTCTGTTCTGGGTTCTGTTCTGGGTTCTGTTCTGGGTTCTGTTCTGGGTTCTGTTCTGGGTTCTGTTCTGGGTTCTGGGTTCTGTTCTGGGTTCTGCTCTGGGTTCTGGGTTCTGTTCTGGGTTCTGTTCTGGGTTCTGCCTGGGTTCTGGGTTCTGTTCTGGGTTCTGGGTTCTGTTCTGGGTTCTGTTCTGGGTTCTGCTCTGGGTTCTGTTCTGGGTTCTGGGTTCTGTTCTGGGTTCTGCTCTGGGTTCTGGGTTCTGTTCTGGGTTCTGTTCTGGGTTCTGCTCTGGGTTCTGTTCTGGGTTCTGTTCTGGGTTCTGTTCTGGGTTCTGGTCTGGGTTCTGTTCTGGGTTCTGGGTTCTGTTCTGGGTTCTGTTCTGGGTTCTGGGTTCTGTTCTGGGTTCTGTTCTGGGTTCTGGTCTGGGTTCTGTTCTGGGTTCTGTTCTGGGTTCTGTTCTGGGTTCTGGGTTCTGTTCTGGGTTCTGTTCTGGGTTCTGGTCTGGGTTCTGGTCTGGGTTCTGTTCTGGGTTCTGTTCTGGGTTCTGGTCTGGTTCTGGTCTGGGTTCTGTTCTGGGTTCTGTTCTGGGTTCTGGTCTGGGTTCTGGTCTGGGTTCTGTTTCTGGGTTCTGTTCTGGGTTCTGGGTTCTGCTCTGGGTTCTGGGTTCTGCTCTGGGTTCTGGGTTCTGCTCTGGGTTCTGGGTTCTGTTCTGGGTTCTGTTCTGGGTTCTGCTCTGGTTCTGGGTTCTGTTCTGGGTTCTGTTCTGGGTTCTGCTCTGGGTTCTGTTCTGGGTTCTGTTCTGGGTTCTGTTCTGGGTTCTGTTCTGGGTTCTGTTCTGGGTTCTGCTCTGGGTTCTGGGTTCTGTTCTGGGTTCTGTTCTGGGTTCTGGTCTGGGTTCTGTTCTGGGTTCTGGGTTCTGTTCTGGGTTCTGGGTTCTGTTCTGGGTTCTGTTCTGGTTCTGTTCTGGGTTCTGGGTTCTGTTCTGGGTTCTGTTCTGGGTTCTGTTCTGGGTTCTGGTCTGGGTTCTGTTCTGGGTTCTGCTCTGGGTTCTGGGTTCTGTTCTGGGTTCTGTTCTGGGTTCTGTTCTGGGTTCTGTTCTGGGTTCTGGGTTCTGTTCTGGGTTCTGTTCTGGGTTCTGGGTTCTGTTCTGGGTTCTGGGTTCTGTTCTGGGTTCTGCTCTGGGTTCTGGGTTCTGTTCTGGGTTCTGTTCTGGGTTCTGCTCTGGGTTCTGGGTTCTGTTCTGGGTTCTGTTCTGGGTTCTGGGTTCTGTTCTGGGTTCTGTTCTGGGTTCTGCTCTGGGTTCTGTTCTGGGTTCTGGGTTCTGTTCTGGGTTCTGCTCTGGGTTCTGGGTTCTGTTCTGGGTTCTGCTCTGGGTTCTGGGTTCTGTTCTGGGTTCTGTTCTGGGTTCTGGTCTGGGTTCTGTTCTGGGTTCTGGGTTCTGTTCTGGGTTCTGTTCTGGGTTCTGGGTTCTGCTCTGGGTTCTGGGTTCTGTTCTGGGTTCTGTTCTGGGTTCTGTTCTGGGTTCTGGTCTGGGTTCTGTTTCTGGGTTCTGTTCTGGGTTCTGTTCTGGGTTCTGGGTTCTGTTCTGGGTTCTGGGTTCTGTTCTGGGTTCTGCTCTGGGTTCTGGGTTCTGTTCTGGGTTCTGCTCTGGGTTCTGGGTTCTGTTCTGGGTTCTGTTCTGGGTTCTGCTCTGGGTTCTGGGTTCTGTTCTGGGTTCTGTTCTGGGTTCTGGGTTCTGTTCTGGGTTCTGGTCTGGGTTCTGTTCTGGGTTCTGTTCTGGGTTCTGGGTTCTGTTCTGGGTTCTGTTCTGGGTTCTGTTCTGGGTTCTGTTCTGGGTTCTGCTCTGGGTTCTGGGTTCTGTTCTGGGTTCTGTTCTGGGTTCTGTTCTGGGTTCTGTTCTGGGTTCTGGTCTGGGTTCTGTTCTGGGTTCTGGGTTCTGTTCTGGGTTCTGTTCTGGGTTCTGTTCTGGGTTCTGGTCTGGGTTCTGTTCTGGGTTCTGTTCTGGGTTCTGCTCTGGGTTCTGGGTTCTGTTCTGGGTTCTGTTCTGGGTTCTGGGTTCTGTTCTGGGTTCTGTTCTGGGTTCTGCTCTGGGTTCTGGGTTCTGTTCTGGGTTCTGGGTTCTGTTCTGGGTTCTGTTCTGGGTTCTGCTCTGGGTTCTGGGTTCTGTTCTGGGTTCTGGGTTCTGTTCTGGGTTCTGTTCTGGGTTCTGCTCTGGGTTCTGGGTTCTGTTCTGGGTTCTGTTCTGGGTTCTGTTCTGGGTTCTGTTCTGGGTTCTGTTCTGGGTTCTGGGTTCTGTTCTGGGTTCTGGGTTCTGTTCTGGGTTGCTCTGGGTTCTGGGTTCTGTTCTGGGTTCTGCTCTGGGTTCTGGGTTCTGTTCTGGGTTCTGTTCCGGGTTCTGCTCTGGGTTCTGGGTTCTGTTCTGGGTTCTGTTCTGGGTTCTGGGTTCTGTTCTGGGTTCTGTTCTGGGTTCTGCTCTGGGTTCTGTTCTGGGTTCTGGGTTCTGTTCTGGGTTCTGCTCTGGGTTCTGGGTTCTGTTCTGGGTTCTGCTCTGGGTTCTGGGTTCTGTTCTGGGTTCTGTTCTGGGTTCTGGTCTGGGTTCTGTTCTGGGTTCTGGGTTCTGTTCTGGGTTCTGTTCTGGGTTCTGGGTTCTGCTCTGGGTTCTGGGTTCTGTTCTGGGTTCTGTTCTGGGTTCTGTTCTGGGTTCTGGTCTGGGTTCTGTTCTGGGTTCTGTTCTGGGTTCTGTTCTGGGTTCTGGGTTCTGTTCTGGGTTCTGGGTTCTGTTCTGGGTTCTGCTCTGGGTTCTGGGTTCTGTTCTGGGTTCTGCTCTGGGTTCTGGGTTCTGTTCTGGGTTCTGTTCTGGGTTCTGTTCTGGGTTCTGCTCTGGGTTCTGGGTTCTGTTCTGGGTTCTGGGTTCTGTTCTGGGTTCTGGTCTGGGTTCTGTTCTGGGTTCTGTTCTGGGTTCTGGGTTCTGTTCTGGGTTCTGGTCTGGGTTCTGGGTTCTGTTCTGGGTTCTGGTCTGGGTTCTGGGTTCTGGCTGGGTTCTGTTCTGGGTTGCTCTGGGTTCTGGGTTCTGTTCTGGGTTCTGTTCTGGGTTCTGTTCTGGGTTCTGGTCTGGGTTCTGTTCTGGGTTCTGGGTTCTGTTCTGGGTTCTGTTCTGGGTTCTGTTCTGGGTTCTGGTCTGGGTTCTGTTCTGGGTTCTGTTTCTGGGTTGCTCTGGGTTCTGGGTTCTGTTCTGGGTTCTGGGTTCTGTTCTGGGTTCTGTTCTGGGTTCTGCTCTGGGTTCTGGGTTCTGTTCTGGGTTCTGGGTTCTGTTCTGGGTTCTGTTCTGGGTTCTGCTCTGGGTTCTGGGTTCTGTTCTGGGTTCTGTTCTGGGTTCTGTTCTGGGTTCTGGGTTCTGTTCTGGGTTCTGCTCTGGGTTCTGGGTTCTGTTCTGGGTTCTGTTCTGGGTTCTGGGTTCTGTTCTGGGTTCTGTTCTGGGTTCTGGGTTCTGCTCTGGGTTCTGTTCTGGGTTCTGTTCTGGGTTCTGGGTTCTGTTCTGGGTTCTGGGTTCTGTTCTGGGTTCTGTTCTGGGTTCTGCTCTGGGTTCTGGGTTCTGTTCTGGGTTCTGCTCTGGGTTCTGGGTTCTGTTCTGGGTTCTGTTCTGGGTTCTGTTCTGGGTTCTGTTCTGGGTTCTGTTGGGTTCTGTTCTGGGTTCTGCTCTGGGTTCTGGGTTCTGTTCTGGGTTCTGCTCTGGGTTCTGTTCTGGGTTCTGGTCTGGGTTCTGTTCTGGGTTCTGTTCTGGGTTCTGTTCTGGGTTCTGGGTTCAGTTCTGGGTTCTGTTCTGGGTTCTGTTCTGGGTTCTGGTCTGGGTTCTGTTCTGGTTCTGTTCTGGGTTCTGTTCTGGGTTCAGTTTCTGGGTTCTGTTCTGGGTTCTGGTCTGGGTTCTGTTCTGGGTTCTGTTCTGGGTTCTGGTCTGGGTTCTGTTCTGGGTTCTGTTCTGGGTTCTGGTCTGGGTTCTGTTCTGGGTTCTGCTCTGGGTTCTGGGTTCTGTTCTGGGTTCTGGGTTCTGTTCTGGGTTCTGTTCTGGGTTCTGGTCTGGGTTCTGTTCTGGGTTCTGTTCTGGGTTCTGGTCTGGGTTCTGTTCTGGGTTCTGTTCTGGGTTCTGGTCTGGGTTCTGTTCTGGGTTCTGCTCTGGGTTCTGGGTTCTGTTCTGGGTTCTGGGTTCTGTTCTGGGTTCTGTTCTGGGTTCTGCTCTGGGTTCTGGGTTCTGTTCTGGGTTCTGGGTTCTGTTCTGGGTTCTGTTGGGGTTCTGCTCTGGGTTCTGGGTTCTGTTCTGGGTTCTGTTCTGGGTTCTGTTCTGGGTTCTGGGTTCTGTTCTGGGTTCTGCTCTGGGTTCTGGGTTCTGTTTCTGGGTTCTGTTCTGGGTTCTGGGTTCTGTTCTGGGTTCTGCTGGGTTCTGGGTTCTGTTCTGGGTTCTGGGTTCTGTTCTGGGTTCTGGGTTCTGTTCTGGGTTCTGGGTTCTGTTCTGGGTTCTGGGTTCTGTTCTGGGTTCTGCTCTGGTTCTGGGTTCAGTTCTGGGTTCTGTTCTGGGTTCTGTTCTGGGTTCTGTTCTGGGTTCTGTCTGGGTTCTGGGTTCTGTTCTGGGTTCTGGTTCTGTTCTGGGTTCTGTTCTGGGTTCTGTTCTGGGTTCTGTTCTGGGTTCTGGGTTCTGTTCTGGGTTCTGGGTTCAGTTCTGGGTTCTGTTCTGGGTTCTGTTCTGGGTTCTGTTCTGGGTTCTGTTCTGGGTTCTGCTCTGGGTTCTGGGTTCTGTTCTGGGTTCTGTTCTGGGTTCTGTTCTGGGTTCTGTTCTGGGTTCTGCTCTGGGTTCTGGGTTCTGTTCTGGGTTCTGGGTTCTGTTCTGGGTTCTGTTCTGGGTTCTGTTCTGGGTTCTGTTCTGGGTTCTGGGTTCTGTTCTGGGTTCTGGTTCAGTTCTGGGTTCTGTTCTGGGTTCTGTTCTGGGTTCTGTTCTGGGTTCTGTTCTGGGTTCTGCTCTGGGTTCTGGGTTCAGTTCTGGGTTCTGTTCTGGGTTCTGTTCTGGGTTCTGCTCTGGGTTCTGGGTTCTGTTCTGGGTTCTGTTCTGGGTTCTGCTCTGGGTTCTGGGTTCAGTTCTGGGTTCTGTTCTGGGTTCTGTTCTGGGTTCTGGGTTCTGGGTTCTGTTCTGGGTTCTGTTCTGGGTTCTGTTCTTCTGGGTTCTGCTCTGGGTTCTGGGTTCTGTTCTGGGTTCTGCTCTGGGTTCTGTTCTGGGTTCTGTTCTGGGTTCTGTTCTGGGTTCTGGTCTGGGTTCTGTTCTGGGTTCTGTTCTGGGTTCTGGTCTGGGTTCTGTTCTGGGTTCTGGTCTGGGTTCTGTTCTGGGTTCTGTTCTGGGTTCTGTTCTGGGTTCTGGTCTGGGTTCTGTTCTGGGTTCTGGTCTGGGTTCTGTTCTGGGTTCTGGGTTCTGTTCTGGGTTCTGTTCTGGGTTCTGTTCTGTCTGGGTTCTGCTCTGGGTTCTGGGTTCTGTTCTGGGTTCTGCTCTGGGTTCTGTTCTGGGTTCTGTTCTGGGTTCTGTTCTGGGTTCTGCTCTGGGTTCTGTTCTGGGTTCTGTTCTGGGTTCTGGTCTGGGTTCTGTTCTGGGTTCTGGTCTGGGTTCTGTTCTGGGTGTTCTGGGTTCTGTTCTGGGTTCTGCTCTGGGTTCTGTTCTGGGTTCTGTTCTGGTTCTGTTCTGGGTTCTGTTCTGGGTTCTGTTCTGTGTTCTGCTCTGGGTTCTGGGTTCTGTTCTGGGTTCTGTTCTGGGTTCTGGGTTCTGTTCTGGGTTCTGGTCTGGGTTCTGTTCTGGGTTCTGTTCTGGGTTCTGGGTTCTGTTCTGGGTTCTGGTCTGGGTTCTGGGTTCTGTTCTGGGTTCTGGTCTGGGTTCTGGGTTCTGGTCTGGGTTCTGTTCTGGGTTCTGCTCTGGGTTCTGGGTTCTGTTCTGGGTTCTGTTCTGGGTTCTGTTCTGGGTTCTGTTCTGGGTTCTGGTCTGGGTTCTGTTCTGGGTTCTGGGTTCTGTTCTGGGTTCTGTTCTGGGTTCTGTTCTGGGTTCTGGTCTGGGTTCTGTTCTGGGTTCTGTTCTGGGTTCTGCTCTGGGTTCTGGGTTCTGTTCTGGGTTCTGGGTTCTGTTCTGGGTTCTGTTCTGGGTTCTGCTCTGGGTTCTGGGTTCTGTTCTGGGTTCTGGGTTCTGTTCTGGGTTCTGTTCTGGGTTCTGCTCTGGGTTCTGGGTTCTGTTCTGGGTCTGTTCTGGGTTTCTGTTCTGGGTTCTGGGTTCTGTTCTGGGTTCTGCTCTGGGTTCTGGGTTCTGTTCTGGGTTCTGTTCTGGGTTCTGGGTTCTTCTGGGTTCTGTTCTGGGTTCTGGGTTCTGCTCTGGGTTCTGTTCTGGGTTCTGGGTTCTGTTCTGGGTTCTGGGTTCTGTTCTGGGTTCTGGGTTCTGTTCTGGGTTCTGTTCTGGGTTCTGTTCTGGGTTCTGTTCTGGGTTCTGCTCTGGGTTCTGGGTTCTGTTCTGGGTTCTGTTCTGGGTTCTGGTCTGGGTTCTGTTCTGGGTTCTGTTCTGGGTTCTGTTCTGGGTTCTGTTCTGGGTTCTGTTCTGGGTTCTGCTCTGGGTTCTGGGTTCTGTTCTGGGTTCTGCTCTGGGTTCTGTTCTGGGTTCTGGTCTGGGTTCTGTTCTGGGTTCTGTTCTGGGTTCTGTTCTGGGTTCTGTTCTGGGTTCTGGGTTCAGTTCTGGGTTCTGTTCTGGGTTCTGTTCTGGGTTCTGGTCTGGGTTCTGTTCTGGGTTCTGTTCTGGGTTCTGTTCTGGGTTCAGTTCTGGGTTCTGTTCTGGGTTCTGGTCTGGGTTCTGTTCTGGGTTCTGTTCTGGGTTCTGGTCTGGGTTCTGTTCTGGGTTCTGTTCTGGGTTCTGGTCTGGGTTCTGTTCTGGGTTCTGCTCTGGGTTCTGGGTTCTGTTCTGGGTTCTGGGTTCTGTTCTGGGTTCTGTTCTGGGTTCTGGTCTGGGTTCTGTTCTGGGTTCTGTTCTGGGTTCTGGTCTGGGTTCTGTTCTGGGTTCTGTTCTGGGTTCTGGTCTGGGTTCTGTTCTGGGTTCTGCTCTGGGTTCTGGGTTCTGTTCTGGGTTCTGGGTTCTGTTCTGGGTTCTGTTCTGGGTTCTGCTCTGGGTTCTGGGTTCTGTTCTGGTTCTGGGTTCTGTTCTGTTCTGGGTTCTGTTCTGGGTTCTGCTCTGGGTTCTGGGTTCTGTTCTGGGTTCTGTTCTGGGTTCTGTTCTGGGTTCTGGGTTCTGTTCTGGGTTCTGCTCTGGGTTCTGGGTTCTGTTCTGGGTTCTGTTCTGGGTTCTGGGTTCTGTTCTGGGTTCTGCTCTGGGTTCTGGGTTCTGTTGGGTTCTGGGTTCTGTTCTGGGTTCTGGGTTCTGTTCTGGGTTCTGGTTCTGTTCTGGGTTCTGGGTTCTGTTCTGGGTTCTCTGGGTTCTGGGTTCAGTTCTGGGTTCTGTTCTGGGTTCTGTTCTGGGTTCTGTTTCTGGGTTCTGTTCTGGGTTCTGTTCTGGGTTCTGTTCTGGGTTCTGGGTTCTGTTCTGGGTTTCTGGGTTCTGTTCTGGGTTCTGTTCTGGGTTCTGTTCTGGGTTCTGTTCTGGGTTCTGTTCTGGGTTCTGTGGGTCTGGGTTCAGTTCTGGGTTCTGTTCTGGGTTCTGTTCTGGGTTCTGTCTGGGTTCTGGGTTCTGGTTCTGGGTTCTGGGTTCTGTCTGGGTTCTGTTCTGTTCTGGGTTGTGTTCTGGGTTCTGTTCTGGGTTCTGTCTGGGTTCTGTCTGGGTTCTGTCTGGGTTCTGTTGGGGTTCTGTCTGGGTTCTGGGTTCTGTTCTGGGTTCTGCTCTGGGTTCTGTTCTGGGTTCTGTCTGGGTTTCTGTTCTGTTCTGGGTTCTGTTCTGGGTTCTGGTCTGGGTTCTGTTCTGGGTTCTGTCTGGGTTCTGTTCTGGTCGGGTTCTGTTCTGGGTTCTGTTCTGGGTTCTGTTCTGGGTTCTGTTCTGGGTTCTGTTCTGGGTTCTGTTCTGGGTTCTGTTCTGGGTTCTGTTCTGGGTTCTGTTCTGGGTTCTGTTCTGGGTTCTGCTCTGGGTTCTGGGTTCTGTTCTGGGTTCTGCTCTGGGTTCTGTTCTGGGTTCTGTTCTGGGTTCTGTTCTGGGTTCTGTTCTGGGTTCTGTTCTGGGTTCTGTTCTGGGTTCTGGTCTGGGTTCTGTTCTGGGTTCTGGTCTGGGTTCTGTTCTGGGTTCTGTTCTGGGTTCTGTTCTGGGTTCTGCTCTGGGTTCTGTTCTGGGTTCTGTTCTGGGTTCTGTTCTGGGTTCTGTTCTGGGTTCTGCTCTGGGTTCTGTTCTGGGTTCTGGTCAGGAACAGCTAGGTGTGTGTCCTACCTGTGCTGGTGGTGTGTGGGGAACCCGGTGACGATGGCCACAGAGGAGGAGTGGGACAGCGCCAGGCAGCAGCGGAGGAGTTCATCCTGGACAAACAGAGCCGCGATTCCCCGCTGGCCTGCAGAACCACAGAACCAGAACCTTCTGAGTCGGTGTCAGAAGGTCTCGTGTTCTGGTCCCTCTCATCGGAACGGGACCTTTACCCGGGTCGTCTCCGATGATCCGCTCCAGCTGCCGGATCTTCCCGGCCGTCTCCTTGGAGACCAGGCTGTAGAGCAGGGGATTGTGGGTAACCAGGAAGCAGAGCGGGGCCGGCTGCGGGTCGGTGCCGGCTGACGGAGTGTCCGGGACGTCGGTCAGGAACATGCAGCCCGGAGAGTGGCTGAATGCCAGAGGCGGTTCTGAAAGGTCCAAACAGACAGCAGTGATGGTCATCTGAACGTAACTGCTGGTCGGATCCGGTCGGTTCCGGTCCCTCACTGCTGCTGAGGATGGCTTCTATAGACGTCACTCCGCATGCCCAGAAGACAGGAACGTCACCGGGTCGGAGCTCCACCGGGTCACCATAGTCCGGTCGGGTCAGGTCCAGAATGCCCAGCACAGCTGTAGAGAAAGCAAATCCGATGAGCCTCAGCAGGCGGTTCTGGTTCCCAGCCGGCCCGGACCAGTCAGCACCTGGGTCTCCGATGTGAACCGGAGCGCCATGGGCCCGTGGGTTCTGATGGGTCACCTCCACCGCCGCGTCCAGCAGCCCGGCCGGCACCGGACGCATGGTGACCACCAGGGGGCAGTGAAACTCCCCTTTGGGAACGCAGCGCACCGCGGTCTGCAAGACACCACCACTAGGGGTCACCCTACTTTACCTGCAGAACCCTCAGCGCTGGTTCTGTCTGGCTTCACCAGAATGTTCCGGTCAGGTTCTGTTTGAGTTCAGAACTGAACAGAGCCGCTGTTGTCTGGATTAATCCTGGTCCTACCCGGAACATGCTGACGTTCCGTCCCTGCTCCACGTTCCGGACCGGAACCCCGGCCTCTTCCAGCCGGCCCTCGAAGCCGAAACTGCAGCCCAGGTAGAAGGTCACCATGTCTGCCAGCGGCGACCCGGTTCTAGACAGACACATCCAACAGTTAACAGCAGGAAACCCGAGACGGGCTTGCCCGGTTCTGACCCACCTGGCCGGATCGCAGTAGCTCTGCAGGCTGGAGACGGTCTTGACCAAACGCCCATCCTGATAGACACAGAACTCGGAGACGTCCGTCCTGAAGACAGAACACCATGAGGGAACCGGGTTCTGGTGGTGCCGCCGTGGCCCCGAACCGCCAGGGAGGTTCTAGAACCTCTGCTGGATGTAAAGCGGCAGCAGAGGATCTTTCATTCTCACCAACCTGATGTCAGCATGTTTAGCCAGAGGCTCACAGGAAGTCTCCCCTGATTGGCTGCGGTACAGCAGAGGAAGGGGGGCGGGGTTACTGCGACAGAAGTCCTCAAAGTCGTCGGCCATGCGGCGCGGCAGGACCACGACGTTGGCCTGCTGGTACCCTGATGAAGACACAGAAAGATGCTGAACGGATCCGATCAGAATCATTGTGGATAAAGCTACGGCCTCTCTGGTTCTGGTCCACAGGGCCGGGCCGGGCCGGGCCGAGGGTCCACTTAGCTCTGGCTGCTTTCAGTTGGTAAAATTATCTCAGTATGCTGATGACACTCAGCTATTTCTGTTCATAAACCCTGAAGAATCCAATACCCTGCAGACACAGACGGGTCCTGAGAGCTTTAGTCTGAGCCAGACGACCCGTTTCCTTTCTAGACGTTTACAGAAGCGGTTCTAGTTACCCTGATCTAGCTCTAGTTTTCAGGCTTCGTTCATGTAACACATTTACCCCCTGAATCTGATCCCAGGTACTGCAGGAGTAAAGTCCAAACGCTGCAGGTTATAAACCATCTTACCGTGAGCCAGGCCAGTCGTGGTTCTTATTTTGGGATGATTCTGTCTGATTAACAGCCTGAGTTCTCCTGGACCGAGACGACTCACGTTCTGGATCTGATGCATATTCAGATACAAATTATAATCTGCAGCGATTCCTGGAGCCTGGCGGCTGAAGAACCGGAGAGGAGGAAGTGCTCCGTTAATGAGCAGCAAAGCCCTGCAAACATTAACAGGCAGGGGGCGCCGTCCTGACAGGACCTGCACTACCACCGCCACCCAACACTTCATCCATCCGGACATCCGTCTGAACATCCAGTAGAGGTTCTGCTTCGCTCAGCCAGCAGCTGCTGCTCTGCTCTGATCGCCGACGTTTCCAGTATAAACCAGTATAAACCAGTATAAACCAGTCTTTCCAATCTCAGCTCTTCCTCCAGAACTTTCAGCTCGTTTCAGTTTGTGGTTCTAGGATCTGGTTCTGATTCATCTCAGAGCCGTTCTGTCTCTTGTTGAAATAGAATTTTAAATTAGCACAATAGTACACAGGCTAATCTTTACGTTAAGACAAAACTTAGAGATCCAAACTAAAACAACTGGCCACTCTCAAAATTTTACATGAATTGTATAGAGAGGATCTTAAAGAAAGACAGACTGAGACTTCCTTAAAACTCTTTAGACAGGGAGTCTGTCTGCCAGACAATTAACAAATTCCTTAGCATGGTTCAAAAGTTCACTAGGATCTTAAAACTTTTTATAAATAATTTTATCTTCATTTGAATTAAATATATTTCTTTAAGCATGTTTTGAATTAGTTACTTCTTAGATCCAAACTTATCGTCATTATTTAGCATTACATTTGGTGCAAGCTTGGTTAAAAATACAAACTACTTTCTTGTGGAAACATTTGAGTCAGAAAACTAAAACAGACAGAGGAAGTAAATTTAGCTCAGGGAGAGTTGCAGGAGACGCCTGGTACGGCAGAGACCCAGTTTGATGATCCATATATCAGGAGGTAATAAAATCAATGGGAAGGCCCACAAAGGAAAACACACACCTCCTAATGCATATATTTAAATGAGGAGAATACACATTCTTATAAAATGGTTTGTTTTACAGCAGGAGTTCAAATCTCTTTGTGCTGAGTGAGAGTTTCCCAGAAGATGCATCTTGTTTGTTTCTGTTTCCCTTTTTACTCAGTTAATTGTTTCTGTTTGTCTGTCTTGGACTTTTGATGATCTAGGTGAGATGCTTATTGTAACATTCTTCTTGCATTGATTTTCTCTGGATAAAACTCTGAATATCTGAAGTCTGACGTCGTATGATTGCTCTTTCTCACTGCACATATTTAGACACAAGAATTCGGGATCAGAGGAATGAATTAACGAGCTAAATCAAGTTATTCCTCTTTTTAATTCTTAACACTCTCCAGACCAGAACCCTAAAACTGCAGAGGAGGCTCCAGGTTCCCAAGGTCATGGAGGTCGTCACCTTGAGTCGAGTGTCTCCTGAGGCTCCTCCAGGTCCCCCGGCAGCCTGTCCTCATGGCAGACAGCATGTCTCATGTCTCGCCTGCAGGACAAACCAGAGAAACCAGAAGTCATGAGCATGCTCACAACGTCCAGGCTAATCCAGTCTCAGCTCTTCTGCACCCTAACAGGTTTTATTCCTGGATTAATCTCCATCTGTCCTCCCACAGCATGATGCTGCCACCACCATGTTTCCTGGTTCAGTCCGGTGGACGACCGGCCAGCCAGACTGCTCAATGTGAACTTCCTCCTCAATTATTCCTTATTTTTTCTGGGACCGAGATTAAAGGAGCCACAGCAGGGTTATGGCTCAAGTTATACTATTCTTTAAATTACATTTGATCAATTTTTAGAAGCGTAATAAATCAGCTTATGGCAGATTAGTATGGAAAATGATTGAAAAACAGCTGTTCTATATTTAGGATGATTATTACATTTCATGGTAACTCGGGTCTGCAGGGACTCGGTTCGTCCTGCAGGGACTCGGTTCGTCCTGCAGGGACTCGGTTCGGTTCGGTTCGTCTCATCAGCTGAACTCTGGTCCAAATCACCAAACAGCAAATAAAAACTGTCCTGATTTTTCCAGCAGTTGGGATCAAATTACAAATAATCTGGTTTATTAAAAGAAAAGAAGAAGAATCGTCCAGAACCGGAAGCTACATTTCACAGTAAAACTTGTTCAAACTGTTAAAATCTGGTTATCTTCTAAAATTCCGGATCTTCGCCGTTTTCCTTTTATTACCTTCAAGTTCCGCGTCTTTCTTCTTCTCGTGTTTCATGGCGATTGGCGGACCAGCGCGCTGCCGCCACCTACTGGACGGCCATGTTGACAGCAAGGCACTGAAAATGATTTCAGCTTCGGGTTCACATAAAGCGCCTCCTGGTGGAACCGAGCGGAACTACTAAGGAGCTGGAAAACCTCGGGAGAACTGAGCAGTTAGGAGAACGTTCTGGTTCTGGTTCTGGTTCTGGGATCTCCTGAAGGCTCCTGAACTCTAGCTGGGTGTGGATACTTCTGGACCCATTCTAAATCACCCTGTTCTGGTTCTGAGGTCCAGCGGCTCCGTCCTGCTGGATTCTGGGAAGACCTTGAATTGGACCACCAGACCAGAACCAGAACTCGATCCAGAAGAAACCAGAAGAGGATTTCAGGAGGAGCTGTAGGGAACTGGAATCAGAACCAGCGGACCGGCTCACAGTCTGGACTTTGACCCGGCTGATACTGCAGCAGATAAAAGATCCGATCGGACTGGAGCCGCCGCAGTCGATGCTGGACGCTCCAGGTACACCGGCAGAACTCGTCAGTTTGACCCGGCAGCAGAACCCGGTTATTGGGTCCAGAATGGGTTCTGGCCCGCTGTGTCTGCTCCTGCTGCTGAGCGCAGCTCTGGCACGTAAGTCTGGACCTTCCTGGAGAACATCAGAACATCTGGACCTGTAATCACCGACCCGGTCCTGTTCGCTGGCTGCAGCATCTGCTGATTCGGATCTGCAGGGGTAACATCTCGGTTCTGGTTCTGCTGTTCAGATTGGACCCCACTTGGCTTTGGGAACAGATAAGAACTGCAGCAAAGACTTACTGGTTCTGTGAGGCTGTGTGACAAACTGGTTTTACTGGCAATAACTGATCAACCAGTAAGGGTCGCCACGGTGACGCTGGCAGCATCCAGCGTTTGTAGATATAATCAATAAATATGTTCAGTGATTATTTTTTGGTAATTATGAATGATAATTTATTATTGTTAACTTTGCACCGATCAATACTTTAATAAGATTGATGGAGGAAACTGTGGATGACACGACTAACTCTTTCATACACGGCAGAGGTCAGATTTTTCTGTGGTGCTGTGGGCTCCCTGTCAGCAGGGAATCACCATAGCAACCACAAAGACAGCTCACATCTCTGCATCCAACCATCATCCATCCATCATCCATCCATCATCCATCCATCCATCCATCATCCAACCATCATCCATCCATCATCCATCCATCATCCATCCATCATCCATCCATCATCCATCCATCATCCATCCATCCATCCATCATCCAACCATCATCCATCCATCATCCATCATCCATCCATCATCCATCCATCATCCATTCATCATCCATCCATCCATCCATCATCCAACCATCATCCATCCATCCATCCATCCATCATCCATCATCTATCCATCATCCATCCATCATCCAACCATCATCCATCCATCATCCAACCATCATCCATCCATCCATCCATCCATCATCCATCATCTATCCATCATCCATCCATCATCCAACCATCATCCATCCATCATCCATCCATCATCCATCCATCATCCATCCATCATCTATCCATCATCCAACCATCATCCATCCATCATCCAACCATCATCCATCCATCATCCTAAAACATCATCCATCCATCATCTATCCATCATCCAACCATCATCCATCCATCATCCAACCATCATCCATCCATCATCCATCCATCATCTATCCATCATCCATCCATCATCTATCCATCATCCATCCATCATCCATCCATCATCTATCCATCATCCAACCATCATCCAACCATCATCCATCCATCATCTATCCATCATCCAACCATCATCCAACCATCATCCATCCATCATCTATCCATCATCCAACCATCATCCAACCATCATCCATCCATCATCTATCCATCATCCAACCATCATCCAACCATCATCCATCCATCATCTATCCATCATCCATCCATCATCTATCCATCATCCATCCATCATCTATCCATCATCCAACCATCATCCATCCATCATCCATCCATCATCCATCCATCATCCAACCATCATCCATCCATCATCCATCCATCATCCAACCATCATCCATCCATCATCCATCCATCATCCAACCATCATCCATCCATCATCCATCCATCCATCATCCATCCATCTATCCTGATCTTTGACCTCCTGCTGGTTCTTTTCTTCTTCTACTGGTTAATGACGGCGGCCACTGATCTCTTTTAGAACAGCAGAATGTTTCTGGATCCGTCTCCAGATTTCTACCTTTAGAATATCTGATCTCGGTTTAATCTGTTGATGTGCATCAGCTGCTTCGTTCTAACCCCGCTGTTTGTTTTCCAGAGGATGTGGAGGAACCAGCTTCATGTCAGAGTAAGTTATCTATCACAGACACGTGTGGGGTCAGGGGTCAATCCAGAGCAAACAGACACAGAGCTGCTGATGGGTCAATGCTGCTCTCTGAGCTTAAGGCCTGTTTATTGGAGATAGCAGCAGGAGCTCTGCCACAAAGGGTTCAAAGGTCAAAGGTATTGGGGGGTTGTCTGACGTACAGGAAGATGTAGAAATATGACATCAGGGTTTGACTGAAGTGATGCCTTCAGCATAAAGATGGAGATGCTTCTTTTCAGTGGCTTCCAGATTTAAGGTCCAGAGGAAGTACGTGTATCAGTACAGCGCAGAGGGCCGGAACGTAGCGCCGGGGTCTGCTAGCCTCCAAAATGGGCCTAAAGTCACTTGTGAGGTAAAAATCGTTGAACTGATAACAGCTCTTATCTGAGGTCCCCTCACTGACTCGTCCCACGTCTGCAGGTAGAGATTGAAGTCCCCCAGATGTGCAGGTTCATCATGTACACCAGAGATTGCACCGTCAGCGAAGCGTCCGCCACAGACGCTCGGGCTGAGGCGGCCTACGACCCGGCACCCGGCTCCGACACCTTCAGAGCCGTCATGGAGAGGTCAGAGCACATACTGGTACTGGTAAAACCTGAGCAGAACTGACAGACTTCAGCATTTTTAGGCCTGGATAAGTTTAGATCCGTCCCAGAAAAACAACAGGACACTTCAAGAAGCGTAAACTTTGACAGCTTCACTTGATTGGCTTATGACTTCTGATGTTACATGAGGGGCAGAGCTGGTTTTGTTCTTCTACAGACTCTCTTAGTTCACCTTCAACCAAGCAGTCGGCGCACAGTCACCTGATTTTGGGACGCTCGTGTTCACACACGGCGACGCAAGCTGCTTGGGGACTCACTTCCTGCTTGAGGCCGCCAGGGTTTCATTCCTTGCATCCTCCAGTTCCTTTTAACGAAGCATCACAGAGAGAGCGCCACCTTTCTGCAGACAGACTCCTCTGTGGACAACAATGTTGCAACTTCCACTCAGGAGGTTTTGCCATCTGATAAGAGTAATTTAGTGAAGAATCATACAAAATGTAGATAATTCCTCATTGTGTTGCATAAACATTTCTCAAAAGTATTCATGTCTCTTGCAGATACAAAAATACAAAAGATGGAAGTGGACTAGCTGAAATAAAATATCAACATTTCTGTCTGAGGGCATTTGTGCTTTAAACACTTCCATAAACTTCTGAGCAATGATGCAACACTCTGCACATTGCTCTGTTGCAATAGATAAAACCCATAACAACATGGATAAAAACTAATCAAACCAAAATGACACATCAAGAAATTTAAGACGCATGAACCAGAGACAACAACTCGGCTTAAACAGAACGGGTCAAGCTACAGTCTGCAGGGAAACTGGTCCAGAACGGAAAACGCGCGCTCTCCAACAGGTCTTTTCCGCCTTTAAGCTGCAGCCTTGAGATCGGAGAACATGAGGTTTCAGCTGCAGAAGGACAGAGAGGAAGGCAGCGCTCCATTAGAGCTTCAACTTGATCAGTGAACCGGCGTCGGTACTGAAGCCATGTGCTCACATTTCCTTGTTTTGGTTCAAATATCAGCAGACTGGTCAATGAACAAATGCATGTGTGATGTTAGTGAAGTTCCTGAGATGACAAAAGTTATTCCTTGTTGACTGTTTGTCATGAAGAACTGGGTTGAGAAGTTTTTATTATCCCGGCATTTTGTGATGCAGGCGTCACAAGTAGTGACATTTCTGAGATCCGGTGACCATCAAAAGATACTAAAGAGAAGAACAATAAAGAGACAGACTCCTGGTGTGACACCAAATCATCTCCTGGAGAGCATCAGGGAAATCTCCGCTAAATTGCTGTTAATTACTAATTTCAGAAAATTCTATTTCTCTCCAAATTAATGTTACTTTTTGCTGAAGCACAAGTGTCTTATTCCAGGAGTCCGCTGAAGGTCAGCGTCCACTCAAACGGCCGTGTGGAGCTTTACCCCAAGGCGGACGAGTCCATCAACATCCTCAACATCAAGAGAGGCATCATTTCTGCATTCCTGGTTCCCGTCATGGAGGATGGACGGACTGGTCTGGTGGTTAGTCTCCAACACCATAGAGCTCCGACTGGTCGGAGACAGCAGGACGATCTTCACATGCTCCAAGACTAACAGCTGTTTGTGTTTTCCCTCAGAGTTCGGTCCATGGTCGCTGTCTCACCACAGTCACGGTTCATTCCAGGCAGGATGTTGCCACAGACGCCAGTGTTTCCAGAGATCTGTCCCAGTGTGACCAGTTCTACGGCAGGACTATCACCAGCAGCCCAGTGGCTCTGCTGCAGCAGCTGGTGAGAAAACGCTTTTCGCTTTATGTCACTGATTGTTGACTTCTGGAAACGGTAGCCTGGCTGCAGGGCGCAGCTTCAACTGCAGCACAGAGGCAGTAAAGGAGCGTCCAAAGTCTCAGGAACTTGCTAACCCTCCAGCCTCACTCCATGGATAACCTGGAGAGAAATTGTCCTCAGGTTTATCTAGTCTAGACTAGATAAACTTCACCATGCTCGCATGCAGCAGCGGGGAGAAGCTTCTGGTTTTACTGAGCAGAAATACAGTTAGGGCCAGAAATATTTGGACAGTAACACAGTTTTCATGAGTTGGGCTCTGCATGCCACCGCATTGGATTTGAAATGAAACCTCTACAACAGAATTCAAGTGCAGATTGTAACGTTTAATTTAAAGGGTTGAACAAAAATATCTGATAGAAAATGTAGGAATTGTACACATTTGTTTACAAACACTCCACATTTTAGGAGCTCAAAAGTAATTGGACATATAAACATAACCCAAACAAAAAAGTTTTTTCTCAATATTTTGTTGCGAATCCTTTGGAGGCAATCACTGCCTTAAGTCTGGAACCCATGGACATCACCAAACGCTGGGTTTCCTCCTTCTTAATGCTTTGCCAGGCCTTTACAGCCGCAGCCTTCAGGTCTTGCTTGTTAGTGGGTCTTTCCGTCTGAAGTCTGGATTTGAGCAAGTGAAATGCATGCTCAATTGGGTTAAGATCTGGTGATTGACTTGGCCATTGCAGAATATTCCACCTTTTTGCTCTCATGAACTCCTGGGTAGCTTTGGCTGTATGCTTGGGGTCATTATCCATCTGTACTGTGAAGCGCCGTCCGATCAACTTTGCAGCATTTGGCTGAATCTGGGCTGACAGTATATCCCGGTACACTTCAGAATTCATCCGGCTACTCTTGTCTGCTGTTATGTCATCAATAAACACAAGTGACCCAGTGCCATTGAAAGCCATGCATGCCCATGCCATCACGTTGCCTCCACCATGTTTTACAGAGGATGTGGTGTGCCTTGGATCATGTGCCGTTCCCTTTCTTCTCCAAACTTTTTTCTTCCCATCATTCTGGTACAGGTTGATCTTTGTCTCATCTGTCCATAGAATACTTTTCCAGAACTGGGCTGGCTTCTTGAGGTGATTTTGGGCAAATTTAACTCTGGCCTGTCTATTTTTGGAATTGATGAATGGTTTGCATCTACATGTGAACCCTTTGTATTTGCTTTCATGGAGTCTTCTCTTTACTGTTGACTTAGAGACAGATACACCTACTTCCCTGAGAGTGTTCTGGACCTCAGTTGATGTTGTGAACGGGTTCTTCTTCACCAAAGAAAGTATGCGGCGATCATCCACCACTGTTGTCTTCCGTGGACGCCCAGGCCTTTTTGAGTTCCCAAGCTCACCAGTCAATTCCTTTTTCCTCAGAATGTACCCGACTGTTGATTTTGCTACTCCAAGCATGTCTGCTATCTCTCTGATGGATTTTTTCCTTTTTTTCAGTCTCAGGATGTTCTGCTTCATGTCAATTGAGAGCTCCTCTGACCGCATGTTGTCTGGTCACAGCAACAGCTTCCAAATGCAAAACCACACACCTGGAAACAACCCCAGACCTTTTAACTACTTACTTGATTACAGGTTAACGAGGGAAAGGCCTTTTGAGTTACTTCCAGCCTTTGGAGTCCATTGTCCAATTACTTTTGGTCCCTTGAAAAAGAGGAGGCTCTGCATTACAGAGCTATGATTCCTAAACCCTTTCTCCGATTTGGATGTGGAAACTCTCATATTGCAGCTGGGAGTGTGCACTTTCAGCCCATATATATATAAATTGTATTTCTGAACATATTTTTGTCAACAGCTAAAATAACAAAACCTGTGTCACTGTCCAAATATTTCTGGCCCTAACTGTAACTGCTCACTGATTGGTTTTCAGCACAACCCCATCTCAAAACTCATCAGCAGCACCCAGAGCTGCAGATACCAGTTTGATAACAGAGGAACACACATCACCGCTGCCAAATGCACCGAAAAGCACAGATACCTGCCGTTCTCCAGCGGGTGAGTCTGACTCAGATCTGAGCTGCATTTCTGGAGAGTATTGAAGGTTTTTTATCCACACTGTTGTCTGCATCTCAGAGACAACGGGATCTCATCAGTGGTGATCCAGGATCTGAGCCTTCAAAGTGTAAAAAGGAGCAGTAGCAGAAGATTTGGTGAGCTGTTATTTCTAAAACTGCTGTGGATTTACATTTTTAAAACTGAGGACCTAAAACATCAACTTGTTTCTTGTAGATGCAGACCCCCTGCAGGCACAGCCTCTCCACTTTGATAAACCAGAAGACAAAACTCCAGTCCAGATGAAGGACGCCGTTCTGGGCACCCTGAGGGAGCTGGTGGCGCTAGCGAGCACAGATCAGGGTCAGAAACGGACCACCCTTTTCCATAAGCTGGTGTCCAACCTGAGAGTCCTGAGGAACGAGACCCTCAGCCAGACGGTTGCTGAGATGGTCCAAGTGTCCAACTGGCTGACCTTCCAGGCCCTGTTCCAGTGTGGAACCTCAGAGTGCACCAGCGCCATCATGCAGGTCATCTGGACCATTGACGGGGTCTCTCTGGAGGTGGATGCTCTGGTGTACGCGCTAGCTCTGCAGGCCAATCCGGATGCAGCACGTGTGAGAGACATGCTCAGCATGGCTCAGTACAAACAGAGCAAAGCCATCATGTTCGCTCTGGCAAACACAGTGAGAAAGTGAGTCATGCCTTCAGCAACAGGGGGTCCACATGTCTTACAGGGACAACGAGGTCTTCGCTAATGTGTTTGTGTGAGCAAGAGGTTTCTTCCCTGTGGAAGATCTTGGTCAGAGCAATCCCTGTTAAAAGTTCCCAGGGTGAGACAAACAGGAACCCTTAAAGAAAATCAACATAACCAAGTAAAACAGATGGAGATATAGAACAATAGAAACTAAAATAGAAATGGATGATAGATGGATGGATGACGGTTGGATGATGGTTTAATGGTTGTCTCAGGCTGGGACGCCAGGTACCCTAACCCCAACCCTAACCCCAACCCTAACCCTAACCCTACCTGTAACCCACTAAGGTTGTCTTGGGAGCATCAATCTTTAATCCAAAACAGTTAATGCTAATTCTTATTTTCAATGTTCATGCAAATGTAGATGGTAGCCCACATGCTAATGTTTGTGTTCATGTTAACATTCACTCTTATGGTCAAAATGCTATAAAAGCAACATTAACGTTTGATGCTAATGCTAACGCCCCCAGCTGTCACACGGTTGTGTGCTGGAGCTGTAAATGTTTGCTTCCAGGTTCTATAAGGGAGAGGTTACTCCAGAGATCACTGAGGTGTCAAAGTTCATGGAGACAATCCTAAACGACTGCTCAGAGGAAATAAGGGATCCTGACCGGGACCCCGCTCCAGATCCCACGGAGGAGGCCTTCCTGGTCCTCAGGGTGAGCAAGGTTCCACAAGCATCTGAAGCAGTGCCACACCAGCTGGTGGAGTGTGATTCTTCCTCTCCTGCAGGTTGTTGGTGTTATGGGTCGGGCCATGCAAGACGTCAGTCCATCACTCGTCTCCTCGATTTTGCGATGCATGAAGAAACCAGATGTTCCCTTATCCAATCAAAAGGCAGCTATCCAGGCCTTCAGGCTGATGAACATTACTACTGAGGTGGAACTCTTAATGAATCAAACACGTTCTGGGTTATTTGGCGTTTTAGCAGAAATGTTGCTGTTCTTACAAGAACTCTGAATATTTGGGTGGGCATAGATTCGGCGCTCCCTGCTGGAGGCGTACCAGGACCCTCAGAGTCCTGCTGACAAACGCCTGGCAGCGTACCTGGTGCTGATGAAGGATGCCGACTCCGGCCTCATCAGGGAGATCTGCAGCGGCCTGCTGGGCGAGAAGGATGAGCAGCTAAAGAGCTTTGTGCTCTCCCACCTAAACAACATCCAGAACTCTGATGACGAGAAACCAGAGTGAGTAATCAGATTACATCTCCAAACATGGCTGGATTCATATTTATCAGGTTCCTTTCCGAGGGTCTTCCGGTTTTGGTAGGAGATCATCAATAAATGCTAAAGCTAGACTGTCTTTAGTCGGACCTTTGACCTTCTCTAACTGCTTTCCTCCAAGGCCCTTCAACATGCTGGACCTTAGAATAACCTTGGTCTCTGCTGTGATGTTCCTCATGTTAAATTTTTTTATTTAACCCGGTTGATTCTCTGCAGGTCCGGTTGTTCTGATTTGAACCCAGGATGTTGGTGGGACCTCGCAGTCTTTTAGAACCTGTTCAGATTTAGCAGTAATCGACTCCAGGCAGATTATAATTTAATCTAATCATTGAGGGTAACAATCAGTTCTGGTGCTTCTTTCAGTCCTTTGAGTCCAGTTTCTTTGAGTCAGTGTCTGTCCACTAAATAAATGGTAATGTGTGTATTGAACTGGGAGGAACTGATCGTCCAGTTGGTGGGACGGTTTCTGAACATGATGTCTCCGTCTCCAGACTCAGACAGCTTATTGGGGCAGCTCTGCAGGACAAACCATCATCCACCGACACCATGTTTAATGGGTTGTCCAAGAACTACATGCTCAGCTCCCCGCTGGGTTCGGTCCAGAGCAACGTCATCTTTGACAGCGGGAACACGCTGCCCAAGGAGATGAAGCTGAAGGCTTCTCTGAAGGCCTACGATGGCAGCTTTGATATGTTTGAGGTTGGTGACAGCAGATCGGTTCTTCATGATGAAAAAACCCGGAAAGAGAAAGATGGCTTACCAGAAAGTGTCCTTTCAGGTTGGACTTGAAGGAGCAGGATTTGAGCCAACAGTCGAGGCTCTTTTTGGGGAGAAGGGTTTCCTACTCGAATCTTTCTCCAGGCTGATGAGGTTTGTAGGCGACAGAGCTCCGATGCTCCGAGGAGTTCTGGACAGGATTTCCCCTGGTCCAGGCAGAAAGAGGAGACAGGTGGCAGCAGCTTTTGGGATTATGGTCTCTTTAAGGCTTTTGTAGGAAGGTTTCAAAGAAATGAGTGCTGGTGATGTCTCCTCAGGTCCCAGAAGTCCATCTGAAAGCAATCAAAGACAGTTTCCAGCGGCTCCTTTATGACGTTCGGATCTCTGCGGCTCCTGAAGCTACTGCCTTCCTCCGGTTGCTGGGCGATGAAATAGGATATATGAAGACGAGTGAAATGAGAAAAATGTTTGAGACTCTGTTCATGTACTACCATGTCTTCATCAGAGTACTACCTGCACAGGTCAGACTGGCTTCGCTGACTCTTTAGCAGATTGTCTCAACAAACCTGACTATTCTCACACAGATCATCTGCATGTAGACGTCTCGTTAAAGATGTCTTGTTATAGACGTCCCATTATAAACGTCCCGTTATAGTCGTCTCGTTAAAGACGTCTCGTTATAGACATCCCGTTATAGACGTCTCGTTATAGACGTCCCGTTATAGACATCCCGTTAAAGACGTCTCGTTAAAGACGTCTCGTTATAAACGTCTCGTTATAAACGTCTCGTTATAGACGTCCCATTATAAACGTCCCGTTATAGTCATCTCGTTATAGACATCCCGTTAAAGACGTCTCGTTATAGACGTCTCGTTATGGACGTCCCGTTATAGACATCCCGTTAAAGACGTCTCGTTAAAGACGTCCCGTTATAGTCGTCTCGTTAAAGACGTCTCGTTATAGACATCCCGTTAAAGACGTCTCGTTATAGACGTCTCGTTATAGACGTCTCGTTATAGATGTCTCGTTAAAGACGTCCCTTTAAAGACGTCTCGTTAAAGACGTCCCGTTATAGACGTCTTGTTATAGACGTCTCGTTATAGACGTCTCGTTATAGATGTCTCGTTAAAGACGTCTCGTTATAGACGTCTCGTTATAGATGTCTCGTTATAGACGTCCCATTATAAACGTCCCGTTATAGTCATCTCGTTATAGACATCCCGTTAAAGACGTCTTGTTATAGAAGTCTCGTTTAGACGTCTTGTTATAGACGTCTCGTTATAGACGTCTTGTTATAGACGTCCCTTTAAAGACGTCTCGTTAAAGATGTCCCGTTATAGACGTCTCGTTATAGACGTCTCGTTATAGACGTCTCGTTATAGACGTCTCGTTAAAGACGTCTCGTTAAAGACGTCTCGTTATAGACGTCTCGTTATAGACGTCCCATTATAAACGTCCCGTTATAGTCATCTCGTTATAGACATCCCGTTAAAGACGTCTCGTTATAGAAGTCTCGTTATAGACGTCTCGTTATAGACGTCTTGTTATAGACGTCCCGTTAAAGACGTCTCGTTATAGACGTCCCTTTAAAGACGTCTCGTTAAAGACGTCTCGTTATAGACGTCTCGTTATAGACGTCCCGTTAAAGACGTCTCGTTAAAGACATCCCGTTAAAGACGTCTCGTTATAGACGTCTCGTTATAGATGTCTCGTTATAGACGTTTCGTTAAAGACGTCTCGTTAAAGACGTCCGTTATAGTCATCTCGTTATAGACGTCCCGTTAAAGACGTCTCGTTATAGACGTCCCTTTAAAGACGTCTCGTTAAAGACGTCCCGTTATAGACGTCTCGTTATAGACGTCCCGTTAAAGACGTCTGGTGATAGACGTCTCGTTATAGACGTTTTGTTAAAGACGTCTCGTTAAAGACGTCCCGTTATAGTCGTCTTGTTATAGACGTCTCGTTAAAGACGTCTCGTTATAGACATCCCGTTAAAGACATCTCGTTATAGACGTCTCGTTAAAGACATCTCGTTATAGACGTCTCGTTATAGACGTCTCGTTATAGATGTCTCGTTAAAGACGTCTCGTTAAAGACGTCTCGTTATAGACGTCTCGTTATAGACGTCCCATTATAAACGTCCCGTTATAGTCATCTCGTTATAGACATCCCGTTAAAGACGTCTCGTTATAGAAGTCTCGTTATAGACGTCTCGTTATAGACGTCCCGTTAAAGACGTCTCGTTATAGACGTCCCTTTAAAGATGTCTCGTTAAAGACGTCCCGTTATAGACGTCTCGTTATAGACGTCTCGTTATAGACGTCTCGTTATAGACGTCCCATTATAAACGTCCCGTTATAGTCATCTCGTTATAGACATCCCGTTAAAGACGTCTCGTTATAGAAGTCTCGTTATAGACGTCTCGTTATAGACGTCCCGTTAAAGACGTCTCGTTATAGACGTCCCTTTAAAGATGTCTCGTTAAAGACGTCCCGTTATAGACGTCTCGTTATAGACGTCTCGTTATAGACGTCTCGTTATAGACGTCCCGTTACAGACGTCCCGTTAAAGACGTCTCGTAATAGACGTCTCGTTATAGAGTCTCGTTATAGACGTTTCGTTAAAGACGTCTTGTTAAAGACGTCCCGTTATAGTCATCTCGTTATAGACATCCCGTTAAAGACGTCTCGTTATAGAAGTCTCGTTATAGACGTCTCGTTATAGACGTCCCGTTAAAGACGTCTCGTTATAGACGTCCCTTTAAAGATGTCTCGTTAAAGATGTCTCGTTAAAGACGTCCCGTTATAGACGTCTCGTTATAGACGTCTCGTTATAGACGTCTCGTTAAAGACGTCTCGTTATAGACGTCCCTTTAAAGATGTCTCGTTAAAGACGTCCCGTTATAGACGTCTCGTTATAGACGTCTCGTTATAGACGTTTCGTTAAAGACGTCTTGTTAAAGACGTCCCGTTATAGTCATCTCGTTATAGACATCTCGTTAAAGACGTCCCGTTATAGACGCCTCGTTATAGACGTCTCGTTATAGACGTCTCGTTAAAGACGTCTCGTTAAAGACGTCCCGTTATAGACGTCTCGTTATAGACGTCCCGTTAAAGACGTCTCGTTAAAGACGTCTGGTGATAGACGTCTCGTTATAGACGTTTTGTTAAAGACGTCTCGTTAAAGACGTCTCGTTAAAGACGTCCTGTTATAGTCGTCTTGTTATAGACGTCTCGTTAAAGACGTCTCGTTATAGACATCCCGTTAAAGACATCTCGTTATAGACGTCTCGTTAAAGACATCTCGTTAAAGACATCTCGTTATAGACGTCCCGTTAAAGACGTCTCGTTAAAGACATCTCGTTAAAGACGTCTCGTTATAGACGTCCCTTTAAAGACGTCTCGTTAAAGACGTCTCGTTATAGACGTCCCGTTAAAGACGTCTCGTTATAGACGTCCCGTTAAAGACGTCTCGTTATAGACGTCTCGTTAAAGACGTCTCGTTATAGACGTCTCGTTATAGACGTCCCGTTAAAGACGTCTCGTTAAAGACATCCCGTTAAAGACGTCTCGTTATAGACGTCCCGTTAAAGACGTCTTGTTATAGACGTCTCGTTATAGACGTCCCGTTAAAGACGTCTCGTTAAAGACATCTTGTTAAAGACGTCCCGTTAAAGACGTCTCGTTAAAGACATCTCGTTAAAGACGTCTCGTTAAAGACGTCTCGTTATAGACCTCTCGTAATAGACGTCTCGTTATAGACGTCCCGTTAAAGACGTCTTGTTATAGACGTCTCGTAATAGACGTCTCGTTATAGACGTCCCGTTAAAGACGTCTCGTTAAAGACATCTTGTTAAAGACGTCCCGTTATAGACGTCTCGTTATAGACGTCCCGTTAAAGATGTCTCGTTAAAGACATCTTGTTAAAGACGTCCCGTTATAGACGTCTCGTTATAGACGTCTCGTTATAGACGTCTCGTTATAGACGTCTCGTTATAGACGTCCCGTTAAAGACGTCTCGTTAAAGACATCCCGTTAAAGACGTCTCGTTATAGACGTCCCGTTAAAGACGTCTTGTTATAGACGTCTCGTTATAGACGTCCCGTTAAAGACGTCTCGTTAAAGACATCTTGTTAAAGACGTCCCGATAAAGACGTCTCGTTAAAGACATCTCGTTAAAGACGTCTCGTTAAAGACGTCTCGTTATAGACCTCTCGTAATAGACGTCTCGTTATAGACGTCCCGTTAAAGACGTCTCGTTAAAGACATCTTGTTAAAGACGTCCCGTTATAGACGTCTCGTTATAGACGTCCCGTTAAAGATGTCTCGTTAAAGACATCTCGTTAAAGACGTCTCGTTATAGACGTCTCGTTATAGACGTCCCGTTAAAGACGTCTCGTTATAGACGTCTTGCTATAGACGTCTCGTTATAGAGGTACCGTTAAAGACGTCTCGTTAAAGACATCCCGTTAAAGACGTCTTGTTACAGACGTCTCGTTATAGACATCTCGTTATAGACATCTCGTTAAAGACGTCCCGTTATAGACGCCTCGTTATAGACGTCTCGTTATAGACGTCCCATTATAAACGTCCCGTTATAGTCATCTCGTTATAGACATCCCGTTAAAGACGTCTCGTTATAGAAGTCTCGTTATAGACGTCTTGTTATAGACGTCTCGTTATAGACGTCTTGTTATAGACGTCCCTTTAAAGACGTCTCGTTAAAGATGTCCCGTTATAGACGTCTTGTTATAGACGTCTCGTTATAGACGTCTCGTTAAAGACGTCTCGTTAAAGACGTCTCGTTAAAGACGTCTCGTTATAGACGTCTCGTTATAGACGTCTCGTTATAGACGTCCCGTTAAAGACGTCTCGTTATAGACGTCCCTTTAAAGACGTCTCGTTAAAGACGTCCCGTTATAGACGTCTCGTTATAGACGTCCCGTTAAAGACGTCCCGTTACAGACGTCCCGTTAAAGACGTCTCGTTATAGACGTCTCGTTATAGACGTTTCGTTAAAGACGTTTCGTTAAAGACGTCTCGTTAAAGACGTCCCGTTATAGTCATCTCGTTATAGACGTCCCGTTAAAGACGTCTCGTTATAGACGTCCCTTTAAAGACGTCTCGTTAAAGACGTCCCGTTATAGACGTCTCGTTATAGACGTCCCGTTAAAGACGTCTGGTGATAGACGTCTCGTTATAGACGTTTTGTTAAAGACGTCTCGTTAAAGACGTCCCGTTATAGTCGTCTTGTTATAGACGTCTCGTTAAAGACGTCTCGTTATAGACATCCCGTTAAAGACATCTCGTTATAGACGTCTCGTTAAAGACATCTCGTTATAGACGTCTCGTTATAGACGTCTCGTTATAGATGTCTCGTTAAAGACGTCTCGTTAAAGACGTCTCGTTATAGACGTCTCGTTATAGACGTCCCATTATAAACGTCCCGTTATAGTCATCTCGTTATAGACATCCCGTTAAAGACGTCTCGTTATAGAAGTCTCGTTATAGACGTCTCGTTATAGACGTCCCGTTAAAGACGTCTCGTTATAGACGTCCCTTTAAAGATGTCTCGTTAAAGACGTCCCGTTATAGACGTCTCGTTATAGACGTCTCGTTATAGACGTCTCGTTATAGACGTCCCATTATAAACGTCCCGTTATAGTCATCTCGTTATAGACATCCCGTTAAAGACGTCTCGTTATAGAAGTCTCGTTATAGACGTCTCGTTATAGACGTCCCGTTAAAGACGTCTCGTTATAGACGTCCCTTTAAAGATGTCTCGTTAAAGACGTCCCGTTATAGACGTCTCGTTATAGACGTCTCGTTATAGACGTCTCGTTATAGACGTCCCGTTACAGACGTCCCGTTAAAGACGTCTCGTAATAGACGTCTCGTTATAGACGTCTCGTTATAGACGTTTCGTTAAAGACGTCTTGTTAAAGACGTCCCGTTATAGTCATCTCGTTATAGACATCCCGTTAAAGACGTCTCGTTATAGAAGTCTCGTTATAGACGTCTCGTTATAGACGTCCCGTTAAAGACGTCTCGTTATAGACGTCCCTTTAAAGATGTCTCGTTAAAGATGTCTCGTTAAAGACGTCCCGTTATAGACGTCTCGTTATAGACGTCTCGTTATAGACGTCTCGTTATAGACGTCTCGTTATAGACGTCCCGTTACAGACGTCCCGTTAAAGAGTCTCGTAATAGACGTCTCGTTATAGACGTCTCGTTATAGACGTTTCGTTAAAGACGTCTTGTTAAAGACGTCCCGTTATAGTCATCTCGTTATAGACATCTCGTTAAAGACGTCCCGTTATAGACGCCTCGTTATAGACGTCTCGTTATAGACGTCTCGTTAAAGACGTCTCGTTAAAGACGTCCCGTTATAGACGTCTCGTTATAGACGTTTTGTTAAAGACGTCTCGTTAAAGACGTCCTGTTATAGTCGTCTTGTTATAGACGTCTCGTTAAAGACGTCTCGTTATAGACGTCTCGTTAAAGACGTCCCGTTATAGTCGTCTTGTTATAGACGTCTCGTTAAAGACGTCTCGTTATAGACATCCCGTTAAAGACATCTCGTTATAGACGTCTCGTTAAAGACATCTCGTTATAGACGTCTCGTTATAGACGTCCCGTTAAAGACGTCTCGTTAAAGACATCTCGTTAAAGACGTCTCGTTATAGACGTCCCTTTAAAGACGTCTCGTTAAAGACGTCTCGTTATAGACGTCCCGTTAAAGACGTCTCGTTAAAGACATCTCGTTAAAGACGTCTCGTTATAGACGTCTCGTTAAAGACGTCTCGTTATAGACGTCTCGTTATAGACGTCCCGTTAAAGACGTCTCGTTAAAGACATCCCGTTAAAGACGTCTCGTTATAGACGTCCCGTTAAAGACGTCTTGTTATAGACGTCTCGTTATAGACGTCCCGTTAAAGACGTCTCGTTAAAGACATCTTGTTAAAGACGTCCCGTTAAAGACGTCTCGTTAAAGACATCTCGTTAAAGACGTCTCGTTAAAGACGTCTCGTTATAGACCTCTCGTAATAGACGTCTCGTTATAGACGTCCCGTTAAAGACGTCTTGTTATAGACGTCTCGTAATAGACGTCTCGTTATAGACGTCCCGTTAAAGACGTCTCGTTAAAGACATCTTGTTAAAGACGTCCCGTTATAGACGTCTCGTTATAGACGTCCCGTTAAAGATGTCTCGTTAAAGACATCTTGTTAAAGACGTCCCGTTATAGACGTCTCGTTATAGACGTCTCGTTATAGACGTCTCGTTATAGACGTCTCGTTATAGACGTCCCGTTAAAGACGTCTCGTTAAAGACATCCCGTTATAGACGTCTCGTTATAGACGTCCCGTTAAAGACGTCTTGTTATAGACGTCTCGTTATAGACGTCCCGTTAAAGACGTCTCGTTAAAGACATCTTGTTAAAGACGTCCCGATAAAGACGTCTCGTTAAAGACATCTCGTTAAAGACGTCTCGTTAAAGACGTCTCGTTATAGACCTCTCGTAATAGACGTCTCGTTATAGACGTCCCGTTAAAGACGTCTCGTTAAAGACATCTTGTTAAAGACGTCTCGTTATAGACGTCTCGTTATAGACGTCTCGTTATAGACGTCTCGTTAAAGACGTCTCGTTATAGACGTCCCGTTAAAGACGTCTTGTTATAGACGTCCCGTTAAAGACATCTCGTTATAGACGTCTTGCTATAGACGTCTCGTTATAGAGGTACCGTTAAAGACGTCTCGTTAAAGACATCCCGTTAAAGACGTCTTGTTATAGACGTCTCGTTATAGACATCTCGTTATAGACGTCCCGTTAAAGACGTCCCGTTGAAGACGTCTCGTTATAGACGTCCCGTTAAAGACGTCCCGTTAAAGACGTCTCGTTATAGACGTCCCGTTAAAGACGTCTCGTTAAAGACATCTTGTTAAAGACGTCTCGTTATAGACGTCCCGTTATAGACGTCTCGTTAAAGACGTCTCGTTATAGACGTCCCATTATAAACGTCCCGTTATAGTCATCTCGTTATAGAAGTCTCGTTATAGACGTCTCGTTATAGACGTCCCGTTAAAGACGTCTCGTTATAGACGTCCCTTTAAAGACGTCTCGTTATAGACGTCCCGTTAAAGACGTCTCGTTATAGACGTCCCTTTAAAGACGTCTCGTTAAAGACGTCCCGTTATAGACGTCTCGTTATAGACGTCTCGTTATAGACGTCCCGTTAAAGACGTCCCGTTATAGACGTCCCGTTAAAGACGTCTCGTTATAGACGTCTCGTTATAGACGTTTCGTTAAAGACGTCTCGTTAAAGACGTCCCGTTATAGTCATCTCGTTATAGACATCCCGTTAAAGACATCTCGTTATAGACGTCCCTTTAAAGACGTCTCGTTAAAGACGTCCCGTTATAGACGTCCCGTTAAAGACGTCCGGTTATAGACGTCTCGTTATAGACGTCTCGTTATAGACGTCTCGTTATAGACGTCTCGTTATAGACGTCTCGTTAAAGACGTCTCATTATAGACGTCTCGTTATAGACGTCTCGTTAAAGACGTCTCGTTATAGACGTCCCGTTAAAGACGTCTCGTTAAAGACATCTTGTTAAAGACGTCTCGTTATAGACGTCCCGTTAAAGACGTCTTGTTATAGACGTCCCGTTAAAGTCGTCTCGTTAAAGACGTCTCGTTAAAAACGTCTCGTTATAGACGTCTCGTAATAGACGTCTCGTTATAGACGTCCCGTTAAAGACGTCTCGTTAAAGACCTCTTGTTAAAGATGTCCCGTTAAAGATGTCTCGTTAAAGACGTCTCGTTAAAGACGTCTCGTTATAGACGTCTCGTTATAGACGTCCCGTTAAAGACGTCTCGTTAAAGACATCTTGTTAAAGACGTCCCGTTATAGACGTCCCGTTAAAGACGTCTCGTTAAAGACGTCTCGTTATAGACGTCTTGTTATAGACGTCCCGTTAAAGACGTCTAGTTAAAGACATCTCGTTAAAGACGTCTCGTTATAGACGTCTCGTTATAGACGTCCCGTTAAAGACGTCTTGTTATAGACGTCTCGTTATAGACGTCCCGTTAAAGACGTCTCGTTAAAGACGTCTCGTTAAAGACGTCCCGTTAAAGACGTCTCGTTAAAGACATCTCGTTAAAGACGTCTCGTTATAGACGTCTCGTTATAGACGTCCCGTTAAAGACGTCTCTTTAAAGACGTCTCGTTAAAGACATCTCGTTAAAGACGTCTCGTTATAGACGTCCCGTTAAAGACGTCTTGTTATAGATGTCTCGTTATAGACGTCCCGTTAAAGACGTCTCGTTAAAGACATCTCGTTAAAGACGTCTCGTTATAGACGTCTCGTTATAGACGTCCCGTTGCGGTGATTGATGCTGCGGTGCCACACTAGGTGGGAAAACTTATGGCTGAAATGTCGCCTTTCTTCTCCAGAAGTTGAAAGACGAAGCTGCTTTCGACGCCTTCTTGACCTCCATCCATAACTTCTGCTGTGATTAACTATGTGACGTTTCATGCTTCGATCTTTTTATTCCATGTTGTTAATTTGTCATGGTTTGGATACGAAGCAGCTGGTTTGGTTGATTTAGAAGGTACCTTTCAGGTAGAACAGTGTGTTTTTGAAGATAAATATTTAATTTCCATAAGATTTTAAGACTCCTTATGTTTCTTTGTCTACAGCTGCAGTGCACCTTTATGCAGAAGTTGCCATGCTTTACTCACCTGGATGACCTTCCAATTCCCTCCTCTGGGCGAGACTTTATCTAGAAAGTTGTAGAAATACTTCAATATTTGTTGGGATGATACACTTCTATTTTAGGGACTGTCTTAATTTATCAGTCCTGGATGAAAATAGTCAGGCTACATTTCTGAATATTGATGGTCATAGTCACATGATTTACAGAACTTTTGAAAGTACTTACCCCCTTTCAGAGACCAGAATGAAACTAGAAGATTTTTCTGCCGTTCATCCACCTTGTGTTACGTGAAATTGTGTGAAATTGTGGAACGAACTAAGTGATGAATTTAAGTTATGTTCAATTTTTTAATAAACTTTAAAAGAGCTTTAAGATGTAAAATGATAAAATCTTACACTATTTTTTAGATTTATATATGTATTGTGAAAATATCCTGGTAGGTTAAAGGGTAAAAAAAATAGGGTAGGCAAGAATAAGCTTTGCTTCAGCCTCTTCCTTTTTTGGTAAATTGTGGGTTATTTATTGTTTATTGTTATTTCTTTGTTGTTTCTGGTGATGTGGACAGTTTACCAAAATAAAATAATGAATGAATGAAACGTCCCATCAGGCCTTCTCCAAACTGACCTCCAGCACCGAAAACGAGATGTTTCTCCACTACATCTTCACGGAGACTTGCTTCTCTCTCCCCACTGCCTCTGGTTTTCCTCTCAAGTTCTCCTTGTCTGGAGTGTTTGCCGCCGGCGCCAGAGGAGGCCTGACCCGCTCCACAGTGGTAGATCCCTTTTCTTCATCATCAGGACTTCCTTGTTCTCCTTGCTTCACATGCTCCTTTCTTCCTTTCTGCAGACCGGCGTGTCCTTCATGCCTTCAGGAGGGCTGGAGTTCATCACCCATATGGGCGTTCACCTTCCAGACTATGTGGACGCAGGAACTGAGATGCTCACTAATCTCTACCACGAGAGCTCATTTCAGGCCAAAGTAACTGTGAAGAAGAACCAGGTTGAACTGTCCATCCCTGCTCCTAAGTCCAGCCATCCGCTGCTCAGCATCAGGTCAGCAGCAGGTTGGATAAAGCAAATGAAGCTCTTCCTCTGGTTGCTGTTCTGGTCTTCATTCTCTCTTCTCTTGGTGTCTGGATGAAGCAACAAGCTGCTGTCCATCTCATCCGGACAAACTAAGCCGGTGCCATCTCTGGTGGAGAACCGGGTTGACCACTCTGACTGCCAGCTTCTGCTTAAAGGACTCAACCTCTGCACAGTGGTCAGCTACCCCAATGCTTCCTCTGTGGAAGAGACGCCTTCCTTCCCTCTGACTGGAGACACTATGTAAGATGAACCTCTGCTCCAGACACAATGGCTTCAAGAAACATTTTACCTTCTATTACATTTTACCCAGATAAAATAAGAACATCAAACTGTTGTCACTTGTTGAAGGTTTGCAGTTGAACTCCAGCCCACAAAGAAAGTTTCCGGATACACGGCCTCCATCAGCGACGAGACTCTGCGGGAGGGCAGAAAGGGCCTACACAAAGTTCAATCCCTAAAGCTCACCCTGAGGGCAGAAGGTACCGGTCCACCCACTGATGCAACCGTTCAGACAGGCTCATTACATCCTAGATTCAGGATCTGAAACTTCCAGGACTGACGGCTGCAAAGCGGGCCATCCTCTGGGTTCTGATGGCGTTAATGGGGCATTGCTGCAGCTGCAAAACAGTTCAGTTTGAAGTCTATCCATTAGTCCCAGTTGCAATAATAATAATAATAACAATAATAAGTATGAGGACATTTGTCTGAACGCTGTGGTTCCTTAGGGCAGTGTTTCCTATCCCTGGTCTGCTCTGCATGTTCTAGATGTTTCCCTGCTGATTCGGCTGATTGCAGTTCAACAAACGTCTGTCAACTGAAATCACCTGGCTGAAACATGAAGGGCAGTGTGTGGAGGACCAGGGGTGGGAAACACTGCCCTGGGGCAGGGGCTTTGGGAGCCACTGGGGGTTATGTCATCATGATCACCACCTGCTGGTGCTGCACAGGTATTACAGCAGATTTTCTTTAACTGGACGGGAGGAACTCCTCATTCAGGCTGCGCTGAGGTCATGTCTGAATATTAACATCGACTCTCCTGTCACATTTAAGTGGAGTCAGGGTCTACAAACCACCTGGATTCCTGATTTATAAATATCCACGGTAGTGAAGGTGTGGCCTAAAACCTAGCAGAAAGCTCTGAACTGTTTTCTGACAGACGTCTCGGAGTCAATACATTTGACTTTAAAACTGCTTGTTTCTATAGTTCTGATGAAACCCAAGTGATGAGTTAAAATTGTTCTGCTTTTAGGTGAAGAGTCAACGGAGGCAACTGCATCTGTCAAGTACAACCAGAATAAAAACACCTTTTCCGCTGAGCTGCTCATTCCTGACTGTGGTGTGGAGGCGACAGTGAACCTGGCTGTAACCCGGACAGATGGAGACGGGCGGAAGACGAGAGGCTTCAGAATTGACGTGACCAACAGGAACGTCACCCGGTTCTCTCTAACAGGACGTGCCAGGTCAGTCCCTGAAAACTCTGGAGGAAACCAATGCTCACAGTTCATGGTGCCCTGCTGCAAGCCTCCATGCTCTCATTTTAAATGCAGACATGAAATGATGAAAGAGGTCATGATGCAGCTCCAGATGGACATCCCGTCTCTGCAAACGGATGCATCCGTCACTGCAACCCTGAAAAATGAGGAGAATGTGCTGATGGACTTGGAATCAGTCCTTCACCTCCCTGCAGCTTCATACCAACAGAAAGCTTCTCTAAAATATGGTATTTTTCACTGATATCTGAATTATTCTGGTTTTAAAACCTTACATTATCTGCATAGCAGAGTATTGTTTGGATTTTTCTTCCTCAGATGAAGATAAAGTCCAGCTGGAACTGAAAACAGACCTGGCTGCAGAGATCAAAAAGATGATTCCACATGCAGAAGACCGTCACATGCAGCTCCAGAAGCTCATCGATGATATGTTGGAGCAGAAAGTTGCAAAGACTGACATGAAGTTGCGTCATATAGTCAGCAAAGGGATTGAGGTGCTAATGTTTATTCACCTCAGCAAATATCTTATTGTTTTTAGTCCAGAAAAGTCTGGACCATGCATTTGGTACCTGGTCCTTCAGTTGGGTTTGCTGGTTTAATCCACCTCTATAATGTTACAATTGTACAAGCCACCAATGCTATAGTGAACAAAAACCTCAATATTACAAAGTCTGATGTTAGAAGTCTGTTCAGCATCTGGTTATCAGGTTTCAGCTCTAAATGGACATGAATGACAGCACGGAGCCTAACGCCGCTCTATCCACAGCAAAGACCTTATTATGGAATTTCTTTATGATACATTTTCATATGTTTGCCATTATACTGCAGCAGGATGTTTTTGAGACGCCGCAAAGAGACGGGGAAGCATGAGATCGCTGCATAATTTATGCAACAGTATTTATCAGTTAACCTACTAATAACTGAGAGTGAATACTGTTATCAAAAAAAGAAATCCAGTTAGGAGAACTCCAAACATCTACACTATGGCCTACAGTGGTAAAAGAAATAAAAATAAAGCATAACATACTCAGTTTCTGAATGTTTATAGACAAACTCCATTCTCCTCTCTTTACACAGGAAAACCTCAATAAAATTACAGAGTTGATCTCTTTCTTTCAGATCATTAATTATCATTCATTTATCTGTGAAGGCAGGAAACAACTGGCTGGACAAACTGACGGCTCACTTCCCCTCTCTTGCAAATCTTCGAAGTAAGAGGAGCATCTCAGACCTCATGCTGCCAGCCCTGCCTGAGAAACTCTTCCTGCAGTCGTAAGTGTTTCAAACAGAAATATGAAGTGTCTTGAATATCAATAAGACTTTCATTCTATCTCATAATTTGTGCCTGATTTGATTTGAACAGGGACAGTTTGTTTCGATACCAGTTCAACAAAGAAAAGGCAATCATCAGTCTCCCTCTTCCACTTGGAGGCAAAACATCAGAGGAGCTGAATTTTCCAAAGACTTTGTCCTTTCCAGTCATAGAGTTACCTCAGATTGGATTACATATCCCAGCTAAAAAGTTTGTACTCCCATCATTCAGTGTACCGACCTCTTTGGATCTCCCAATTCCTCTTCTCGGACTGGCTGAAGCATCGACCAAGATCCACAGCAACTTGTACAGCTGGGAAGGGTCGATCTCTGGAGGCAACAGCACTGTGGATATTCCTAGCTACATAGCACAGTACAAGGCTATGGCTCAGTCCCCAATACACTTACTGTCATATAAACTTGAAGGTAAACTCTCTTTTTAAAACAGTGTCCTGTGTTGTTGAGGTGTTTTCCGGAAAATATTAAATACCAGACTTCTGTATATTTTCTCTCTGCCTGCTTCTAGGGATTGGGATGATATCAGGAAGAGCTGAAGATAATCTCAAGTATCTTCTCAACTGTTCTGTCAGCCACATCTTCCTTGATAGCAGCATCAGCATCACGGAAACCTTAAGAGTGACGGAGAAACTGAACGCTCAAGCCAATTACAAGTTAGAGGCCTTCAGTCCGTTAGGCCTTGAAACCTCTCTCCACTACTCTGCTCAGTCCACTTCTACTCTGAATTCGGATGAAGTTTCAGGAGATGGTGATCTTACTGGACTACTCAAAATAGCTTCTTTTCACACCAACACCTCTTATAGCCACAGCTACAATCTGTGTCCTCTGGCTCGAGAAGGAAGAGGAGAGTCCATCTTACGCTTTGACTCTCCCTTCATCCAGTTACAAAATGTGATCCGAGGACTTTATGCAAACTCTGAGTTGAATGTTGTATCCAAAACTAGTACCCAGAGAGATGTCTTCAAGCATGTTGCAGAGCTCAAGTACAAAGATGCACAACTATCCCTGAAGTCCAAGGCTGTTGGGTTGGCATTGGGGAAATCTCTAAATAACAATGTTGAGCTTGGTGCATCAAGCCAGATGTTGATCATCAGAATTGAGTCTCAGGCAGATGATGACAACAGTCGGGCTTACTCACTCATAACTGGATCCCTAGATTCAAACGGGATGGAGGTTAACTCTGAAGGCTCCCTCACCTTTGAAGTGGGTCGGGCTTTGCATAAAGCATCTGTAAGAGCTGGAAGAGATGGTCTAAGCTTCAGTGAAATCAACAACATTCAGTGCAGCCCTGTCACAGTAGAGAACATCTTTGATGGTGCAATTGATGTCAGTGGAGCATCTTATTCCTCAACTACCAAAGTGGTGGTTGAGGAAGGCAGAGGAGAACTTGGATTTGGAGGTAAAATCACTCCTTCAGAGGTTTCTTTATATGGTGACCTTAAGGGTCATGCTTACGATGCAGCCACAGCAAACAGCATGAATGTTGTGCTGAACAGAAGGGCCCTGACTTTCTCTGGTAACATGAAGGGAACCCTGAGGGAGATGTCGACAGAAAACAGTCATAAATTGACCCTCACTCTCTGGACTTTATCCCTCCGCTCCAAGACCGAGAACTTCATCTGTGAAGATCATTACTACAGGCAAAACCTCAAGATTGATGCAAAACCATTCATTCTGGGAGTTGACTTCAACAACAAACTCAGATTTTACGACTTCAATTTGGACAAGGAAGGCCACATGAAGCTTGAGCCCCTTAAGGCAGAGCTCCGGGGAACACTGAATGGAGCTTTCAGAGAAGAAGAAAATATCAAACACACCTATGAACTCACCTACAAAGATTGGTCAGGTTCAATGAAGTACAGTACATCTGGAAACATAATGGATGCACATTTAAGTCATAGCTGCGAACTTGAATTTGCTGGACTTTCCTCCAACTCAAAGTGTGAGGCGAAGTTAAGATCTGAACCTTTACGTTTCAGTGGACACCTTCACATCCAGGCATTACCTTTTAGTCTGGCTATTGATTCATCTATGGACAGTGCTGGAGAACTAAGTCTCCATGGGAAGCACAGCGGAGAGCTTTTCAGCACGTTATTGGTTAAAACCACCCCACTAGCTCTTGGATGGTCACATGACTGTCGGGTATCGACCACTCACAGACTTTCTGCTAGAGAGTCTTCAACTAGCTTCAGCAACAAGTTTGAAGGTCTGTTAACTCCAAAAGGCCAATCTTTGGACTGGAAAGTCAACTCCGCAGTGAACAACCATGCCTATGAGCAGAGTATCAGTGCTTACAATGATCCTGAGAAGATTGGACTTGAGTTATCAGGAGTGGCCCTAACAGACCTTCTCAGCAGACACGAGAGGTCTAACTCAGAACCACAAACATTCAGTATGGCTGGCTTCCTAAAGTACGACAAAAACAGTGACTGTCATATTATTGAGATCCCGTTCATTGAGAGCTTTCCTGCTGCTTTTGAGCACTTTAAGATGACGTTCATCCGAGCTTTAGAATCCCTCCGACAGCTACTAGAGAAATTAAACATCAATCAGATCATCACTGACTTCAGAGCCAACTTGGATCAGCTGCCAATACGAGTGAAGAGATTCATGAGAAATCTTGACTTAGAGAACAAAGTTGATAAAATAAAAGAAAGACTTGATTACTTGATTAATGAGTTCACTGTAACAATGGATGACTTGGAGGTTGGTGTGAGCAATATGAGACAGATCTTAGAAAAAAACATTGTAGACATAGTTACAAAGGTACATGACTTCATCTCTGCATCGAAGGAGTTCATCAATGCTGGGCATCTGACTGATAAAATAACAACAGTATTTTTGTATGCTGGAGATCAGCTTCAGGCCTTTGATGCAAAATACCAAATTAAGATGTGGCTCGTGAGAACACTTGATTTCATGGAGGATGTCATCAGACAAATAGACTTCCGGAAGCTCGGGGAAAGCCGTGCAGGATTCCTGCATAATCTTGATACAAAATACGACATCCTGGCGACAATCAGGGAAAAGCTGTCTGAGATGAAAAATAACTTGGAGGATTTCAACTTTTTCCAGTTTGTGGAAGTTGTGAAGAACTTCCTGTTGTCATTTGACTGGGCTTCATATGTGGACCAGCTTTCCTATCAAATCCCAGTGTCAGAGATAGCAAGAGTGATGGAATCAATGAATGAGGTAATCATCAACTGGATTGATGAATATGAAATCCCCAACAAGCTAAATACAGTATACACCTACAGCAAAGATATTCTTTTAAAATATGAAATTGATGATATTTTCAAGGACCTAATGGATCAAGCAGTGATTCTTATTAGAGAATGGAAGATTGAAGAAACTGTGCAGTCAATTGTTACAGCTCTAAAATCCATCAAACTTGAGATGATTTACAATAAAATGTTGAACTGTCTACACAGTGTAATAGACAAGATTAGAGAAATTGACTTTAAAAACAGCATTGATGACCTTAATGAACGCATCTCCTCAATAGTTGAATCAATGAAGGCTTTTGACTACAGCTCATTTGTTGATGAATCAAATATTAAGATTGTTGAGCTGACAGATTACCTGAACAATGAAATCAATAAGTATGAGATTGTGAAGAAGATTGAGGCTGTTAGGAAGTTTTTCAGAGAAATTCAAAATTCTATCTATACCTATCTGGATGAACTGAAAAACACCAAAGTGGCCGATGCCTTGAAGAAGCTGAAGGATGTGATTGACAGTGCATTTTACAATGACGTCAAACTGAAAGTTCAGGACATTCTGGAGGACATGAAGCAACGAATTGTAGACATGGACATTAGAGATGAAATTCATATCTATCTCCAGAGAGCAAGTGACTCCTATGGAAACATGGTCACCTTCTTTTCTGCTCATTTTGATGGACTCATGGAGTGGATGAAGTCATTGGCTAGTGATAAGGTTGTTGACCAGATAAAGCAGATGGTGGAAAGAATTCTGGAGCAAATCAAAAGAGCTGACATCGAAGTCTCCACTTTTACCGTCCCTCTTACAGACTTGGAAATACCAGGATTCACCATCAACCTCAATAAACTGCAGGAAATCACCATTCCAGCCCAAATATCAGTACCTGAATTCACCATCCTCAGGTCATGTACCATCCCTGCTTTCATCATAGACTTCAATGACATCAAGACCAAGCTAGTGGCAATCATTGATGACATCCGCGGGTTTCAGATCCAAATGCCTCAACTGGAAGACATCTTTGGCAACTTAAAAGTTCTTTACCTGCCTGAGCTGCCAGACATCACCTTCCCAGACATCGTTCTTATTGAAATAACATTTCCAGATATTAGCATTCCCAAACTAAGTGTCCAGGACTCAGGGATGAAAATGCTTACAATTCCCGATGTGACATTTCCAGTGATTCCCACTGACATTTGCTTCCCAGTGTTTGGAAAACTCCATGGACAATTTAATCTTTCTTTTCCAAAGTATTTTCTTATTAACAAATTCAAAATTGAGAATTCTACTACAGATTTGTCAAATCCAAAGTTCACAGCCATATTTACTTCTCATGCTAAATCACCAGTCAAAGTCTTGGAGCACATCTTTGAAGTCGAGTCTCAGCTGGAGGCTCCAAGAATGGAGAGCCTTCAATTCACACAGACCTTGAAAGCTACACATGTTGCCTTCTCAGTTGACCACGAAGGCTCTCTGGCTCTTCCTAGTTCTCCTGCAGAGAGTTTTGCCAAGTTTACCACAATAGTCACCACTCAGTTTTACACAGCTGACCTGCTTGGTAGTGTAGCTCTATCACTGGAGAGTGGAGTATCTGCAGTAATAGAAACATCTTACAATCACAAACTGGACATCCCAACACTAGAAGCTTCCAGTCAGGCATCACTGAAGCAAAGCTTGACAGCAAAAATGGACCCCATTGGGGTTACTGTGACTGGTGAAACTAGTGGTACTGGGAAGTGGTCCATTCAAGACTTCTTTGATGAAGGTACCCACAGAACTAATGTAGAATTGAAAGTTGACTTTAACACAGCAAAGCTGACATGTGTAGGAGACATAGACTACCAGGCTTTCAAGTCAAAGCACACACTGACTGTTGACTCAACCCTCTTAAGCCATGTTGCTGTAAAAGCTCAATGTGATTCCAAAACACCGTTTGTGAAAAACAGCGTTCTGTTTTTAAAAGGAGAGGCTGAATTTGCAGACCTGAATGCTGCACTAATAGTCTCCCATGAGGCTGAGCTCACTGGAGGTCTGGCAGGAACCATGTCCAACTCCTGGGAGTTTAGAGCCCAGCCATTTGAGATTATTGTTGATGTTAAGAACAAGGTGATCTCCAAAGTTTTGCTCCCCCTAAAACTCACCGGTAAGGTTGACCTTGAGAATGATTATGGTGTTGTGATAAACTCGGAGAGGCAGAGCGCATGTTGGTTTGCTTTAGTCAGATTCAATCAGTACAAATACAGCCACAACCTTACAGCACTAAACAATGAGAAGAACATCTACATCCAGTCCAGAGCAGAGGGAGAGGCTGATTTGGAGTTTCTGATCATTCCTCTCTCTATCCCAGAAATGACTTTACCTTATTTCCAAATCCAGACCCCAGAGCTTAGAGACTTTTCTCTGTGGGAAGATGCTGGCTTGAAATCCTGGCTTATCAACCCCCAACAGTTATTTGACATGGACCTGAAGTTCCAGTATCACAAGAACCCAGACTCACACTGCTTTGAATTGCACCTTGAACCAATCTACAGTGCAATCAACGACAACTTTGAAATCATCCAGGGTCGATTTGAAGCTTGCAGAGACAAAGTGGTAACACTTCTGAAAGATTCATACCACGAAGCAAGAGCACAGTACATCAAACACAAAATCAACACGTCCAGTCTTCCTCCAAAGATCTTCAGGGTCCCTGGTTACAAAATTCCCTTTCTGGACATCCAGGTTTCTGCTTTCAGAGCAGAGATGCCAGCATTCAGTTTCTTTGTTCCAAAGGAGGTCAGCACAGCAAGCTTCAGAGTCCCTGCTCTGGGATTCTCTGTACCGTCCTACACCTTTGTGCTCCCATCTCTCAGGCTTCCTATCATCCATGTTCCAGAAACCTTGGGTGAAATCAAGCTGCCCAGTTTCACCCTGCCAACTGTACAGGACAGTGTGGTGATCCCAGCAATGGGCAACATCACCTGTGATTTCTCCTTTAAGTCCACCATTATCACCTTGAATGCTAACGCAGGCCTTTACAATGAGTCAGACATCATTGCTCGCTTCAGTGCATTGTCTGTGTCTGTGTTTGATATTCTGAATGGAAAACTGAATGGGACTACCTGTCTGACAAGGACAAGGGGATTAAAACTGGCTTCCATTATCACTTTAGAGCACAGCAATGTTCAGGGCAACCATGAATGTTCTGTTAGCCTCACCAAGAGGAGCATGGAAGCTTCTGCAGCCAACTCTGTAAAGATTCAACTTCCCTTCCTCCAAATGGAAATGAGTCAGGATCTCAGTGGGAACACAAGAACCAAGTTGAGCCTTGTGTCCAAGAAAAAGCTGAGCTACATGTTTAATGTTCCCCAGATTGCATCTGCAGGCAAAGGAAGTGTTGACATGACCTGGACGGTCGAAGCTCTGTCCTCTCATGTGTTACTGGAATCTTCTTTCTTCTTCATGGAGTATGATCTCACTGGTAGGACAGACATGATTCCTCCATGGTCCCTGAAGCATGTTCTCACATGTTCTTATCTCTGATTGTTTCTTCAGCCTCTACAGTTGTTAGATATGACGACAAGCTGCTTCAGCTGAATGGGAACGGCAGGTTGAGCCACAGGGATGGAAGCATGAACTGGCAGTATGTGTTGGACCGTCCACTCAGGTTGGTGTTTGCCATCATAACTCCGTGCTCTGCTGTTAGCCGAGCGAATTGGGATAATCTCTCCTAACAATAATGATTATTGCCCAACATATTCTGCATCTCTTTGAGGAGAATAATCCAGACTATCCTCATTACGATCAATATCCTTCATCTAGTTGAACGATGTTGTCTATCTGCTCTGATGTCACACAGGAAGAAGCCTTGTAATTGGCTAACTTCAGACTCCCTTTAACTAATTGGTTGATGTTATGATAGATGTTGGCTCTACATTTTCAGTGAAACTCAGCTAAACTTCCTTTTCTTTTCCATCTCAGTTGTTTGTTTTAGTTCCAGATTTGATCAGTTTCCTCACATAAAGTGGAGCTCATAAAGAATTGGTCTGTAGGAGATATTTTCCCAGTTTTAAAACATAAAATGAGTCTGAAAGTGTTCGTCCAACCCAAACTTCAAAGTAAACAACACTCAGGCAAAACAATAAAAATACAGCAGTGAACAATTGGTTAATGAAGGAGCCTCAGTGATGTCATCATTAATGTCAATGCAGGAGCAGCTCAGCCGTCTCTCACTAACCCAGAGTAAAGTTTCTGTATTAAATTATACATCTGCCATGGATGAATTACTGACTAAACACACCCAGTTAATTACGCTCATGTTCATTAGATTTCAGTGCCCTGTGTATCTTGATGAAGCTTTTATTGTGAAGGTCTCCCCTACTGATCCTATAGATAGTTCGGTCTCCGTGGCGATTCAAGCCGCTCTGGTTGCTGAATTTCCTCTCAAACTCTCTGTGCACTGAGATCACCTCCAGTGATACCAAGTCTGTTTTTCCATGAGAGAGACGCAGTCCCACAGCATCATAATTCCTCTACCAAAACTACTTAAAACCTGCTAAACAAGTTCATTTCCCTGCAGATGTGGAAGGAAAAAAGCTTCCCAGTGCCATCAAATTTACCTCCAGGAAGGATTATTACAATCAATCACACATTTCCTTTTCCTCCTCTTGTTCTCAGTTTATATTATTAGATTTTTAAAAAAACATTAAATCACTTTTATAGATGCCAACTAAAGGGTTAAATTCCTGCACTCTTTGATCTTTCAGAACAAAACGTGAACTCTCTCGAGGAGATTCTGTGAACCGGTGAGTCTCCAAAAAGAGCAGCTCCTGATGTCACATTGGAGAAATAAGTATTTAACACATCACACATGAAGCACATGACAAAAGTGCAATTGGCATAAATATCTCAGCACATGTCGAGTCAGGTCAAGTTTATTTGTAGACTTTGTACAACACATTTCATTTTCAAAAATACAAAGTCAGGGAATCAATAAATAACTGAAACATTACATTTTGTTAAGGGCCATTTTTCAACATCACATGTAAAACAGAGTGGTGTAGAACCGGGCGGTGTAGAACCGGGCGGTGTAGAACCGGGCGGGGTAGAACCGGGCGGTGTAGAACCGGGCGGGGTAGAACCGGGCGGTGTAGAACCGGGCGGTGTAGAACCGGGCGGGGTAGAACCGGGCGGTGTAGAACCGGGCGGGGTAGAACCGGGCGGGGTAGAACCGGGCGGTGTAGAACCGGGTAGAACCAGGTGGTGTAGAACCGGGCGGGGTAGAACCGGGCGGTGTAGAACCGGGCGGGGTAGAACCGGGCGGGGTAGAACCGGGCGGGGTAGAACCGGGCGGTGTAGAACCGGGCGGTGTAGAACCGGGCGGGGTAGAACCGGGCGGGGTAGAACCGGGTAGAACCGGGTAGAACCAGCAGGTTTCTCCATCTTCCTGGTTCTAGTCAGAAATCCAGCACCAGGTTCTGGTTTGTCAGTCAGACTTGCAGCAGGAATCAAGTTTCTCTGATCGGAGACTTTAGTCTCTGGTCCTGGAAATGTTCTGCAGCTGCTAGAAGGCCCACTTTGGACCTGCGGAGTCAGGTCAGAGGTCATCACCTCACCCAGCTGTAAGAACCTATGCAGGCCACAAAACAGTAGATGTCCAAAAATGAACTAATATGTGATAAAATAGAAGGAAAAAAGTATTGAACACATAAATAAAGGCTTTTAAAATCACCACATCACCTGAGGTCGATCAGTAACTAGGAAGCAATCTTGACACTTGGTGAGAAGTAGGGTAAGGGCAATTTGGAGAGCCAGGCAGTCGTGTTCATGGACTGAGGGTGGAAGCTGCAGTACCCAGCGAGAACCTACTCATACACAGGGAGAATGACTGCATGCAGAGAGACAGGCCAGGGTTTGAGCCCAGATCAAGGCAACAGTGTTCCAACGGCTCCTAGACTGATCTGATGAGACAAAAATCCACCTGTTTGGATAAAGGGTTCTCTTAAGCCTTATATGATTTTTGCAAAAATTCATAACACACCATTCCTGGGCTGCCTTCAGTCGTAGGTCCAGGGGACAATGTTACAGTCTGTTTAGGGTGGAGCTACTGACCGCTCTGACCCCTTATCAAGTCACATCAACCTGTACTTGAACTGCATTCCCCCTTACCAAACCGCACTGGTCTGTGCCATACCGCTCAGTGTAGACAAGGAATTAAACATTACAATCCTGATTCCGTTTCATTCTACACATTTTACTCCATTCACAGAATAAAGCCTGCCTGGTTCTGACCCTTTAAGGAAGAAGACTGTAATGTTCTGCAGATGCCTGCCTGCAGCTTCATTCTCACCCTCATCAGTCCAACACACTGTTATCTTCAGGTTCAATCTGATTTCTAATCTCCTCTGGAAGACCCCACTCATGGCAAGAGCTACATTTTTACATGTTTCCACCGTTCCATTAATAAATTATCAAACTTTAGCTTTGCTCACATGTTGCTGAGAATGTATTGCTCACAGATAAAAATAAGAGCAGGAAATAATGTAACAGTTCTATTACTTCCTGGAGGTCATGTGACTAATTAAAGAACTGCTATTGGTGAGCATCATTTAATGAGGTCCGGTCAGCATGGGGCAGCTCTGTGGTTGTGACCTCATTGATGCTTTCTGGTTCCTGACGTGTAGGGAACCTCAGGTCAACAGTCTAAATTACAGATGGCTCACCTGAGCAGCAGTTCTTCTCCCTGCTGGACCTGCTCTAACTGTGGTTGTTTCACAGGGAGTCTCGTCACACCCTTGATGTCGACATCACCAGCCGGATGTTCACAGACTTAAGTGTCCGTTGTGCCTCCCGTAAGGACAGCATCACAGCGTCCGTGTGGTCTCCGTCTGCCGGCTTCCTGGGTATTCACCTTCAGCGAAGATCTCCATCACAACTGCAGGGAAAAGTGTTCAGCAGATATCTGGTAAGCCTCTCTGATGCTCACACTTCCTTCCTAATCACACTTTGTCTTCGCTGAGGCTGTTTCTCCTCTCCTCTTCAGTCCACTCCTGGGCAGGACACCAACATTTTCACTGCCAAAGCATTGCTGAGGAACTCAGACAAGCTGGTCCTGCAGACGTCGTGGAGTTGGGACTCTGTCAACAATCTGATCACGGGTTTTAAGGACCGGATCCCTCTAATGACCAATGCCCTGATCAAGTTCCTCAACAAGTACCACACCTCACACTTTGGCTTCGACCTGAACCGAGGTTCTGTGAAGCTGAGAAACGCTGTGCTGAATCTGTTAGACAAGATTCACCAGGAGGTTCGGGCTTTCGTCAGCATGATGCAGGATTCAGTCCAAACCGCAGCTGATCGAGGAAAGAACGCCTATATGGAAGCTTCTGACATCCTAAGGTTCACCAATATGGTGAATCTTACAGACATCCTGATGGATGAGCTCAGAAGTGGCCTAAAGCACACCTGGCACAGCACAGAAGTTCTGCTGTGTCCGGTCAGAGACTTCCTCGACAATAAAAACTTCTCTGTTCCTGGATCAGGGGAGAAGATGTCCATCATGGAGATGTTTTCCAGCGTCATGAAGGGGATTTATGAGCAGATCAGGTGGACGGCATTCACCATTCCCGGGACTGACGTTCTTCTTGATGGAAACAAGATCATGGAGACTGTGAAGAGAGACTTAGCAGCTATGACCTATCATGTCATGGAGTTTCTTCAGAGGACCCTGAAAGATGTGTTCCAGCTCCTTGCTGAAAAAGCAGAGCATCTCCGTGTTTACGTAGAAGATCAGAACCTGAAGGTTTCCCCACTGGTCCAATTAGTTCACAGGAACATCAGAACCTTCTTTAGACAGCACACAGACCAAGCACAGACATTTGTCTCTGCATACAAAGACCTTGTCCAAGTCAAGGTCCATGAGGCTTACGATGCCTTCAGCATGGAGAGAGTGAACAGCGCCACCAAAGGTTTCATCAGCACATTACAGTCTAATCTCTCTCAGACAGTTAGTGAGAGGCTGAACGTGATGAAGACGGCGTCTCAGAGTGCTGCACCGTACATCCGGATGGGGAAGGAGAAGCTGGATGTAGAAGTTCCTCTTCCTTTCCTCTGGAAGTCCTTTAGCGAATGGCCGACTCTGCTCAGACCCTGAACGCCCAACCAATCATCATCTAACCTTAAACCTCACATCCAAGTTCCTCCAGGTCCCTGTTGGATAGTGTTGGATCCACCTGGTTCCTCCAGGATCCTGCTGGTACATTATCAATGTTTTTATCTTTGGCGGAATAAATAAATAGAATGATGAGAACATGTGTTCTAGTTTTGTCTCATACTTCTAACACTGTACAGTCCAGTAATCTTCAGGATGAGTTTCTGTATGAATAGTTTTAATTTTGTAATTTATGCATTTTAGGGTCTTTTTGGTAGTTTTAATGGACCTTTAATAAAGAATGAGTAGCTCCTTACAAAAGTATTCACAACTCTACATTTTTCCACAAGTTTTTCCCCCCAAATTTTTCCAATCCCACACTTCACTGTCAGATAAAGATAAGTGTATGTATAGCGCCCCCAACTGGGTGGAGGGTGCTGCATATGAATTGCTTCACCTCAGGCTCCGGAAAAGATGGCGGACAGCGAAAGTCATGTATCTCTGAGCTCCCTAAGAGGTCCCGATTCTAAGCTATTGTATGAAGTAAACTCCTAATAATTATCAGATAAATCAGCTCTCAGATTGAAGTATGAAGAAAAGCAGCAGGTTTATGCCACCTGCAGTCTAAGAGCTCCGAAAGGGATCAGACTATTCAGTGCTAATGGAGTTAGCTGCAGCTAGCAAAGAGAAAGCGAAGCCAGGACCCCGAACAGCACTCCGGAAAAAAAACACACATGGGTAAAAGAACCAAAGGTACGTCCCAAGAAGAAATTAACTCTGTGGCCATTCTGGGCGTTTTAAATTCCTTAGGACAGAAAGTAGATGACCGCTTGGAAGAAGTTGGCATGCTAATGCAGCAGCACAGTGCTATGCTAGCGGCTATTGCTTAACCGGTTCAGCTAAACTCAGAGGAACTAAACGACTGTAAAAAGAAAATAACATGATTGGAGAAACAAGTGGATTCACTCTCCAAAGAGAACACACAGTTGAGAGAAGGAGTCCGGATCAGTGAAAGATAGAAAACCTCCGAATAAAAGGAAAAAAGGGAAAGTAGTGAGAACATCCGAGACGAAGTGGCGATTCTGTGCAAAATTGCACCTGATTTGGCTTCAAAGATGAATGAAGAGCTGATGTTGTCCAGAGTGGGTCAAAAGGTGCATAACAGAGACAGACAGATCATCATCTGGAGGAGAACTAAAACTTCTCCCATGTGCAAAGAGAAGAAGGAGTTCTAATCTCTGAAGATTTGACTGACACCAGAAGGTTGGAAAGGGAGACCAGCACTTTGGACAAAACTTGAAAAAGCAAGAAAAGGCAAAGCTGCGGCTTCAGGGGTCGTTTGGGTTCATAAACGCATCATGGATATTTATTCAGCTGAGAACTGAGATGCAGCAGAATTGAATATGGAAAGGTAGTGGACTATTCTGCTAAATGGACTCTCACTTAAGGTTTTTTTTCCTCTTCTACACCGTTTGTATGTGTGTTCATGTGTTCTACTTTTCAGATAAAAACGATTGTTCTTTTGTTTCTTTTAACACGAAGGGACTAATTAACCCTAACCATTTCTTAAACGGAAAGCAGTTTTTTGTTTTGTAAAGAACAACAAGCACATTGCACCTTTTTACAGGAATCTCATCCTGATGCATCTGCCATGTCGTTCTGGTCGCAGCAATAGGAAATAAAATCCTCTTCGGTCGTGGGACAAATCGATTGGCTGAAGTCGCCATCTGCTTTTCCAGATGTCTGGGTAAGATTTTGAGTGAAAAAGCAGATAAAGATGGACATTGGGTAGAAGTTGATAATGTCCCAATAATTTTGTTAAACATTTATGGATATAGTAATGATTAATACAACAGGAATCTGTTGCATCATATAACATTGGTTATTGAGGAGTTCACTGAGACAGCACTGGTTCGCGTTATGAATGACCTTCTCATGCCTGCGGACCAGGGCTCACCATCTCTCCTCCTCCTCCTTGACTTGTCGGCTGCTTTCGACACAGTGAACCACACCATCCTTCTCAACAGGCCACAGTCAGAAATTGGACTTTCAGGTACAACACTTAAATGGTTTCATTCATATCTTACCAATAGAACTGAATTTGTTTCCTTGGGTCAGTGTAAATCTTCAACTCATACTGTGACTTGTGGAGTTCCACAAGGATCAGTCCTCGGGCCTACCCTCTTTATGCTCCCCCTTGGTCATATAATCAATAAACATAAGGTCTCCTTTCACTGCTATGCTGATGATACACAACTGTACATGAAAATGGACTCCACTTCTCCTACTGTTCTCCCGTCTTCACTTCAGCTTTGCTTGGAAGAGATAAAAGCTTGGATGTCTGCCAACTCTCTTCAACTTAACAGAAATAAAACGGATGTAATCCTTTTTGGCACCCCTCATCAAACTCAGTCCTCAAATCTCAGCAGTATCTCAATATTTGGCCTTAGCATCCCCTTTTCTACCACCGTCACAAACCTTGGAGTTAGGCTTGACTCTAACCTCACTTTCAACAACCACACCCGTCACCTCTCCAAAGTCTCCTTCCTCCATCTCAAAAACATCGCCAGACTCCGCCCCTCCCTTTCCCAACCGGATGCTGAGAGGTTGATCCATGCCTTTATCTCCTCACGGTTGGACTACTGTAATGCCCTCCTCGTTGGGACCTCTGGTAAAAACCTGCAAAAGCTCCAGCACATTCAGAACTGTGCTGGCCGGGTCCTGATGAGGAGGCGCAAATATGACCGTATCACTTCTGTTCTCAACTCACTTCATTGGCTACCGATCAAATATAGAATACATTACAAACTCTGTCTGCTCACCTATCAATGCATCCATGGAACTGCCCTGCTTATCTCAGTGAACTCCTCTCATTCAAACATTCTTACAAACTCAGATTTTTGGCAATTTATTAGGAAACGTATTTTAAATATATCAAATGACAAAACTTAATTTTACTTTCCAGAAAATTAAGTTGGAGTGACAAAGATAAAGAAACAATAAATAAATTGCAATCTAAATTAGATGATATACATAAATAGGGCAAAAGGTGCTTATGTAAGGTCCAGAGCCAGGTGGATCGAAGAAGGAGAAAAGAATAGTGCTTTCTTTTGTAACTTGGAAAACCGTAGACAGGAATATAATGCTATTAATAGTCTTATAATCGATGGAGTGGAACGTTCTGAGACTAACAAAATGAAGTTCTATAGTAATCTTTATAAACCTTCACATACAGAACAATTTACTTCATCTCTTTTTGATAAAATAAGTAATCTAGTTCCTGTTATTGATGAAAACTTTAAGGAAATATGTGATGAAGAGCTAAGAATCTCTGAATTTGACTGCTACAAGAAATATGGCGTCTGACGGCGCCCTGGCCCAGACGGACTTACAGCTAACCTTTATAAACGTTTCTGGGACGAATTAAAACTTTTGCTGTTTCAGGCTGTAGAAGAATGTGTTGGAAGAAACTGGAAACTCATGGAAAGTGAAACAAACTAATCCCAAAACCTGGTAAAGATAAGAAAAATGTAAATAATTTAAGGCGCATCACGCTGTTGAATACAGACTACAAGATCCTAACGAAAGTTTCGGCAACGAGGTTAAAAACTGGCTTGCCTAAGATAATTAGTCAAACACAATCCTGCTTTCTAAAAGGCAGATCCATCCAGAACATCCGCCTGGTTCTGGACCTCATTCATTATAGTCACTTAATAAGAGATGATGGCTTATGTTGTTTTTACATTTCCATAAAGCATTTGATTCGGTGGAACATCAATTTATTCTTAATGTGTTGAGATATTTTAATTAGGAAATAATTTTCTTAATATGATTACCATGTTAAACGCCAATATTAACAGCAGGGTGTCCCTGTCACAGGGCACATGGCCCAGATTCAATGTAGGAAGAGGAATCAGACAAGGTTGCTGTATCTCACCTCTTATTTATTTTAGTCACAGAACTACTTGCAATAGCAATTAAAAACTCTAATATTGATGGTTTGGAAATAAATAACCAGAAAATAATCATTGACCAATTTGCAGATGATACAACCTCTTCCTAAAAAACAACAAATCCCTCCAGCTCTAAAGGAAATAGATTTGTTCTCTCAAGCCTCAGGGCTGCAGATAAATATTAATAAATGAGGTTCTGATTCTTAAATTTCCAATATTCCAGTTAAAAATGAAATTAAGTACTTAGGAATGTGGATCACTTAATGTAAAGATACCAGCATAAGAAAATATTTACAAGACAACATTGATAAGATAAATGTGGCAAAACCTGAAATAATTGGCTTCAAGGAGACTTGATGTTATTGGTAGAACATTATTAACAAGAACTGGATCCTTATCCAGGCTGATGTTTCCTGCATATTCCTTAGCCGTCCGTCCAAATAGCATAAAACAGATTAACAGAATAAATTTGAACTTTATTTGGAAAATAAACACCATTACATCAGAAGAAGTGATTTGCTAAAACATTGTGAGGACAGTGGTATCAAGGCATCGATTTTGAAATTATGAATGATGAAATGGCTTCAGGCCGTTTTAAGAAGTGGTGATCTTATTTGGTTTGTTATAGCGGCGTTTGTATTTCAAAACGTTGGAGGTATTGAGTTGTTATTGAAATGTGATTTTGAATGATCTAAACTCTCCTAAACTCTCATTTCCATCAACAGGTTTAGTTACAGTGGAAGTTGATCTTTAAGCACAACTTTAGCCCTCATAAGGTCCCACTGTGGAACAACAAGGTCATATTAAGTGGTAGAAAATTATTTTTCTGGAAGATTGGTGGAATAAACAAATTTGGTCAGTTCCTCATTTACTGGATGGAAATGGGCATATTCTCAGTTTGGAGGAATTTAATAGGAAGTATGGAACTGATTGTTCACTAGCAAGTTATAAGAAGGTTTTGCATAGTATCCCTCATGTCCTCAGTTAAAAACAATTTACCTCATTTCTTTATTCCAAGACTCCATAAGATTCAAATTGAGCAGGTGGACATTAGAGATAATAAATGCAGCAACAGGTTTTTGAATCAATATTCTATAAATAATAATCCAGGAGGAACGAAAAGCACATTTCTCTTACAAAATTTTGAGAAATCTATTATAGTCAAAATTAGGACAAATTACTTGAAATGTCCAATTCCTCCAAAGTATAAAGAATTACATTTTAAAATAACACACCCTTCAAACAAGTTTTTAAGAAAGAGATTTAATTTTAATGTTGAGAACTGTGGTTTTTGTACAACTCAATTGGAAATAACCAAACATTTATTTAATGAATGTAATGAGGTATTAAAGTTATGGGATCAACTTTGGAACCTTCTGTCTTCTAAAACTATAAATGTAGATTTTATTTCTTTACAAAATGTTCAGTTTGGTGTGTTTATCAAAGAAAAAAACTTGGAATATTTAGTTAATGTTCTAATGATTGTAACAAAATATATCCATAAATATCGCTATGCAAAATGCTCCCTCTCATTCTCTGCTCTTAAAAATTAGCTCTCCTTTTTGAAAAGATGTCTGAAAAAGATGCAGAATTTAAACACAGTGAAATTGTTTGTGTTAATGGAAGATTTTCAGTCAGTAGGCCCCTCTGATTAATAATTTTTTTAAAATTATCATTTATTTAATTCTATTCTTTGTATCCTATTGGATTTGCTAACAGTAGGAGTTGTGATATTAGTGTTTTTTTTCTTGTAATGTTTGTTATTGACGTGTTGTTTGAATTTGTCGTTGTTGTATACGCAATTAAAAAAAAGTTTTCAACTCCACCTGGCTGCAGCAACAGGAAGGGGCGGGACGGACCGCTGGCAGTCTCTTACCTTATATGGAAATGGACCGTTGCACTCCGGAAGTGAAGGGGGCCCTATTTCCTATATTATCCATGTCTCCCGTTTTTATTTTCCTTTGAAATCTGTGCTACATTTTCACCTTTAGGAAGGATTTTCACTCTCAGCATGAATTTGATCTTCTCTCTATTATTTACTTAGTGCAGCTCACAGTTTAAACAGATTCTGTAGTTTCCTGTGTTCTTCTAAATCTGCTCCTTCGTCGCATCTTTTGGGGCTTGATACTGCCTCTAGTGGCGTGGGGTGGTAGCACAACTAATATCATTACATTATTAAATCAGAATAGCACAAAGTCTTTATTGACGATTAATTCTGGTATTACTGGAACTATGAAATATAAATTATCTAATAACACACCATATTTTACATGTACTTAAGGAGGTAGAGCTAATTCAATGACAAACAATACTTTTATACCTTATAAATATCTTTATAGCTATCAATTTTTAGCTCTTTACCAGCAGGGGGCGCATCTGATTTCCAGCTCTTCTTTCAGAAACCTTCGCGCGCCTTTCAGTGCTCCATGGAAACGTCAGTCTTGTGGGAAACACGTGACCATCAGCGTGATTCTTGCTAGTTTAGCATCAATTTCATGATCAAATCCAGAATCTTCTGATTTCGGCACTTTTTGTTCTGGCGGCAGAAATTCCGAGTCTCTGCTGCACCTCAAACGCAACAACTCGACATCTTAGCTAACCAATCAGAGAGCAGTAGCATGACCAGACCGGAAGAAGAGTTCTGATCGGTCATGATCGATGACCAGATCGTTTGACCGTGTTTACTAGGTAAGCTCTGCAAGATTGGCTGAGCAGATTCTGGGTAGACCGGTCCAAATGCCGGGTTTCCACCAGAACCGTGAGAACTTCTGGGTTGGTGCTGTTAGACATTGTGGTGCGTTCAGGGACGGTTTCGCTTCTTTAATTTCTTCTTTATTATTTGTTTAGGAAATATTGTTCTGTAGTAAAACCAGAACCGTAACTGACGGCCGGGGAGAACATATTGGATCAGCTCCAGGAAAAGATCCGGTTCTTGTGCAGGAATCAGTTCAGAGTTCACAGATAAATAAAAGCTGATAACATCAGAGCAAAGGTTCATTCAACAATCTGCTGGAATAACGAACCTTTAACTGCATCATTTCTCTCTGGTCCAAAGTCGCCTGTTGGACCCGGGAGTCCGAATCCGTCCAGAACCTCCCGCAGAGCCTAACCTGTCTGGACTCAAAAAATGAATCAAAACATGATCAGGTTCTGCAGAGGATCCGGTCCAAAGACGACAACATCTGTTTGAAAGCGGAAACTTTAAGAGTGCCGACCGATCAGAACACTGGACTAACGGGAAGTGCAGGTTCCGGCAGACCCAGGATGGAGACCCAGTCAGAGTTCTTCTTCTGCAGCGGAGCAGCGACCGAGGTTCTGAAAGTCGGTTCCTCTCAGCTGGCAGGAGAAGAAGAAGTGCTGGTGCTCCTCATCCCAGGTGGGTCAGAACTTCCTGCTGAGGGTCCAAATCACTTCCTGTCCCTGTGAACTTGTACTTCCTGTCCCCCTGATCCTGTACTTCCTGTCCCCCTGACTGTACTTCCTGTCCCCATGATCTGGTACTTCCTGTCCCCATGACCCTGTACTTCCTGTCCCCCTGATTCTGTACTTCCTGTCCCCCTGACTGTACTTCCTGTCCCCATGATCCTGTACTTCCTGTCCCCATGACCCTGTACTTCCTGTCCCCCTGACTGTACTTCCTGTCCCCATGATCCTGTACTTCCTGTCCCCATGACCCTGTACTTCCTGTCCCCATGATCTGGTACTTCCTGTCCCCATGACCCTGTACTTCCTGTCCCCATGACCCTGTACTTCCTGTCCCCATGATCCTGTACTTCCTGTCCCCATGATCTGGTACTTCCTGTCCCCATGACCCTGTACTTCCCTGTCCCCATGACCCTGTACTTCCTGTCCCCTGATTCTGTACTTCCTGTCCCATGACCCTGTACTTCCTGTCCCCATGACCCTGTACTTCCTGTCCCCCTGATTCTGTACTTCCTGTCCCCATGACCCTGTACTTCCTGTCCCCATGATCCTGTACTTCCTGTCCCCCTGATCTTGTACTTCCTGTCCCCCTGACTGTACTTCCTGTCCCACTGATCCTGTACTTCCTGTCCCCCTGACTGTACTTCCTGTCCCACTGATCCTGTACTTCCTGTCCCCCTGACTGTACTTCCTGTCCCCACAGGAAACCCGGGGGTTGTGGGCTTCTATGAGAGCTTCATGCGTACGCTGCACTGCATGCTGGGAAGGCCCGTCTGGGCGGTAAGCCACGCCGGCCACTGCGCTCCTCCAGACTCCATGGACCTCGTAGAAGGTAGGCCCGGTACTGGCAGCAAAACAACTGGACGTTTCTGACAGTTGGTCCGGCCTGGTTGTAGCAGCAGAAGCGTGTCGGACCCGGTTCTGACGGTGGTGTCTTCTTGTGGTCCAGATGGTGTGGCGGCGGCGCGACGGGACGTGTTTGGACTGGACGGTCAGATCCAACACAAGTTGGATTTTATCCAGGACCGGGTCCCCAGAGGAACCCGGTTGGTCCTGGTGGGCCACTCCATCGGCTGCTACATGATACTGGAGATGATGAGGAGGAGTCCCGAGCTGGAGGTCCGGAACCAGAACCAGAACCGGGACCGGTCCGGGTGGCGCTGACCCGTCTCGTCTTCCTGCAGGTCCTGAAGGCCGTGCTGCTGTTCCCCACCATCGAGCGGATGGCCCAGAGCCCGCAGGGAAAGGTCATGACCCCGATGCTGTGCCAGCTGCGCTACCTGGCCTACCTGCCGCTCTTCCTGCTGTCGCTGCTGCCGCAGCGCGTCGCCGCCCTGCTGGTCCGCCTGCTGCTGCGCGGCGTGCCGGCGCTGGACCCCTGCGTGCTGCGGCCGGCGCTGCAGATGTTCTCCGGTGACTGTGCAGGTGGGTTCTGCTGGGTTCTACCTGGTCTCTGAGCAGCCTCCTAAATCTAGTGGCTGGCTTTTCCCATCATATTTTTACTCCAAAAACACAAAACCTCAGTAAATGTCTAGTTTTTAATATGTCAAAACACTTGAATAAAGAGAAAACTAACTTAAAACTAAGCTGTCAGCAAATAAAGAAGCTTTTCCTGATTCATTATTTTAAAACTGCAGCAGGAGATTTTGTCACAAAGTTACTTGCTGTCAGAAAAGTCCCAGTTTTTTATCGATACACAGGAACAGTGACTGTTTCTGTTACGGGTAACCATAGACACGGATACGTCGCCGCCATTTTGTGTGTGGCAGTAGAGCGTTCAGAGCTCCCTCAGTCCTGTGCTGTGTGGTCTTGTTTCAACCGTTTTACAAAACACTGACATTAACTTTCACAGCTAAGGATGGAAAAAATGGAACGTAACTTTTCCGAGCAGAATTACTTGACTTTGCAGCCAGAAACTTCCTTCTAAACAACAGAGGAATATTTCCTCCGCAGTCAAACTGGGCTGAAGTAACCAGTGATTGTTCGTTTAGCTCACGTTTCCACACTGTTCTCATGTAAGCTGATGAGAAACCGCTGCTGCAGGGACATTGATGAAAAACCAGGCCATTCTAGAGGAAAGTCAGTCTAGATGAGAGCTGAGCTGCTGTTCTTCTGCTTCACAGCTTCACCATGTCGGTGTTCAGCTGCAGAGATGCTGCAGTCGGAGCCCAACATGACGACAATATGATTCATCTCAATGGGAAGGAAAAATATATGGATTTTCTATTAGACTTTTGGATCATTTCTGTCATTCCTGGCTTTAGCCTGAGGACCAGGACGACTCACTGGACTTCTCCCAGTTTGACGAATTGCAGCAACGGCCGGCACGCGCGAAGGCGTCCCCGTATGTCTATGTGGGCATCTACCCAGGGTGGCATTTTGTGAGGGGTAGCAGGTAGAGGTGGGCCAGATTTGCCCTGTGTATTGTCTTGAAGGCAGGCTGTCTTGTTAATCTGTTCCATATTGCAAAAGTTTGTGAAGTTATGTGGTTCATTCAGTGTGATAACTAATTGCAAGAAAATAAATGCTAAGAAGTATTTTGTAAAGCATGTTCATATGTTTAAGGTTAATTACCAAAGGTCTACAAATTATTTTATTTATGCCCAGAGAGAAAGAGGAAAACAAAGACTGAAATCCTGAAGTCTCCAAACATTATAGTTTAGTAAGTTGTTGATATTGAGTACAGTCTGAGTCTACTGTAATTTACAGTAGCTTTATTTCTACATATTCAATGTTTGATATTAAAACTCTATTGGAGACAATGTGGTACAAGATACTACAGATTTGGATGTTATCAATTTATTTGAAGACATTGGAATGTCTGCACATTTTAAAGCCCTCATGTTTCATTTATTAGAGCTCAGAGAAAGGTTTGTATGAAATAAGATGTTGTAAAGTTGAAAGACAAACTGGTCGCCCTGGGGGAGGCGGGTCGCCCTGGGCACCAAACAGGCTAGGACCGCCTCTACTCAGGAGTTACTGAGCTAAGCTCCAGTTTTTCCTGCAGCGACCAGACTGAAGTGTTTTGAGGTTCAGTGATTTTGCTGAAGGTGTGATGCTCTGAAACTCCACTGCACGGCTTTCGCCTTCATGGTTCTGGTTCTGGTTGCAGTGAACTCCATGTACCTGGGTGGCCAGGAAATGAGGATGGTTCAGGAAAGGGACAACGTTACCATCCAGAAGAACCTGGACAGAGTAAGAACCCGTCCGTATAGGTCAGAACCGCCTCACTGCTTCCATCTGGACCTCCAAGTTCTGCCTGGTTCTGTTGCAGCTCATTTTCTATTATGGAGCCACGGACCACTGGTGTCCGGTCAGCTACTTCCAGGACATGAGGAGGGACTTCCCACACGGAGACATCCGGCTGTGTGAGCGAGGCGTTCGCCATGCCTTCGTCCTGGATGCGGGGCAGGAAGTGGCTCAGATGGTGGCCGTGTGGATCTGCGCCTCTCTGACGCCTGAGAACCCAAAACCTGCCGGGCGAAACGGGCCGGGCGAAACGGGCCGGGCGAAACGGGCCGTCTGAATGTTGATCCCTGACTTCCTCCCACACAGATCGTCACTAAATCCTTCAGCGCCTGAAGCTTCATCATCATGTGGGAATCAGAATTCATATTGTTCTTTGGCTCATGCAATTATTAATAGATTGACCAATCTATTAATTGGTTAATCATTTGATCAATAACTCAGTTATTGATCAAATGAATTCTGTGGTTTTGGCAGCACCTCAAACGGTGGCACTAGAACTGTAGAGAATCTGAATTCTGCAGGACAAAATGTTGGACTTCAGCAGGTTCAGCTGTGAAATGAAATGCAATTATTAGTAACACTAGTTTAGTTTTAGGGTAGGGTTAGGGGTCAGGGGTTAGGGGTTAGAGGTTAGAGGTCAGGGGTCAGTTTAGTTTTTCATCAAACTACAGCAGTAGTTAGCAGGTGAGGCTGCTCCATAGCTGAGCTGCCAGCACTTTAATGAGTCACATTTAACGAGCCATTAACCAATAAAATAAATGCTTTTGAAATTTATTATAATTATTTTATCACTTAATGAATTTAACTGTTAATTTGTGGTTTTATTTTTCCAATGAATTGTGTTTTAATAAATTTATTTTCAAATGAACATTTCTACTGCTGCCAAGACCCGCCTCCTTCAGGATTTGGACCAATGGCGGTGATGGACACTTTAAACTGGTTGTTATGGTGATCTCTGGTGGCATCTTCAACTGAGGATCAGAACATTCTGGTTCCTGTTGGAGATACGAACAGAACCAGCAGCTTCAGTTGGAACCATTCAGAACTGAAGTGGGTCTAGCCGGTCCTTCAGAACCGGCTGAAGGACAAACAAACCCCAAAGAAAAGTAACGGGTTGAAGCGTTAGCATGCCTCTACTGAAGCGCCCTCTACTGGAAGGCAATGACTGCTGGTTCCACAACCACATCACTGTTGCTCAACGGCTCTGTGCAGCCACAGAGCATAGAGAGCTGCAGCAGCTGCTGCTGATGATAATAATGACAATAATGATAATAATAATGATGATGTAAGCAGTAACCCTCTCAGCCTGCTGGTCGGGCGCTGAGGTTCTGATACAGTTTGAGTGAATCATGATCTGTGCTGAGGGTAACTGAAGGCGTCCGGCTGCTGCTGCGGCGCTGCTGCTGCGGCTGCTGCTGCGATTGTTCCGGCTTTGAATGCATAAACTATAATCTTATCTTCTATAAACATGTATTTCAGGAATAATTCTGCTCCACCAATGAAACGCTCAGAGCAAGAGAAAAGGTTCCAATCCAGCTTTTATAAAAAGCTATTTATTGATATATTTTGTAATTTTCGTAAAAACATAAAAAAGAAAAGCTTATAAAGAATAGCGGGTCACCAGGCCAATAATATGCTGGGGAAACCCTGCATGATGATGATGATGATGATGATGATGATGAAGAAGGTGATCACTATCAACGTCATCATCATCAGTTCTGACCCGTCTGGTCCAGATTCGGTTCTGCAGGGTCTCCTCAGATCGAAGGTGAAAATACATTCCTGCTCTGTCATGCAGTTACCATGGCAACGCACTGCCTCGGATGCCTCAGGGGTCAAAGGTCAATCAGGGCTTCCTCTTCCGGTTTTCCAGGACTGACGATTTGGAGGTCCTCACCAGGCGGAGGAGGAGGCGGGGCAGAGGGACATGTCCTGACCCGGGAGGGTTCGGGTCTTTCCGGGGGGGGTCGGGTCGGACCGGGGGGTCGGGTCGGACCGGGGGGGGGTCGGGTCGGACCCGGGGAGGGTCGGTTCGGTCGGGTCGGACCTGGAGGGCGGTGGGTTGGTCGGGGGGTGGTAGAGGAAGCAGTAGGCTCCGGGCTGGCAGCGGTTCTTGACGTTCAGGGCCTGGTCTGTAGGAGCGACGGGCTGCAGGACTCCATCCACAAAGACACTCAGCGTGAAGCCGTCTGGGGGACAGAGGGGACAGAGGGGACAGGTCAGAACCTCCAGACTCTGATGGTCTATTTCATTTGATAAGGTTTCCACTTTCGATGCTGATGGGAAACAGGAAATGATGTCACGTGTGGGAGCTCGAAGCAGACCTTGCTCAAAGCGTGCGGCGCATTGCTCGGTCAGCTCCTGGATGCTCGTCGTGGGGAGGACGCCCAGAGTTTTCGGGTTGACGCCCATCTCAGGACAAAACACAGTCAGGAAGTCCTGCAGAGGAACAACCACAGCGTTTCAACGTCAGGCAGCTCACCTGGGTCCCCTTCAATCCCCAAGAAAGACTTTGTACCCGAACAGAGTTGTGGCCGCCTCGCTCCTGGTTGAGGGTCCGCCGTCTCTCCCAGCGGTGGATGGAGTCCTGGACCTCTCTGCTCAACTGCCGCGTTGCTGACCTCTGCTGGTCAAACGTCTTGATGTGCTCCAGTGCGCCGTAGGTGGTGGTCAGGTAGTAGGAACCTCAGGGACACAAGGACAGGAAGTGATGTCACTGAGGACCAAGACCTCAACCAAACCAGAGTTCAGTTGGGAAGATCTGGACCTAGAGTTGCCTCACCACCAACTTCAGGTTCAAAGATCACCACCAGCTGATGATGAATTGATTCAAAAGCTGGAGTTTCCAAACGGAGCATTCATGTTTCAGAATCACTGCTCCATGTAGTCAGGAGGAAAGACAGACTTCAGGGTGCCCTAACTTTCCCCTGCCCTACCTTCGCCCTGGGTGAGCGCCGGGTCCATCAGCTCCATCATGTATTCCACGTCCAGCTGCAGGGTGGCCATGTTGGACCGGGCCAGGACGTACATCATCACAGGCAGGAAGTCGTCGGCACCGTGGGCCCGCCCTGGACACATGGGACGTTAGAGGACAGTCTGGTCCAAACGGATTTAGATGCTCCCTGATTCAAGGTTCTGGTTCTGAACCACGGAAAGCTAGAATTGCATGGAACCGGTTTGGACCCAACACTGCTAATCTGCTTTTGGGGTGATCTAAACACTGAGCCGAGGTTCTGAGCCGAGGTTCTGAGCCGAGGTTCTGACCTGGGCAGCTGACGGACATGGAGTGGTAGATGAGCCTGCAGGCCTTCAGCAGCAGCTGGATCTTCCTCTGGGGGGAATACTCCTGGTGCAGCTTGCTCAACTTCAGGCTGATCCGCTCCATTGCTGCCGCCTCGGGGATGGAGGTGCAGATCCCCAACGCCGTGGTGGTGCTGGCCAGGACCACGGCCTGGGGTCAGGGGGACAGGAGGCAGGTGACTTGTGCGTATCAAGACTTTGTGCAGGCTCAGTGGGGGCGTGAATACTTTGTCCCACCTGGTTCTGCTCCAGCTGCCGCCGGCTCTCGGTGTGCAGCCTCTCCAGGCTCCGGTAGATCGGCTCCTTCAGCGGCTTCAGGACGCTCTTACACAGAGCCGCTTCCACCAGGCTCTCTGCACAGGACAGGAAGTATTCACTCCCTAGATAGACCACACTCTACTCGCTGCTGCAGACGACACCAATCATTTCCACTTTGCCTGAAGCTCATGCCTCTCGTGCTACACTTTTTTAAATGACACGCGTATAACAAACTGCAATAATTTAACGGGACGTTTCCACCAAGCAACAGTGTTTAAAAAAACTGGCTTCTTCTATAGAAATGAAACTAAACACTAAAGCCTGTGATCTGGTTAGTAACAGGAAGTATATTTTAGTATCATGATACTCCAGGAAATGACAGAGAGGCTGCAGTCGCTGGTTCTGATAGCTGCCAGAGGTCAAAGTTACCCAGCTTGTCTTGCGTGTACTGATGCTGAGGCTCCAGCAGAGCCTGCAGCTCTGTGCTCTGCAGGAGGTAACTCTTCAGCTGGGTCATCATCTGTCTGATTTCCTGCAGTAGCTCTGTTGATGTCGTATGCTTGGACATTGTCTCCAGGGTGAAAGCTCTGTGGTCCTTGACCTGAACACGGAGCGAAGGACATTCAGCTGGTGAATGGGCCGATGAAGGTTACAGACCCTTCATCACACTCACCAGGCTACCAAAGTAGCTAACAGGGTCTCTGGCCAACTCAATGATGCGCTTGGTGAGGCGGCCGTCGTGGTAGATGAGTCCAGTGAGGACGGTGGAGAGACGGAGACGGGCTCGGTCCAACATGACGGTCGGAGTTCTCCTGACGGACGCTTTGGTGCAGCTTCTGTCTGCGGGAACCCTGGAGGGAAGACACAGCAGACCTTCACTTGCCCAAGTCTGCCTGGTGATGGGAACACATCCAGGCGTCACAACCACGGCGATCAGCTAGCGGCGACAAAACACCTGGAACCCAACTCTACCGCCACCACCATGACTGAACCTGCCCTGTGCTGGAGCTGTTCCTCACCAGGCATGAAAGGTCACACACGGGTCACACTCAGGTCACACTCAGGTCACACTCGGGTCAAACTCGGGTCACACTCAAGTCACACTCAGGTCAAACTCGGGTCACACTCGGGTCACACTCAGGTCACACTCAAGTCACACTCGGGTCAAACTCGGGTCACACTCAAGTCACACTCGGGTCACACTCGGGTCACACTCAGGTCACACTCAGGTCACACTCGGGTCACACTCGGGTCACACTCGGGTCACACACGGGTCACTCGGGTCAAACTCGGGTCACACTCAAGTCACACTCAGGTCAAACTCGGGTCACACTCGGGTCACACTCAAGTCACACTCGGGTCAAACTCGGGTCACACTCAGGTCACACTCAGGTCACACTCAGGTCACACTCAAGTCACACTCGGGTCAAACTCGGGTCACACTCAGGTCACACTCGGGTCACACTCAGGTCACACTCAAGTCACACTCGGGTCAAACTCGGGTCACACTCAGGTCACACTCAAGTCACACTCGGGTCAAACTCGGGTCACACTCAGGTCACACTCAGGTCACACTCAGGTCACACTCAAGTCACACTCGGGTCACACTCGGGTCAAACTCGGGTCACACACGGGTCACACTCGGGTCACACTCAGGTCACACTCAGGTCACACTCGGGTCACACTCGGGTCACACTCGGGTCAAACTCGGGTCACACTCAGGTCACACTCAAGTCACACTCGGGTCAAACTCGGGTCACACTCAGGTCACACTCAGGTCACACTCAGGTCACACTCAGGTCACACTCGGGTCACACTCAGGTCACACTCAAGTCACACTCGGGTCACACTCGGGTCACACTCGGGTCACACTCGGGTCACACTCGGGTCACACTCAGGTCACACTCGGGTCACACTCGGGTCACACTCAGGTCACACTCGGGTCACACTCGGGTCACACTCGGGTCACACTCAGGTCACACTCGGGTCACACTCAAGTCACACTCGGGTCACACTCAGGTCAAACTCGGGTCACACTCAGGTCACACTCAAGTCACACTCGGGTCAAACTCGGGTCACACTCGGGTCACACTCAGGTCACACTCGGGTCACACTCAGGTCACACTCGGGTCACACTCGGGTCACACTCAGGTCACACTCGGGTCACACTCGGGTCACACTCGGGTCACACTCAGGTCACACTCGGGTCACACTCGGGTCACACACGGGTCACACTCGGGTCACACTCAGGTCACACTCGGGTCACACTCGGGTCACACTCAGGTCACACTCGGGTCACACACGGGTCAC